TCAATCCTGTATTAAATCAGGTGCCCTCTGTCTTTTTTGTTTGTTTGTTTTTTGGTGCTTTATACCTTAATGGTTTATGGGTTTGATTGGGCCTTCTTTAGCCTACTTATGCAGCTGCACTTTGATTCCCCAACCCTAGCAACCTTCCTATTGGAACAGAGGGCCATGTCTGGCAGCAGGGGAGTCCTGGTCTACCTTTTGAGCTACAGCCACATCCACAGATGATTCCTGCCCTTGCTATGTTTAAACACTAAAGACACAGTTTTTATATTGAAATCCTTACAGGTAGGACAAGAGCATCTCTTGGAACTTGGGCAGAGAATGGGAGCTGTGTGAAGACACATTACTTTGTATTTTTCCTCCCTCTTTACTCAGGTAAAGTGGGCTGAAAAGCGACTTTTGGAATTGGAAATGCTAAAGATGCAGATAATACTTCCCCTAGCCAGCAGTAATAATTATAGCTATCCTTCTGCACCTTCTTTAACCTTGCAAGCGTTGCTACGATGGTTATGAATACTAGGATAAAACACTGCATATTTTGCTAATGTTTTCAAAAGACATGAGCTTGTTAGCCACTATAAAATACACTTCTATTCTTTCAGCTAGAAAGGAAAATAAAGGGTTAGCTAGTTGGTCTTGCAGAGCAGAACTGTTATGTTTGCACAAAGTTGCAATTTCCCAAATCCATGCTGAGTGCTTCTGTTTGGTCAGTCTTCCTGCATTGTGGTGTGAATCTTGTTTGCTGTGTTTTTCTTGTGGTTTGTGACAGATAAGATCCATATTGATTTTAGAATATCTACTGGCTGTAACCTTTGAAAGGGCAGACAGTGCACTGCCGTAGAATATTATCTATCAATATCAGAGGAACAGAAAGACAGGGATGACACCTAATCACAACACTGTTGATGGGTCATAAATCTGAACTTGATATGGCTTGATACTGGTAATGGACAATTGTGGCAGGTATGTGGTATGTGGATTAATGTTGATGTGGTTGGGAAATACTTACGCAGTGTGTGGGTTCCCACAATGCTAGTGGAGGCTTTGAGGGAGGAGGAGCATAATGATACAGACTGAGGCCCCGAGAGGCAAAAGTCCAAATGGTGCATGCACACACAGACACACACACCTCTTTACCTCTTTATAAGTAACACAGGGTGAAATCGGCTGGGAATTTTACCTACGAGAGCCTCATCTGAAGCATTGCCCAAGCCAATTTCCTGAAGCCAATGTCAAATCTCTCTCCTCTGTCCCCTAACTAGGATCAACACTAACCCCCCCCCTTTTTTGTATCATTCAGACTGCAGTCCCTACCTTCATCTAGCTCCTCCTCATGATGCCACCTGAAGCAGGTCATTCCATTGTGCTGTATGGCAGAGCTGCCTTTGGAGGGTGTGATTCCCAGGAAGCTGGGGGCAGAGGAGAATTAATGAGGTGGTAGAGACATGGGTGGCGCTGTGGGTTAAACCACAGAGCCTAGGGCTTGCTGATCGGAAGGTCGTGGTTCGAATCCCTATGACGGGGTGAGCTCCCATTGCTCGGTCCCTGCTCCTGCAACCTAGCAGTTCAAAAGCACATCAAAGTGCAAGTAGATAAATAGGAACCGCTCCGGCAGGAAGGTAAACGGCATTTCCGTGCGCTGCTCTGGTTCGCCAGAAACGGCTTAGTCATGCTGGCCACATGACCCGGAAGCTGTACGCCGGCTCCCTCGGCTAGTAAAGCGAGATGAGCGCCGCAACCCCAGAGTTGGTCACGACTGGACCTAATGGTCAAGGGTCCCTTTACCTTTTTATTTGTATCTTAGGCCGTCCCTGGGTTACACCTCTTTGACCTCAGATATGCCGTAGCAGACAGAGTGGAGTTCCCTGCATGCGCACAGTGATAAGCATATGGAATTTGGAGTGCAGGTGGGGATACTCATGAATGCAGTCTAGAAGGTTAGTGTGCCAAAGTCACACTGATATACATGGGATCTGGATGTTTAACTGTGTGTTTTAAGACCTGTGAATTTCAGTGACAGCTATGGCTTTTTTTATGATGCTGCTGTTGCTGTTTAATATGCTGAATTTTATGGAAATGATCTCTTATTGATTTTATGTTTTGTTAGCTCCCTTGAGGGCTCTTTAAGCCAAGCTAGGATAGTATAAATCTTTACATAAATATAGTCAGACCTAACTTTTCTCTCGACTGCATGTTGTGTCTACAGCATTTTGCACAGCCATGAAAATCCCTGATCAGGTAAGACAAGAGTCAGGATCCTGGTCTGAGTGAATAGGAAACCAAGTGCTTAACAAGCACCAGCTGCAATGTACTAAAGTGGTCTAAACAGTTTAAAGAACGTTCTTAGGGAACTTGCAATTAAAGCAAGTAATGCTCTTAACGTGAACTTGCTTTCAGTAGGAATTTAGCAGAGTTGAGTTACATTTGCAAGCAAAAGAATTGACAAGGAAATAAGTGCCCTTTTGTCACATTAATTTCCTTTAAAATTAGATCATTGTGGGGGAGTTAGGGATGAGTGGTACCCATTAAGTCTGAAAGTACAAATGTTAGCACAAGGTGAACTTTGAGAGTTTGATTTGATATACAGTCTTCGGTTCTTAAGGCTTGCGGAATTATAGAATGTGTTCTGGTCCTCTCCTCTTTTATTTTCTTCTGGATCTATTTAACTGTCAAAGCTTTGAGACAAAAACTTGTACTGTAGTTCTGTAAACACCAAGTGAGTGATATGGAAGCTGATAGGTCCAGGAGAGGTTTTTGTGCATTTTCTTTCTTGATGGGGTGGCCTTTTTCACTCATGTGTTGCTAAGAAAAAGCAGTGTATATTGGGGATGGATGCTGTCCTGCAGCTTGTGCCCTCTTTGGCCACGAATTGCCCGTGCAAGTGGCAGCAAAGAGTCTAATGTGGTTTGGGATTCTAAAGTGGGGCAGGCTATTTTTAAGCTTTTACTCCCTGTTGTGGGCCTGATCTGCATTGTGCAGGGGGCATATCTGCAGTTTGCCTCAGGACAAACAGTGGTGCTTTCATTCTCTTCAGTAAGAAGTTTTTGCCCTATGTAAATTGGAGGCATTGGGAACCCAATCCAGATCAGTACCCTAATGGAGAGGTTTAGGGTTAAAGTAGGGTTACCAGACGTCTCTGTTTCCCGGGGACAGTCCCCGGATTTGCAAATCTGTCCCCGGACAAATTGCGTCCCCGGAATGTCCCCAGATTTCATTAAATGTTCCTGGGAAATGTAACACCCTGCTCTCCTGGAGTAGTATGCAGCTGGAGGGGTGGGAAGATAGTTTTGGCAGAGGCAGAGGTGGGGGGGAATCGAAGAGTGAGAAAGAAGGGCTTTGTACCTTCCCCGGCAGAGAAACTGCGCACCTTGCGCCCCTCCTGGGCAATGGCCACTTGCCTATGACTCCCGAGCCTCCCCAGATCTCCTGCCCCCTTCCCACTTCATTTTGAGAGATCGCAGGTGGGCCCAGGAGGGGCGCAAGGCACATGGTTTCTCTGCTGGGCAAGGTGCAAAGTTCTTCTTTCGCACCCTGTGAAACTCTCAAAATGAAGGGGAAAGGGGGCAGGAGATCAGGGGAGGCTCGGAAGTCACGGGCACCTTGCCCAGCAGAGAAACTGTGTGCCTTGCACCCCTTCCAGGAAACGGCCACCCACCCGTGACTCCTGAGCCTCCCCCAATCTGTCAAAAGGAAGGGGAAAGGGGGGAAGGAGATGGGGGAGGCTCGGGAGTCATGGACGGGTAGCAGGCCGTTGTCCAGGAGGGGTGCAAGGCGCACGGTTTCTCTGCCGGGCAAGGTGCAAAGCCCTTCTTCCGCACTCTGCAATCCCCCCACCCACCTCTGCCTGTGCAAAAACTATCTTCCCACCCCTCAACGTTTTTCTAGGGACGGGTGGCAACCCTAGGCACAATGCACTCTACTGAAACATAGGGTTCACTGCCTCCCCCAATCTGTCAAAACAAAGGGGAAAGGGGGCAGGAGATTGGGGGAGGCTCAGGGGTCACGGGCAGGTAGCGCACAGTTGCCCAGGAGGGGCACAAGGTGCACTTTCTCTGCTGGGCAAGGCATGGAGGGGTGAGATGACTTCAATCCCCTCGGCCAGCTGGAGCAGTGGTGGAACTGGCGCAGAGCCGGGCAGCTGCGCGTGAACGAGAGTGTGTCCCTGACGGCGGGGAACTGCAGAAGTCAAATTGAAGCAGGGAAGGCTTGAGTTGAGGTACCTCCATTGCAGTGGGTTGGCCTAGATGCCTCTCAGAAGTCCTTTCCAAATCTGTGATTCTGTGATCATCCCACAGTCGTATTCTCAAACTCTGCTTCCAACTCTACCCCCCAGGTTTGTCTCCTCCTCAGACTTCTCAAGACAGCAAAACAGCTGATGTATAGATGTAGTTAGGGATAATAAAGCATGTAAAAAAATTTTTTAAAGGTGTCCCCGGATTCATTGAAAAAAATCTGGTAACCATAGGTTAAAGTCTCTCTACCTACCATTTTAAATTCCCAATATATGTCCCCTGTGCTGTTGATTTGTGAGTGGGTGGGATGGAAACAGTGCCACCAAGACCCTGCACTTATTGGCACAGATTTGTAGCTAACTTATTGTCAGGTGTGACCCCGAGTGCCCCAGATCCAGACTATAGGCCAGTTTCCCATCTTTGCCCTATTAACCAAGTGGATAGTGTGCTGGGCTCTGGTTTATGAAAGCTGAGCTCAGTTCTTGTGCAGGTGCTCTTATACGGTGGCCTGAGCAGGTTGCATGCCTCGGTGGCCTATGTTTTCTCCACCTGAGCTGTAGGAGTAACAGCTGCTTTACTGAATAGATGATGAGGGCAAGCAAGATAGAGGGGAGAGCACTGTGCACATTTCAGTTTATGAAAGTCAAAGCAACAGCACCTAAACTTTATGAGCTATTTAGTGTTTATCGAAGGGGACAGAACCTCTTGCAATCCAGAGCACTGTGTGCCAAAAGCAGGGAGCTCAAAACTGGCTTGACGGACTGGGCCATGGAAAGAGAGGTAAGTGGCAGGAAGGGGGGGGGGCTGGTGGTGTGCAGATTAGCAGCCGCCACCTCCTCCTCAGCCATTCCTTTGAGCCTTGTGGCCTTGGGAGCTCTGCAGCCATCAATTTTATTGCCTGCGTTTAGCTAACAGTTTGAGGTCACATCTGAAAAGAAAGTTGCAAGAATTGGCCCTTCCTATTAACAGTTTCTGCATTTTTGAGTGGCAGCTGATGGAATGAGTAAGCCATCACAATAGACTTGCAGGACTGAGTCACAGAAACCTAATTTTCAGGTAAGAAATTGCCCCTTCACATAATAATCCAGACCCACTCGGCTTCTTCATGAGAAGTGTGAGTAATTTTCACCTTGCAGTATTATTCAGCATGATTATTATCATCTGTTTACAACTGTCTCATGAACGAAATGTATTCTTTTCTGCCCCCTCAGAGCGTGTTCGTTCTCTCTTTCTCTCATACACACAGTGTGAGTCCTTGTTGAGTATCCCTTTCCTATTTTACTCCCCTCCCCCCACTTCTCTAGTAATGTCAATGGATGGTGACACACTCTCCAAGAGCGTATCTGATGTGTTCCAACACAGATCCTTCCTGCTCATCATGTCAGATCTAAGCTTCAATTTGGAAGGCTTTCAGCATCTCTCGTTGGCAGGAGAAATGAATTGGGAGATGCAGAGAGACTGCTCTTGCAGCCAAATTTCAGTCACGCAGGCTCACGGTCCTAATGAATGCCCTTGAAGCAGGTACGGTAAACATCTGAGGCTGGGATTTTGCTGCTTTCAGAAGGCAAAATCATTGAGCTGAATGCAGCCCTTTCTGACTTCACTGAAAACACTGAAGACCCCACCCCTCCCCCAACACATCTACTTTATTACCAGTGCTTATTAGGGGAATGTTGAATGCTAACGTGCAGAGAGCCTTTAGTGGTCTGCACTTGAAGTAGCTGGTGTATATTTATTATGGTTCATAAAATACATTCTGCATTGTTTAGTAGTCCCTTCCCTATATTTTACCCTTTGACGAACACTTCTGACTTCACATATTTCCAGTTTTAAAATGTTTTTTTTCAAATATCTGCAAGGCACTGGGCAGTGGTGCAAAGATTTGCAACGCTTGAGGCAGACACAAAAGCCATGTTTGACACAGTTTCCAAAACCATCTCAGGAGCTCAAATGTCACGACAAACTGTGGGTTACCAAATGTTGTTTTCATGAGTGGTTCTTGGCTCTCACTGTCTGTTTTTGTGCTGCTTGGTTCTCAGGCTCAGATGAAACGAGGGTGGGAGGAACAACTGAGGTACATGTTGCACCTCTTAAATCAGGGGTCACCAACATGGTGGTCAAGGGTGCAGTGGCCTTTCTCTGCTGCCTACAAAGCCTTTGAGATCTCTTGCTTCCTGCCGCATTGGTCATGAGGGTAGTGAGGGTGGTTCCTTTTCAAGGGAGAAAATTTTATACTGCTACTACACAACTCTATATCTGTGTGGCATGTGACCATACATGTCTCATGGGCTGAGTGGGATTCAATAAGCTAAAGCTTAATCCTGAGAAGGTGGAGGTCTTGTGAATGGGTGGGTTCCAGGAGACCCATAATCTATCTGTTCTCTTCTAGAAACGGTTGCACTTCCTGCAAAGGAGCAGCTGTGTAGTCCTGGGGTACTGCTTTGGACTTCAGTGTCAGATGGGTGAAATGGCTAGGAACACCTTTTACCAGCTATGACTGTTCCAGAACAGAAACAGCCTTGCCAATGTGACCAATGGATTGGTCACATCATGATCGAATTATTGTAATGTGCATTGTGTGGGGTTGCCCTTAAGTCAGGTCCAGAAACTGCAGCTGGTGCAGAATGCAGCAGTTGGGGTGTTGGTACAGGGCATCCTTCTTCCCACATGCAATAATACCACTCTGCAAAGAACTGTACTGGTTGCCAGTAGGATGCTGGGCCAGGCTGAAGGTTTTAATTTTGCACTGTAAAGCGCTAAGTGGTTTGTGACAGGGCTACGTGAAGGAGCACCTTTTCTGTTGTGGCACCCTCTCAGTGGAATCACCTACCCTCTGAACTGCAGCAAGCGCCAGCAGTTATGTCATTCCGACACATGCTAAAATTTCCCATCCTTTATTTTTCCAGGCCTTTGTTGGAAACTAATGCCAGTTGCTTTGAATTAATTAATGTTATTGCTCCGCTGGCTTGTGTATGCTGCTGTTTCATTTTGTGGCTACAGTTTTAATGTATTGTTTATTGTATGCTGCCTTGTGATTTCAAGGCATTATTAAAAATATTTTCAATAAACAAGTATTTTGGACTTTCCATGCTGCACACTTTTCCTTCTGGCCCTCAGTCACCACCCCTTTTTATCCAGCCTTGTGCCTCCTCCTCCTTTCTGTGCTGACAAAAGTTCCATCTTGTGTAAAGGCAACCCATATAGATTATATACAGTAATGTGAGTGTATGCTGAAAATATTGGGGTTAATTGCCTTGCAGAACTTGGAAGACCAGCACAGCATTTTGATTCTAGAAACATCCTGTCTTTCTTCGTATTCTTACTGCTGCGTGTTTGAAAAGGCTGCTGCCATGTGCAAGACGTGTTTGTTCCCCTTTTCTTAGTATATTGCAATGATTTTGGCCGGAAGAGGCTAATCGAAGCCACCCAGTGTTGATGTTTTCTTGCTGACAGCCTCATCTTAAATAGTCCCTTTTATTCTCTTGGCCATGAACAGATGTCACTAAATTAACTCCATTGAAAGTAAATGTCTTACATTGTCAGCACAATTAACATACATTGTCCATTCTTCTCAAAAGTTTCTAGCATTTTTTTTTTCTAATTGAGCATCTTTTTAAAAGAGTCTGACAATTTTCCATCCAGATGTGGAGTGTTCCAGCATCTTGTAGTGATAGTATTAAACAAAACTCACAAGAGTAAAATGGTGCTGGCCTTATTCTGCTTTGGAAGCAATGCTTTCTTTCCCCTCACTCTTTCCTCTATCCAGTCTATTGGATCAGTCCCATCTGATCAGCTCATGAATAAAGGCTGCAAAGGAAACACTACTTGAGTTGATTGCTGTATTTTGGCACTACAGAGACCATGGAATTACAAAGATTCAGGGGAGGTTTAAAAAGTTAGAGCCTCTAGTTTTAACATATAAACATATGCATGAATATTTGGGGAAAGAAAGTGCTGGAAACTTGAACTTGAAGTAGCTTTTCACTGGTTGTGTGTATACTTGGAGGACTAAATAGAGCTTATAACTCAGTAGTAAAATTACTGTCATTCTGATCCCATTAGTGATCAGTACTAACTGTTGTGGACGATAAGCAAATTGGGACATAATCATTGGCTACTGGGTGTGTATATAAAAAGCTGTCATGCACAATGAAAGAGCACTCCTTTGAAGGACATGTGCTTTTTCTTTCTCAATGCCTGCCCATCTAAGGTCAAATGTGAGATCTCGAAGAAAGAGTTGTGTAGCCAGGTTTTGTTGCTTTCTTCTAACACTGACGTTCCATTTTGGGGTAAGACGTTATTTTCATTGCATAGAGTCCTATTAGTGTAAGCAACAGGTCATTCAGTTTGACCCGAAGGGCTGAAATGTTTAATGTAAAAATACGCCTTCGTACACAAGAAATATGGATTCCTCTCTGTTACAAAGAGAAGAACTGATTGATTTATGAGCTGGGATTCAATAATTTCCAGGAGTTGTTTCTCCTTTCTTTTACCATGGGTGAGTGTGTGTGGTATATCTGCATTTTGCCAGAGCATCAAAAACCTCAAAGGTGTTTCTTTGTTTTATAATTGTATTGGGAAGGAGGAACGTTTGGTTAGAAGAGGAACTGAAAGCAAGAAAGGTTACATTGCTTTCAGTAATGCTGGATGATGAGTGCCTAAGACAGTGGTTTTCAACCAATGTGCCGTGTCACCCTGGGGTGCCTTGAACGATGGTCAGGGGTGCCGCGGGCAACACTGGCCTCTGGCCTTCTTTCCTTCCTTCCCTCCTCTCATGCCTTCTCACGTCTCTGCCTCCTAAGGGCTTGCACAGCTGTTTGTTGCAGCAGCCCTGACTACAGGCTCCCCAGGCGAATGGTGCCTCTAGGTCTGGCCAGGGGGTGCTTCCCAAGCCCCTATGGAGCAGTGTGAGGAGGCACCTCTCTTTGGGGTGGAGGGGAGCAGCTCTGAGACCAGGGATGGCAGCTGCGGCTGCCCAGAGGACTCTCAAGGAAAGGAGACAGGAGAGGAGAGGAGGCTGAGGGAACACTCCACAAGGGAGGGTGTTTGAATAACGTTGAGAGGCTGCCAGCTCTGCAGGCAAGGCGTGACATAACTGGGCTCCTGAGCTCCACAGGGGTGCCACTGAAAGAATGTAGTTGGTCAGGGGAGTCGTGGACCCAAAAAGGTTGAAAACCTCTGGCCTAAGAGATCTTCTCCTCAGTCATCCTGAGGTAGCTCCCCTCCCACAATTGCTATCACTACTCTTAATTGTTAAGTCCAGTGTCTTTAACTGCTGTAACCTCTCATAAAACTTAGAAAACAAAACTTTTGCAATTGCTTCAACACTTCCTGTATTTTATAAAAGCCTGTCTCATTGACTCATATTTCAACAACAACAACAACATACCGCAATTGCAGATGTGTATCCTTCTTTTGTGTTTCTGCAGTATTTGGGGATGGTAGGAGAGGAAGGCAATACAAAACATTGAAACCATGCATAGAAAAAGGAGTACTGAGGTGGTTCATGTAACGCCTACTTTCCTTCTGCTCTCATTACCCTGTGGACATTTTGATGGTCGAAGATTTTCCACACCTCTAACTTTATATAGCCATGCCTGTAATTCTGATTTTGAATAAAGGCATTACATAAAACAATATATGAATAGGTAAATGCATTTGCTACATGAAATCTCCCCAGCAGTGCATTGTCACATTACCCACTGGTAATAGCTTTGCAAGCTACCCTCAAACTTGCCATTGATTTATCCCATGATTTGAGAGCCTGCAGAGCTATTCAAGAGAAACGGGAGCCATGGAGTTTGAGGATCAGTTCAGGTGCATCAAAAGCCATTGGTCTCCCAGCAGCCAATAAAGAAGGGTTGTAAATCACTTGAGGCTCTATTTTTAGTTCTGCTATATAAACAAAACCTTTAGTTTCTCCAACTATTTAAGTTCGCAACCCATCTCAGTCATAATATGCCAAGCAAGATAAGTGCACAGGCCTTTTAAAACATAGCAGCTATACTGCATTTGACAGTAATTTACATTAATTTATTTCATTTAGTGATTAGAGCTTCTGGAATATAAACTGCATCGTTTTACCAAATAGTGCTTTGGAATACATAGGGCTTCTCTTCTGAAGCTAATGGGATTAGATTAGAATGGGATTCTTGCAGCTCAAAGTACATAAAACGGATACTTCTGAAGTGTTCGATACCTCACAATTCAGCATTTGATGGACTAATTAAGCATCTAAACATGTCTTTGCCATTTTTCTTGGCTCTAAAAATATCTTCTTTTTACTGCTGAAACTGAAACGTCTCTCAGTAAAATTGCATAAAATAGACTTAAATACATGAACCATCTGCCAAATAAATTCCATCTTCCCAGGGTGTGCTGGCATGTAAGGCACAGGAGCAAAATAGACTTATTTATTTAGCATATGGGTACCCCAGTCTTTGGCCCAAGGGCTCTCAGAGCAGCTAGTAGTCATTAAAACACAATAAAACAATATACTAAAACAGCAGAAGAGCATAACACGACATGAAAGGAACAACAAACCTAAAACCAGAAGATCCCAAAAGAAGAGGCCAGGGCAGATAAAGAGTTGCCCAGTGCTGAAAAGACATCTGATGGGGTGCCAGTGATTCTCTCTGGGGAGGACATCACCTGGCTCAGGTTGCTGACCTCCTCACCTCTGAATGCATGGGGTCTCATTCTTAACTTCTAGGCATGATCATGGGGGAGAATGCTGCCTTTAAGTTACATGAGTCCCAAGCCATGTTGAGATTTAAAGGTGAAGTCCAGCACTTTGAATTTTACCCAGAAAATAACTAGAAGCCAGTGCTTCCTGGGAGCATATGTTTCGTACACCTGGTCACAGTCAGTAACCCAGCTGTATTTGGAACCAGCTGTAGTCTGCAAAGCCTTCAAAGGCAAACCAAGGTACACTGCATATCAGGGAAACTGTTTCCCTTTAAAACAGCTCCCATAGTACGGAGTTTATGCTGAACAAATAGGTATTCGAGGACCCATTGTTCTCATTTTTAAAGAAACATTGGAAAGAAGTCATGCATTTGTCTTGCATTGAGGCAGGGCCATGAGTGCAGCCCACATTGCCAGCTATTGATTGATGGTAGCTATCCAAAATCTTAAGACTATCTCTCTTAGCTATGTCTAAGATCCTTTGTGTCTATGCCAAGCACCGAGTCTGGCACCTTCTGTATGTAAAACAGAGGTGAATAGATAAACAGCTCTGTTCTACTTTTGATAAGATGTCGTTCTGGTTTCTAGAATTTGATGTGAATGGTCTGAAAGTAGATTGCTCTCTAAAGCTAAGCAGTTGTGATTTTAATTTGTTTTAAACTGTTTTTATTGCTATCTTTTATATTGTTGCAATCCACCCTGGAACCTTCTGGTGCAGGGCAGGTAATAAATTTAACCATAGTAATAGTAGTCATTATTGTTGTTGTCTTGACCCTTCCCAAACTAATGAGGGATTGCTTGGGGCTCTCATATTCTCTGAGCTTCTTGGGCAACACATAAGCATAATAACAAAATCCTTGATTTCTTGTCACTCTGATTATCTTAAACTGGTTTAGATTTTAATCTAAACTATGAAGTTTGGGTCGTGGTTGATTTGAAGCAGTCTGTATCGATGTAAACTCTCCATACCAGTGAGATGTGCCATAACTTGCTGGGCAGACATATACAAATTATTTTCCCCATTGATGGATCCAAATGCTTTTGAAACCCCCTTGTTGGTGCTTTAACTAGGGTGGTTCAGCTATGGCGATGCTACCGTAAAGGGAAATTTAGAAAAAAAACCATGTTAAATTTCACTTTCATTATGAGCAACTGAAGAAGCATCAAGCATCAGCATTTGCCCCTGAAATGAAAAGTTGTAGGAGGCCCTAAGTAGTGTCGAGAGGAGACTCGTCCCCCCCCCCCCAGCATTTTGTGTGTATTATAGGCAAGAATAAGAAGTGGTATTTCATCCACTCAGTGCTGAGTTCTCCAAGATTTGGCAGCTTCCTGAGTTTATTTTAACATCACTTATTTTGTATTATTTTGTCCCATTGTTTTGAGCACCATACCCAACCAAGAAGATTCCTGAGCCAATAAATTGAGACAATAGACCTTAACTGTTGTCAAGGAGATATTATTATGATCTATATGTAAGTGCCCATTTAGCCGATAGAATGCAAAGTATCCACTTGTTACAAAGCTATCATCTGAGTGTGTATTTAAACTATTGTCATGCTGCATCGTATTTACTATGTGTTCTAATGATTCCAAAGGAGCCATTATGGTCTATTATGTGGCTTACATATTTAAACTGCATAGTTAAAAAGCTTTTGGAATTTAAAACTAATCAGAAAGCCTATATAGTGGATATCTAAGCTTGCAAGATAGGATTCTAACTTAACATTAAACATCACAATAGCAGATTAATAATAAAAAAGAAGAAAGCACACAGATTATTATGTGTTCCATTTGTGGGTAATTAACTTTAATTGAGGAAAAATCTGTGCATCATGAATATCAATCAGAAACATTTCAGTTCTCTTCCCAAATTTGCTTCTCTTACAAGTTTGTTATAATTCTCTAGAGACACCAAGACATTTCATGTTCCCATTTCTTCTCTTCCTCTTTTGCCCACATTTACTCTCTAGGTCAGGTTAGATGTTGCAGGTATGGACTAAAGCCCATCTAAAAGGCTTTGGTTCAATGTTACAGCTCCTTTGTATGCAAAAAGTCCCAGTGCTCTGGAACTCTGGCGAGTTGCTGCTGGTCAGATATGGAGCTAGGTGACCCAATGGCATTATTCAGTATAAGGCAGGCTCTTCTGTTCCTGAATCATTAGGCTGAGAGATAAGAGTCGAGAGAAACCTTTAGCTGGCAATCAAAATGGTTTACCAAGCTGGATAGCAGAACCTAGAAAATGCTGGTACAGAATTCTGTGTTGGTTAATTAGACTCTTTCTGACACACTGATTTTACATGTTTATTGCCAGCTCTCCCCCCTAATTGCTCCCATACCCTTGACTGGATGTGTGAAATCTTCTCCCTTGAATGCTTTTGATGTGCTTAGCAAATACAGACCCTAAATACTACATCAAAGACACCGGTTTGGGCAGAAGACTTTGCATGTTTCCTTATGGCATAGAAGTGTTAGTCTGCTAGTGGGAGAGGATAGAGGACTAACAAGAGTCAGTAGAAGATTGGGGGTTGTGGTTTTAAGAAAGAAGGGTGGGTAAAATTCATGCCAAGCAGACTGCTGTGTGGAATTATTGTTCATAGTATGGCTAGAAATGCTATTGTGTGTTATTGTCTGAATCCACTCAGTTCCAGCTATTTTACCTGAAGGCCAAGTCTGCATCTGGGAACTGTGAAGTGTTGGGAATTACCTTTAGACTTCAGGTCCCTTGAGTTTCCTCTGATCCAGCAAGTATTTACTTGAGAATTTATTTGCTGCAGGTAGGTTAATTCTGAAGTGCAGGAGCTCATTATGATGTCCACCTTAGCCATTCCTCTAAGGTGAGCCCCAAAATCCAAACAGCTGTGTTGATCTATATACAGCAAACATGCAATACCCCTCTTACAGAGCAGCAGTACCATGCATGAAACCCAGTTTATTAGGCTCACCTGACAATAGAAGAGTAAAATATTCACAGAACAAATTCAAGTTGTAAAACAGATTGAGCTTTAACAAAAGATCTTCAGTAAGCAAATATGCAATTTTCCCCTTTCAACTAAAAAGCCCAGCAATCCTGCAAAAAGAGTGATACCATTTGAAGTAGGGCCCCCACCACCAAAGAAAAGAAGGGGAAGTATCTAGTCTTTCCTAAGCTATTTTTCTCATACTCTGGCATCCTCTCTCCTAATCTGTCATGAACAATAGGAATTCCAGAGCTCCCTCTTCCTCTTCCTTCACTGCACCACTAGCTACAGGTCCCAAAGCAAGTGGTGAAAAGGGCAGTGTTCCCATGGCCTATCTACCCATATCCCAGTCCCTATCCCTCAGTGCCTGACACCTAGTCTTCGGGATATGAAACTGAATTTTCTGTTAGGTATGGTTTCTCTATATTACAGTAAAGTGAAATGTTAACAGAGTCAAATGAAAATGTAGCCTTGTTGATAATATTATTTACCATGATTACATTGTCTTTTTAATAATGCTGATTTTTTCCTTTAGCAAGTAGCACCCATAAGAGAGTGCTGTTGGCTATAATGTTGGCTGTCTGGTTCAGATCTGTCTAATACAATTTAATCATTTTTAATTCTGACAAAGTGGCTGCGGGTTTTAATTTGATGCTTAGAGTGCAGGCTGGGAACAACAGATTCCATGGAAGCAAGCAAGGCTTTTTAATTCCTATTCAGTGTCCCAGTGTACCTATGAAGGTAGAATGCTCTGCCTTTGTGGGCTAAATGAGAACACCGTTAATGTGCTTGAGGACCTGAAGACCTCTCCTGCATCCTGACATGTGCCATCACATTGGTGATCCACATCTTTCATTGCGAGGGTTCTGCAGAAATCCTTTGGTTAGTTTTAACCGTACAGTATTTCATAATCAAAAGCTTCAGTGGTTTGAACCTCAGATCATTTATTTCTAAATTACTTTTCCCCATAATTCTTATTAATTCAAATAGGATTTTGATTTGATATAGAACTTCGTAAATGGGAGAATGAGCTTAATGAATTGAAAGATAGGATTGTCTTAAAGTAAATGTTAAAAAGAATATGCTGATAATTGCTGAGATGGAAATCAAATCTTAATGACTTTAATTTGTCGTGAGCGCCGTGTTTATGAAAAAAATATGGAATATGTTTCCAGCAGACATTTTCCTTCTGCAGTAGTCAGTATTTTTAATTTGATAGTGCTTGCTCTGCTCAAGAATGTGTCTATGGGTTCTGCAACCTTATATTGAATAAATTATTTCCTCTCCATTTGTGAACAATAAGAGCATAAGTATTGCTGTAGTGGATCACACCAAAGGTCAGTCTGGTTCAGCATTCTAACACTGACCAGCTAGTTCTCCACCCACCCCCAAGTTCACAAACTAGGCAGATAATAGTGATTCTCATCTTTGGCCCCTGCCATCCGGTTATCAGTTCTGTGCTTCTTCCCAAAACAAATGTGATTTTCTTTTTTAGTTTCTACGCAGCCCTACATATGTGTGAGTACTATGGAACCTGGTTAGTTTTGCCACAGCCTGATAATCTTTGGCTTGCGGGAACACAGAGGTGGGCTTTTTCACTGGGGACTTCAGTGCTGTGGAATGCTCCCCCTGAAATAAAAGAGGTCCCATTATTGCTGGCATTCCACCAGCTCCTGAAGACACACCTATTTAGGCAAGCATTCCACTGAACCAAACTTGCAGTTTTATTAACTGTTTTAATTGCTAAACTTTTTTAGTAGCTCCTTTTAATCGCGCATTTTAATTAAGGATTGGTTTTAAAGTTGAAAAATGCTCTGATGCCATTTTGGCATATAAGCAATATATAAATTAATTATTGTTGTTGAGTTGGCTGCAGAGATAGAACATTTTAGAAAATTCTGGGTGATTGCGAGTGCTGGCTTCCATTGCATTAAGAGGCCTCCTGGGTCATGTCAGTGGCCCATCTAGTCCAGCATCCTGTTCTCACAGTGACCACCCAGTTTCCCCAGTGAGAAGCCTACAGTCAGGACCTTTCTTCTGTGGTTTCTAGCAACTGGAATTCAAGAGCATACTGACTCCAATTACTGCAGGTAGTATCTTAACTAATAGGCTTCAGCAAACCTCTCTTCCATAAATTTGTGAAGTATTTTGTTTTGTTTAACAGTTATACTATTAAACCACACAAAATCCCGTGACAGCGAATTCCATCAATTAATAGAAGCTTTGTGTGGAGTACTTCTTTTTATTAGCTCTAGTCATTCGTGGCCTGGAATATTGATGGCATGCAGATTAATATCTGCTCACAGTAGTTTGGGTGCCTTTGCAAAGTCTTTATGTACCTTTCAGTCTCCATAGTACTTTGGCTTGGTTGATCTAAGAGAGATTAGCCTAAATCAAGTGTAGAATTAAAACTGGTGTTCTGCTTAAACGTTACGTGATGTTTATTTTTATTTTTTTAAGCCACAGGTTTCTTACAGGTTTGTTCTGGTTGACCAAACATTTGCACTTAATGTATAAAATATGAGTCATTAAAATGTTTTCCTTGTTGACATGTAGAAGTCAACTGAAATGATACAGTCTTCTGTTTCCGAAAATGTTCTTAGCTTTTGGCGAGTCTCCAAGTGAAGGAAATCCCACAAGTGTGAAACAGGTTCCAAAAACATACCAGGGCATTCATTAGTGGGCAGCTTGAGTTCTGTCTCTTCTTGATGACTTCAGGCCATTTGGCTCAAACCAGTCCTCTACTGAGGCACAATATTTGAGGAGGGAGGGTTGTCCATTCCCCGCCCCCATATAGCTGAAGAGGGTGCATTCACTTTGTTTTATTTCTTTCATCCGCCAATGTTGCGTTTCCAATGCTGTCGGTGCTTAATAGTATCTTTAACTGAAAAAGTGTAGTAGGTGCTGCAAGACCAGGGGTCAGCAAAAACTTTTTAGCTGCGGGCTGGTGCACTGTCCCTCAGACCGTGTGATGGGCTGGAATAGCGGCACCGGGGGGGGCAGCTTGAAGAAGAGGTGAGGGGGGCATGTTGTCCTCCTCCCCAGCCCCCAGCCTCAGCCCCAGCTAATGCGCTTACCTTCCCAGGGGCTGCCACCACCCAGGGGCTTCCCAGGGGCTGCTTCTCATGGGCAGGCAGACAGGAGCACCAGGGCGGTGGCGACAATGGCAGAGGGAAGATGAGCAGCGCGAAAGGGCTGGCTCCGGAGAGGGGCTGCTTAAAATGGCGCTCAGCCAGCTCAGCCCAGCCCCCTTTCTTCTCTAGGCAGGGCGGGGAGAAGCCAGGAGGAGGGAGGGAGGAGGTGCAGCCGTGGTGTGTATGAGGGAGAGGGGGGGGAAATGGTGTAGAAAAAAATGGCGCAACCCAAACAAACAGATCCCCAAACCGATCCACGGACATTTCGTGGGCCAGATCCTGAAGGCAGTTGGGCCTGATCCTGCCCGTGGGATTTGCCGACCCCTGTGCTAGACAAAAACCAACAAGGACTCAAATGCTTTTCTGTATATTCCTAAGACATAGCTAGACAAAGGGCGAGAGCCCGTAATCATAGAGGTTCCTTGTTTTAAAAGTGGGAGTGTGGGGAATTGGATTAGGGCTATGGCAGTCGGAGAGTAGGCTTTTTAACCTTTTCCTCTGCATTGTGTTCCTGATTTAAAATAACTTTTTAAAGAGCAAAGCTGCCATTTGCTTCGTGGAAGGAGGGAATTAGAGGGCACCTGTGAGAAGCAATTAGTGGAGGCATAGTTTCTTCCTTTATATAGGCACAGGAATGGATGGACAGATAGATGGTGTTTTCAGCCAAGTGTTGCCTTACTTTGTTCGGGGGACCCTTTATCTACTTTCCATCTCTCACCTGCCCCAATATAGTCATCACTCTGCTTACCTTTTTCCTCCTCAACTCCTAGTTGTTTGTCCTTTTTTTTTTTTTTTTTTGCTTTCATGCCATGAGCAAGTGAAAGACGATTGCGCTTGGTGTCTTTGAGCGGGCTCAAAAGCTACACTGGAGCGAGAGAAGCAGAAACGACAGTATGCAGAACGTAGAATGCAGAGCTGTGCTTCTCTCCCCCTGCCCCACCCCCCATTTCTGCATTGTTTAATACTCTAACCTAGATATTGCTGCTGACACACTGGCTTCAGTTCATTAAAAGGTGTAGGAGGGGGGAATTCAGAGCTTCTGACAGTAAAATATTACCTAGCTCACTGGGTAACTGAATGGAAGAATTTATTTTGTTCTCTGCTTTTGGACTATCAAAGCATCACCTGCTGATTTAAATATAGTAAGTAGAAGTTGGGCTCTGAAAACAAGTGCAATCAGATGGAGCTACTCTGTTTTAGGCAATGTCCCTCAAATATTTTGCACGTACTTCCTCGGTGCCTGCCTGCTGCCAGCAAAGTATAAATTTAATCTTGGTTCCTTTGATTTGAGAATTTGCTTGGCTTTGATGTACTGGGTAGCCTGGTACCAACTACACGCCAGTCGTTGTGCTTAGTGCATTTGCTACATCGGTGGTGGTGATTCCTCAGCTGTGTACAGGGAGGGAGGCTGGAACAGGGAAGTGCCTTGGAAAATTAAGCTGTCATGTTGAATGTATCTATTGCACTTGTCCTCTAAGAGCAGGAAGCTCCCATGCCTTACTGATCCCACCCACTCCTTCCTGATAGTAAGTGCACCATAACACCTTCCCAAGTTGTCTTAAAAAAGCTTTCGGGTTTTCCTTAAAAAGCTCAGCAACTTTGGGGGCGTCCAGAATTTTTACTTCTTGAAATACGGCAACCCTAGAAAACTCCACTGGGGTTACACATCTCCCCCCAACTGCCTCCAGTGTTATAACAGGGAAATGAAGCTATCAAGGACTGTAGGTCTCTTCTGACGTCCTGAGCTATTGCTTGGGATGATCATTGGAAGAAAATTAAATATGTCCGCTCTAGGAAATTCTTTGTAATCTTGGATTTTGCTGCATTGTTGTCATCGAAACTAGTAGCCATTATAGTCATTTTCTCCATGAATTTGTCTGATCATCTTCTAAAGCCACCCAAGTTGGTGGCCATCACTGTCTCCTATGGGGAGTGAGTTCCACTGTCTCCTATGGGGAGTGAGTTCCATAGTTTTAACTATGTGCTGCTTGATGAGTACTTCCTTTTATTTACCCTGCATCTTCCAACAATCAGCTTCATTGGATGACCACAAGTGCTAGTGTTATGAGAGGGAGAAAAGCGATCAACGTCCCCCATGCAGTTTTCAATGCATACCTGACCCCTTTTTATTTGAAAATCTTACTCAGTGACTACATAAGGCCCATCGCTAACAGGCAGGTGGTGGCTGTTGAGTTTTTTGACTTGACAGATTCCTGCCGTGAACACAGAGTTGGGCTTCTGCAGCAAAATGTGCAGAGCTTTCAGGAAAGAAGGGAGCCGTAAACAGGGTACTTAATAGTCAGTGCGGTTTCTGCTAGGTCTAGAAGTGCATAATTGGGTCCTCGATAAACTGCTGGAATGAAAAAATAAAATAAAGGAATGTACCCAGTGTAAAAGCACATTTACATAAAGGTCTATGTTCCATAGTAAAGGAAATGAGGCACAGACAATGAAGGCTGCGGTAACTAAAAGAGACCAACCAAAAATGCTTTCTGAGGTGCAACCTTCTGCCTTTTAGCCCATCGCTGAGACACACAGTTAAAAGCTGTGGCACCCTGGAAATGAGCTCTCTACTCTTCTGCCCCTTCCTTAGCCTTGATTTGTGTTTTGCTGCAACTTCGTTAATCAGTTTGTTTTAGATCTTTCAGTCTGTGGTGCTTGAGATATTTGTGTGTGTGTGAAGATATGTGTTCTCATATGCATAGGAGCCAAGGTCCCCTCAACCCCAGTAAAATATTTGAGGGGGCCGGACCCCCCAAAGTTGGTGGGTATTGCCATTCAAATGGTGTGTGCTTACCTGTGCCCCCCTATTTTATTCAAGTTGGCACCCCTGCTCATATGCATGTCTTGTTGGGGTTTTTTCTTTTGTTTTTAAGTCTCAAGAAGAGATCTGCTCGCCTCACACCCACCCCTCCGAGGTCTCTCCCAGGGGTTATGTTTTCACAGCCAGATGGGATTACCTTTCAGGTGCTTCCAGATATAGCCTGTCTGCAGAAGCAGCATCTCCTATTTTTAGCAAAATAATTATGGTATCTGTGTCTGTCTTTCCACTCATCCTTCTAATGAAGCTTTCCCAGCTATATCTGCAGTGTCCAATGCATTTAATAGTTCTGTCCTTGAGAATATGGTTTTTATTAGAAAGGCCCATACATGCATACCCCCAGTTTTAACACGTTCAGCTTTGATTTGGTGAGTTGCTTTTCTGCTCAAACAGCAGGTGTTGCTCTGTCACAGGTGACTAGTGTGTCATCAGAGCTCCTGGCATGTGCAACAGGAGGGGTCCCAATTGCCCCCATCCTCTTTAAAGCCGAACAGCTGCCTTAGGATGCTGTTGTTGCACACAAGATACTTATCAGGTGTGTAACGTATGCATCTACTGAAAGGAAAGTACAAATAATGAACTGAATTTGTGTTGTGTGAGCTACTTTGAACTCCATTTTTGTCAGGTTAAGTAGTGTATAAATTAAATTTTTATCTAAAATCAATAGCGAATTAGAATATGAATCTTTAATCAGCAGTCTCTTATGAAAGGGTGCTACTTGCTGTTTTAAGATTTCTAACTTCCAACGGATAAAATGGCTGTAATCATTTAGCTGGGAGAAGCTTTTAATATCCAAAATGTTGAAGGTGATAATCCTTATAGTAAGACACTATGAGAATTTGTCCTTGGTGTGTTTAAGTTGTTTGGTATAATGCAAGAGATACTAAGTTTTCAATGAGTTTTGATTTACTGGCAGCCTTAAAATACCAATATGATAAAGTATTGCACAGTTCCACTACTTCCTTAGCATGTTGTTAGTCTAAGACTATAGTAGAGGGACTGGCTGCAGGGAGAGGTGGTGCCAGACTTAAGCATATGCGGCGCCGGGGTGCAAAGATTCGCCTGGCGCCCCCCCCCCGGTTGCCCAGTCCAGGAACTCAGGAGGGCGGAGCCGGCCGGCCACCTCAGCATCTCACTGGTTCGGTCACCCCCAAACTCGCAGTGCAGAGCCGCCAGCAGCAGAAGAGCCCACCGCAGCTCTCTGACCAACAGGCGGGCTCTTCCCCAGACTCAACTCTCGGGCCCCGGACTCTCAGCCTGGCACCCCTGAGAGCTCAGCACCCAGGTGTCCTGCACCCCTAGTGCCTATGGGTAAGATGGCCCTGGTGCCAGACATGAGAGGCAAGCATTCCTGCCACACATTTCCCTAAGGCAAGTTGCTGTTCACCCCATCCAGCAAAAGTGTGTGTGTGTGTGTGTGTGTGTGTGTGTGTGTGAATGCAACTGACAAATCAGTGTTAGTCAGGGGTACTGTGCACCAGGTCTTCACTTAACCACAGGTCTTCATGTGTCCAATTCACAACTAATTTGCTGCATTTGCAGGGGGTGAGAGGGTATTTGGCTTCAATATTGACCGAATGTGAGTTGACCTGTCCTGTCTTTTTCTTTTTCTTTAACATCTTAAGGTGATGGACAGAATTTGGTTACAGAAGATGTGACCGTCGTAGAGGGGGAAGTTGCCACCATCAGCTGCAAAGTCAGAAACAGCGATGACTCCGTGATTCAGCTCTTGAATCCCAATAGACAGACGATTTATTTCAGAGACTTCAGACGTGAGTTCTGTGTTGTTTGGCAAATCTTGATAAAGAGGTTGCTGAGGGCTCCTTTTAATTTAATGTCAGACATTTTAAAGGTTTAGTCAATTCTTCAGTAAGTAGGCAACGGCAGGCAATCATAATCACTTGCTTTAATGGAAAGACTAGCTATAGACCTTTTTAAGAGTCAGACCATCTTGCAGTGCAAGAGGAATTGACCACAGTAATTCATTCTGAATTGCAATTAAGTGCCAAAATATTTAGTTGACACAAACAAATCGAATAGGGCAAATCAGGATGTGCTTACCATTGGATAAGGAGATGTGTTTGGCTCGGTGGTTGGAATGTTCAAGCCAATCCTTCCTTAATCCAACTGAAGAATGATGTTAGGATGGTCTTGAGCATGTGTTTAAAACCTTATCAATAAGAGACGCTGTTATAATTCAAATTGAGTGCTCTTGGAGTCTTTGCCTACTCTCTAGGAAAATATAACTAAGATATATGGGGTCGTTTATAGCCCAAGGTTAGTAGACACGAGCCATCTTTCTCCTGGGACTGCCCTGTCTCCCATCCTTTTTAAAATGACATTTAAAGTTAGGAACAATATGGTCCCTAATATTTTGGAGCAAATTGACATGGATATGTCAGTAGGCCACAAAACTTGGTTCTTCTGAGTGCTTCTTTTTGCAAGGATACATTTCTTTTTTCCAAAATTGGAAATCATGCATTAGGTGAGGCCAGGAATAATGGGACAGAGATATCCTTCTGCAAACAGCCATGTGCCCTAATCAAGGAGGGGAAATCTGGAGAAATTTTCGTAATTTGTCTGGAGACTAACAAAAGGGCTGATAGTGAAACATGGCATCATGGAGGAGCTGGTGAGGTATATTACCTAGCCCTTGGAATGAAGAGCTAAGAAACTAATGAATGGTGCTCATCTCCCCCACCTCTCTTTATTCTTCTGATATGTTGGGATAGGTGGGGGAGATGTAGGTAGTAGATCTGTTAGGGGTTAGTAGAAGTAGGAATGTGCCTGTGTTTGAACTGATGCGCATTCTTCTGGTCCCAGAAATTACTTGGTGTTGTATTTGCAACATCAGAAAGCTTCCAACAATTTATTTGATTAATATATTTTATCTAACTTTGTAAACTTCTGGACCTCGGAAGTGGCTGCAATGCATCTCTCCAGCTTTGTGTTGCTTGATTAAATGTTTCCGATGAATTGGCAAAACCAAAGATTTTAGGAGTTCTGCTGGAAGTTGTTTGCTTAAACATTCTCCCCACATGTCCTAAACCTTCTCAAGTTTACCGTACTTTGTGAAATCTCTGTTCATGGGCTTTCCATCCATCTATCCTTTGCCAGCCTGGAACCCTCCAGATATTGCTCCCCACCCAATTTGTCATTGGTTATGCTGGTTGGGGCTGATGGACCTTGCAGTCAAAGATATCTGGAGGGCATCAGGTTGGGAATGCCTGGGATAAGGAGCCCTGTATGTTGTAGAAGCTCATTTGTTAAAGGCTTTCTGCAGCTTTGAGCAAGTAGGCAGGAAGGGGGAGAGTAATTATCAGTACTTGATACGGGGCTTTTGTTTAGATTATTTGTATTGATTGATGAGTACTAGTATTGTTTATTTCCAGATTGTAACATAATGAGCCAAAATAACAGGATGTGAAAAAGAGGGTGGTATTGCTACTGCATGTCAACGCTGCTGCCACCTCTCCAGGCTTCTGGTTTTCACTGTTTTCTCTGGGAGGGAAGCACTGTATGTCTCATAACATTGCCATTTCTAATTGTATCTTTGTTCCACAGCTTTGAAGGACAGCAGGTTTCAGTTAGTGAATTTCTCTAGCAGTGAGCTCAGAGTGTCACTGACGAATGTCTCCATTTCGGATGAAGGAAGATACTTCTGCCAACTCTACACGGACCCCCCACAGGAATACTTTATGACGATTACAGTGCTTGGTAAGGACCAGTCAGCCCCAGACTCCATCTTTAGTTCACTTGGGAGTGGCAAGGTGGTGGGAGGAAAAAGCAGATTCTTGGACATTTTAAAAACCTGCTTTATAGCCATCTCACCTTCAACACAGACACTGAAATAAATCCTCCTTACTGGGGCTGTTTCTCATGCAATGTTCTGTAGACAGTGGCACACCTTTTCATGTCTTGGGATGGATGAAGATAGTGTCAGAAGGAGAAAAACCCAGAAGATTTGTTTGTTGAAACCTTAGGACCCTGATCCACAGAATTGTATGTGGGAAATTCAGCATGTAGACACACATTAAGATTTCTTGGCTACACAACCCCAAAATGTACTACTTCATCATGTGTTCCAAGTTGCCTTCATCTACCACACACTTGTATTGCCTTACATGCATGTACATAAGGCATTCTCCAGACATGTGGAGGAGAATGGCAGGAGGGGGCAAACCCATAAATTCTGGAGGAAGCTGTTGCAAATAACTGTTCCCCTGGCAACAGCTGTCTGGAGTGTCATTTGTGGTTTTCCAGGCAATTACATTAGCTCATATTCTTCTGTGCTCCCCCAAACCCTTACATTTGCACCCATGAAGCCAAGCTTCTATCATAACCCATTACAGAAGTTAGAAATATTTGCCAATTAGGGTGTGAGTATTTAGTCCCTTGACAAAACACTCTTGGCTGCACTCATTGCTTTATTTCAAACCTATCTGTTTATTTTTAGAGTTCTGAGACTATCTAATAAAGGGCATGATGGGTAATGTAACAGCTTCTGTGTTACAGTCTGTGCTACAATGTGAAAATCAAGCATTGTATGCATGTGTAGGAAGTTACACCTCTTGGCAGGGTGATGATGCTTCTAAGGATCTCTGTGTGCCTAATTGTAGCCCACAAATGCTGGACCATATTCTCAGTGTAAAATAATGGGCAATATTTATATTGTTCTTAGTTCTGTTTTTTTCCAGCTGGGTATGTAATCATATTGTCCCCACATATACCATTGCACACTTCCATCTTTTGCCAAAGTGTTAACATTATTAGATGTAATATGTGTTTACTCAAAGCTGTTTTTCACTAAAGGTTGTATTTCATATTCTTGCTGGATTTAACAGGAAGGAAAACTAAGGTTGCAGTCATCTTGCTTGGAAGGGAATATCACTGAACATAGGCTACTTACTTCTGAGTAAACGTGCATTGGATTGCACTGTAAATCCATATTATTACTAATTACAGTCATACCTTGGAAGTCGAATGGAATCCGTTCTGGAAGTCCATTTGATTTCCAAAACGTTCGAAAATCAAATTGTGGCTTCTGATTGGCTGCAGGAAGCTCCTGCAGCCAATCAGTAGCCGTGGAAGCCCTGTTGGGCATTCGGGTTCCAAAAGAACGTTTGCAAACCGGAACAATCACTTCCAGTTTGCAGCATTCGGGAGCCAAAACATCCGAGTTCCAGGGCGTTCGGAATCCAAGGTACAACTGTATAGTTATTATTAGTTTCATTTATGAATTGCTTCCTATAAGGCGTCTTGAAGCGATTTACAATACAATAAAAATAGACTTAACTCAAATTACATATGAAACAATCTCTAAAAACCAGCCATTGCAAATGTAAAATCATTTTCAAATCCAGGACTGATACCAAGTAGTATAACAATCACCACTTGTTTGTTGAAAGAGGAAAGTCTTAAGTAAGTGCCTAAAAGACAATAGAGATGGTTCCGAAGGGCAGAAATACCTAGTATACACCAATCTGGTTTCCTGCAGGTGCTGTTGAACTGCAGCTCCCATAAGCTTTGGCCAGCATGGCCAGTAGTAAGGGTTGATGGGAGCTGTAGTCTAGCCACATCCAGATTCTGGAGGGTGCTTTAGCACATACCCATCTTACATGACGATGCCAAACTCTGGTATGGATGGCAACCCCTTTGGGTGCTCCTTGGTATGCCTGGTATCCTAAACCCCCACCCTATTTTGTTGTGTTCCCTATTGCCCAGTTGGGGCTGGGATGTGTTTGCCACTGAAGCTTTAAGTGTTATAAGGAGCTCAGTACAGATGTACATTTGTTTGGATGGATGGATAGAATCAAGCCCCATGACCCCTCCATTCCTACTCTGTATAATTCATGGAGCAGCAACTCTCCAGCATATGAAGCAGGAGAGGATTTTCCTGTCCAGGCTTCTGAAGATATTCAAGTGATAAAGTGGGGGATTTGAACCCAAACGCAGCCAAATTGTTGCTTCAACCCCTACTGCAAATTATACTCAAGAAACACCCTCCCCCTCTTCTCTTCTTCATGGCATATGGTGTCTGTCAGACACCAGTCCTTAAGTTTGTCGTGTGTGTGTGTCTCATTCCATTTCTCATAGTTCAGAAGATTACAGAACAGGCATAACTACGGGATTATCATATCCACTGATAATAGTTGCTAATACCATAACAGCCGTAGCTCCAGATTAATGCTGTCTCCTAACATTCCAGTAACGAACCTGAATTGCAACAAGCAATCACCAAGTGAGATCACACTTGCTGATTAGGTATATAGGTTCTCCGCTCTTACTCATCCCTCACCACCCTCCACCCCCACAATTTAATGAGTTCCAGTTTGTAGTATGTTAATATGTGTTGAAAAGGTATTTAAAATTAGCCTTTAATATGAATTTCAAGTTCGGCTACCTTCACTCTTGAGAGTTGTTTCCTAACACTGCTGCATTAAGAGAGCTTTTTATTCTCATGTTTCCCAAACTAAGATAGCAAGTGTGTGCGCATGTGGACACACACACACACACACACACACACACACACATACACATTCATTTCTGCTGAGGTGCTTCCAGGGATGCTCTTGTGTTACTCCTCCCCCCGTGACTGAAAGATTCAGGCGGAGGAAGGAGCAACATGGCAGTGTGTATATGTGCAGTGCACACACACATACACACTTGGGCTGACCTGTCCAGCATGCATCACATGGCTTTGAGTTTCACCTACATTCTTGGGGATAGGAACTTATTTGCAAGTGGGGGGCAAGGGGAAGACCAGACATCACCTTCTATTCCACAGGGGACTTGCATGCCTTGTTGACCTTTGTGCTTCCTCCTCCCTTTGTTTTTTGAAGACGCCATGCCATTCACTTGTTTATGGACCAGAAACAACTAATTTATTATCTGCACAATTCATTTTGTGCACACTTCCTTACCTGCGTTGGGGTGGGTGGGGAGAGAACAGAACATATTATTCACACCTGAATCGCACAACTGCTTCATTAGTACAATAACAGCAAAAACAATGAAGAAAATGTGTCCACTCATTTATAAACAATATCCATTTAAATTTTATTTTAATGCTTGATTTAATAAACACAGTACCAGCAGGCAACTGTGTTAACATTGTCTTTACTGATTATAAAATAGAAGGGGGGGGGACGCCTATCCCATCCATTCTCATCCACCCACCCTGTTTGCAGGGAGGTGGGGAAGAGGATAATGGAAAGATCTTTACTTTTTGGTGGACTTTGTGATACTGTAGTTATGCTCAGGGCCAGCCTGGCCATAAGGCAACGGTAGGACACTGCCTCATGCGGCAGGATCCTCAGGGGCAGCAGATCCAGCCTCCAATGAATGTTTTGCTCCCTGCTGCTCCCACTGCCACAGAGGCAGCAATGGCTGTGGTGTGCTTCTTGGAGGCCAGATCTGCCTCCTCCTCAGCACTCCCCTCATACCACCTCTACGAGGGTCTCTCGATGAATAGGAGATGCTGCTGGTCTACTCCCACCCTTCCGATGTAGATATTTATTCCCCCCTTCTTCCTGGTTTCGATCTTTACTCACCTTTTCTTCCCTGGCGGGGGTGGGGGTATCAATTTTGTGGTTCGCCTCAGGTGCCAAAATGTCTTGGGCAGGCCCTGGTTATGCTTCAGATTCTCTTCTGCTCCAGACTCTACCGGATTATATTTCATTGATCAATTCAACCCTCTGGCTTTGGATTTCACAAAAAAATAGAATAAAATAAAAAAATGACTTAGCTGTGCTGAACACATGCCTGAAAGGAAGGAAAGATGCTCTCTCTATAATAATGCTCTCTGATGCAAGAATCTATTATTCGTGTTGGGTTGCATTTCATTTATTTTCTTTGGAAAACGACCCCCTTCTTTCCCTCTCGGTCTGAAAATCCTGAATCTCCCTTAGTTTGTTTTACTCTATTTTTTGCTAATTATTTTTGGAATAGGAAATGTGGAATTTACATTCAAATGGAGGGCGAAAGCAGGGTGCTACTTTAAAGATGCATTTATAATACGTTTGATCTGTTAGAATTATTGCAGATGGTGATGCATTTACAAAGTGTTCCCTTAATCAAAACTGTAAGTTGAAGAGGACCTTCTATGCGGCAGCTGATCCACCTCTAATCTGTCCAGCAGCTATCCCACATGTTCAGTTTCTTGGAGGTGTCATGAAAGACAACAACATGCTGAGATCTCTATATATCTGTATGCTGTTTCATTCTAGTCCCACCACGTAACTTGAGGATCGAAGCCCAGAAGGAGACCACAGTGGAAGGAGAAGAAATTGAGCTGAATTGCACATCGTTGGCCAGCAGACCACCCACAGTGATCAGATGGTTTAAAGGCAACAAGGAGCTATTTGGTAGACCCCTTCTCCCTCAATCAACTTAATGGTGTGGTTGTGGTTTTTAGAGATGGTTTTGCTGATAAGCAGGATACTCCCGTGATGATGTGAGAAAATAACTCAAAACATCAGAAGGGAATCTTTTTCAGCCTGAGAGCTGCATTTCATTATGGGCAACCTTCTGTGGGCTGCATGCCAGAGGTGGGTGGGACCAGAGACAGCAAGTGGGCGGAGCAACAGGTGTGACTCTTACCCCCAGTAGGTCACATACAAACCACACAAAAGCCAGAGATTCCTGTGACCCCCCCTCCACTAACACACATACACCGTCTCCATCTTCCAGGCAAGTAAGAGGCACTGCCATAGCAAAGGACACATTCCAGCCAGGCAAAATCAGTTCAGAAGGGTGCTGAGCAGTGAGTGGTGTGGTCTTTTTATAACGTGGAGTAGCTTTTTCAGTTGATCTGGAGCACGAGTTGTGGTTTCGTGATAGACCCCTCCTTGAAAAGTAAACCAGGCGTCTCAAATTTTTGGGAAGCCTTTCCACTTTAATCCCAGGCATTTCCCTGCTCTCCCTTACCTTTTTCTGCCTGTTGAAATTGGCTTCCCTTTGGCAGGATGCCCCGCACAGACTGCTTCTGCTTCTGTTTCAGCCCGTTGCTGCTGTATTTTGCTGGGTCTTCAACAGTACCACTGTTTAAATATTTTAATTACTACTTTTAATTATGTAAATCCATGGAGTCACTTTCCCTCTTAATTATTGATGATGGCTTTTGGCAGTGGCATTGGAGGAAGAGGGTGGAGGATTTCTGGCTCCATTGACTTAAGTGTTTGGAAGGCATCCTGGAATTCCTAATCCTCGCTGCCGAGCGCTGTAGATTTTGTGTTTAATATCACAAGCTGGAGATAGGGCCCCCCCCCCTATAAATCTGGAAGCGAATAAGAGAATAAGAACTCGCAGGCTTCCTTTCCTTGTGATTGACTTGAAAAAGGTCTTTCCAGCCCTACTCCATTGCAAAACTGTTTGCTTAACTTTGATACCAGCTCTCCTCTTTTCCCTCTGTATCCCTGTATATACCAGATGTGGGAAACCTCTGGCCTTTCAGATGTTTCTGGAATCCAATGCCTATCAGCCCCAGCCAGCATGGCCAATGATCTGGGATGATGGGAGTTCGCCATCTGTGGGATCATAGGTTCCCCACTCCTGCTGTATACGGCAGGTAAACAGCCACTCACCTGGCCACCTTTGCCAGCTAAGAATTTCCTCCTGACCGCCAGGAAGAGAAGCTGCTTGTCAACTAAAAAATGAGTTGTTTCCCTTTATTTTGTGCAGGTCATCAGTGTGCCACAAATTAATCCAATAAGTATGTAGGTAGGAAAGTAACAATGAAAGGCAGGTGTTGCCACCCTACAAACACCCATAGATTATAGGAATGTGCAAATAAAAACAGAGAGAATAAGGTTGCAAGAATATGCCTGTTGGGGGGTTATGAATAGGTCAGCATATGCATAGTTGAACTATCTAAGAATTGCAGAAGTGGAGAGAAGCTCTGGAATAGATAAGTTAAGCGAGGCAAGTCACTACTAGATGAGTACAGATTGCAGAAGTGACTTCAGTTGAAAATGACAACACAAATGCAGCGATGGAGGATGCTCTTGGATGGGTCTAGTCATTTGCCATTTACCTGCTCTTTTTCCTCCCCTTTCATGTCCATTATGCAGGTAAAACAGAAGAGGAGCAGTGGTCAGACATGTTTACAGTGACCAGTCGCCTGTCGTTGAAGGTCAAGCGAGAGGATGATGGGGTTGCTGTTGTCTGTCAGGTAGACCATCCTGCCGTCAAAGACTTGCAGACCAAGTACTACCTAGATGTAATGTGTGAGTACCAGAGTCACAACCCTTCCCCCCCCCTTGCCCCACACATGGAAGTGGCTTGACCAAAGCGATTGATTAGACAATTATGGTTTGTTGTAGCATGCAAAAGCAGTTTATCTGATTTGATTAAATGAGATGTTTAAAGTATTGAATTTGGGTTTAAGGCTTTCTTTCCCTGCTCTTTTTGAAGACAAATTATTTCTCATCGTCTGTTCTTGTGCTATCAGTGCAGAGCTGCCTCAAGACATGTGAACTAAGCATTTAAATATTAACATGGAAGCGTGTCAAGGTTTATTATTATTATTATTACAAAAAAACATACAAACACATGTATCAATGCCGTCTACAAAGACATGGAATCCTAGAACAGATTGGAGTGCTGGTAAAGTCAGTGGGTCTAACCATCAGAATAAGAGGACAAGAAGATAGAGTATATAAGAATTGGAAAATGCATGTAGAGTATATGAAAAATTACAGCAAACAGGTTAAAATGTTAGCAGGATTAAAATAAATTCAGCAGTATAAAATACGTGGAGATAAAGTGAGAAAGAGAAAGTATGGAGGGTCTGCAATATGCAGGAATAATTGGAAAGCTAGAAGGAAACCATGGAAAGGTGGAAAAGCAATCAAAGTTTAAATAATTTGTAAAATAATGTTGTAGTGAATTTAAAAAATGTATTGATGAAAAATATAATTATTTTAAAAATGGAGTGCCTGTAGAGTCTAGTGACTACGGTTCAATTCTGCACACTTCTTCATCTACTCTAGAAGCTGTGAGTCAGAAACCCCTGTGTTTAGGTCTTACCTCAGCCATGAACTACCCAGGTGACAATTAGGTAAGCCATTCTGGTTCTGGTTATGAGCTGCTTCAAGCGTTGTGTAGCAGCAAGTACAAGTTAGCAACCAAATTATGCTGGAGTGGGACCAGCTGTCACTCCATCTGACAAGATGAATATGTCTCCCTTTTTAGGAGCTCCACAGAACTCCACTTTTGGAAGCTTTGGGTATCTCAATCCTGCCCTATCTTGATAGTGTATGTTCCGTTATGTAAGAATTGTTACTACAGGATGCTTTAAAGTAGATCCCACTGGCTGGATTGTTGATTTGCTTAAGCTGTGTCTTTCAGTTTCAGTAAGAACGCTAGAGGTCTCTTACCATTCCGGGGTGCCTTGGCATCTGCATATTCCTAGTTTGTTTCTTATGCTGAAATAATGCTGAGAATTGTGGCAGAAATGGCTGGCCTCTTTCTGGGATGGGAAGGGACCCATGCAGTGTGGCATCATTCATTTGAAAACAAGGAAGAGCAGCAACCTGGCATCAGTCCCCCAGTACCTCTTCATGTTCACAGAGGAACAGAAATGAAGCAGGGCGATCAGGAGATGGTGATTCAAAACGTCTTTTGTATATGCAGCTCAACCATAACATTACACAAAGAAGCCCCTGTGTTAATTTATTTCTTCTACTTCATTATGTTGTTCCATTATGAGCATTCTGCTTACAATTTTCATATCGCCCAAAAGTATTGGGGGAGTAATGTCCCCATAATGGGAAAACAAAAACCATCAGATACTGCCTAAATTGGCAGATTGTAGCTGTCTTGCTACTGTGCTAATGTGTAATTCATTTATGCAAACTTAATGTCCATTAACATTTCTTGTAGAGCTCCATTAGCTTTAATAATACATTAGCACCTTTGTTAGGTCTGATCAAAAAAGCTTAACCACACACACACAGACAGAGACAGACGCATGTACAGGCGCACGCAGGCAAAAAAAGGGAGATGAGGAAAGTTGCTTGAACTGTTGCAAGGTTGCCTGCTTGCTTAGGAACAAGGCTGGTCAATTTTGTGAACAAATGTTATGGCAAACCAGCTGCTGCAGGTGACAGCTGTTGGGTGACAGATGTGATTCAAGCGACCAGAAGGGTGGGCAGAGAAGGTTTGTGACTGAACCATCTACCAATGGAGCATGTTCTGCCAGTTTCTGACACAACAAGAGAAGTAGACTCCCAATTTAGTCTGTTTAAAATCCCTGGTCTTATAATAACTCATGATGATGTAGGTTTTGTTCATGTAAGCCTATCCAGACACATAAATGTCAGTGTATTTTTAATCTCTTTCACTGTTAATTTTATTTATTATTTCTAATATTTTGAATTGCTTTAGCGGTTTTATGCTGATAATTTTAACATCTCTTGTAAACCTCTTAAAGATCTCACTGCAATCAAACGGTATATAGATTTGGTTAAATAGATCTTTTAAAATAAGATTTCTATACCGCTTCTTATTTGCAGAAGGCAGTACCAAAGTGGTTCACGCAACAATAATAAAACACAACAAATCCAAACAAAATAAGCATCAAAATGAATCCTATTAAAGAAAGCCTGGATGAACAAGTATGTCTTCTGTTGGTGGTGAAACCTCTGCCCAGAGGGCGGCATATGCCACTTGCATTTTCTGACTGCGGGATTAGAATATATTTGGCACCCCTGTTACTGAGGAATGTGTGATCTTGGAGCATAGCAATACGTTCTCTTGTTTTCTTTTTCATAAGCTGCAAGCCTTGGCTTAGGTTTCCCCCTCCTTTGGTACCGCCAGTGCAATGGAGCTACAGAAGAAATTGCACAGCCCACTCATCTGCTGCCTGATGTCCAGATTGCAGCAGCCTTTTGAGTCCACGCCATGCCTTTCAGAGAAATAGCACTTGTGAAATCAGGTGTAATTGTCTTACGCTCTCAATAGCTTTTTGGACTCGCAATCAGAACAAGGTGTAGCCCTCCCAATCACCGTTTCAAGCACACCAGCTGACCGTTCTGTTAGGTTGCAGGCGGGCAGCGGCCTGAAGTGGTGCCGAGCAAGGGGTACCTAAGCATTGGCATCTCGGTGGTGTATCAGAGGCCACATCTCCTCCAATAAGCCTCCGTGGAGAGGACGAGGAGAGGCAGTCCTTGAGGAAGGGGGGGGACACTAAAGAACCGGGACGTTATCCGCCGCTTCACAGTTCACGCGTGACCCTGACCCGGCCATTCCCTTTCCAGCACCTGCCTCTGTGATCAAGAGAGCCGCGCCAATGAATGCACAGTCACAGCGAACGATTTTCTCACTTTGGTGTACTTAGTATGAGATGGAATTTCAGCAGGAAGTGGCTTGTAATAAAAGAGAAGGTATTAGCAGGAAAAATTCAAATTATCTACAGAGGTATTTCAAGGCAGTGAGCTAATTATTGTTTGCTCAAAGTCCTGAATATGCAGACACGCTAACGTTTCTACAAAAGAGAGGCGGGGGAGGGGGGAAAGCTAAATCGGGAAGAGACCTTTATTATGGCAACAGAGCAAATTTGGCTCCCCTTTTTTGGAGTCTCTTCCCTCTGCCCACCCCCCGGCTTAGAAACTATGAAGAACACTTAGCAAGACCTGTAAGGAGAGTACTAGGTTAAGGTCTAGAGTCAGATGTAACAGCAGAGCATCCTTTTTTTAATGAGAAAGAGCAGAGGCCAGCCTTAGGCTCATCCCTCCCCCCCCCCTTCCAGTGCATTATGGGGAGGAAAAAAGAAGCTTCCATTTGGAGTTTGCAACAATATGGCAGATGTTTGTTCTGACCCTACCATGGTTCTCCAACCAGGATAAATTGCATACTGGAAGTGGAAGCTTGCAGTCTTCTCCCTTGTATATGAAGGAAATGGGAGGAAGGAGCACGCCAGCCCAAGTTTCATGCCTACTCATTCTCAAAACAGCTATCGAATCATCAGGATACGTTGCCTTGAGTCACAGAGAACTGGTGCCTTCCAACATGTCTTGTCGTATCTGCAAAACGCTGCACTGCCACCTGGCCTCAAAGCAGTGGCCTTTGATTCCGGCAGCTATAGAGGGCCACACAATGAACAGGGACTTTTGGTTTGATTCTTGGCTTGTTCCTCTCCAACTTTGCTATAATTTCAGGAATGCCTGTTCAGTGTTGAGAGACAAATAAGCCACATATTAACTCTTCTATGCAGGGTAAATTCCAGGCATCAGAGAAAAATCTACTGTGAGGGCAATGGTCAAACAAAACAGGATAAGAAGAGGGAGGAAAGTGTAGTTATGTGCTGAATTTGGAGTGCCTTTGCAAGCCAGTCAGGATGTTTCTAACTCATACACACATTTGGGAGCAAAGTGGGCGAGGGGAAGGGAACTTTAAATTGGTACAGTAAACCATTCCTTCGATGACTGAGCTTTGTGTCTGCCACAGCCCCTTGAATGTGGTAATCGCAGTGTTTGCAAGGAGAGATTTTGTCCGCATACCTGCCTAGCTATTGTTCTCCACCCGTCAGTAATTCCATTAGAAGCAGAGCCTCCTGCAGCGCAATTTCACTTTGTTGGAAGTTAGCATGCGAGATCTCCGCCTGACAAGTCTGACCTATTTAACTTAAGGTTTTATGAGCATTTCATTTAAGCTGAGCTTTTCATGCGGCTGCTCAACTGAAATTATGGATTTGGGCTTTGTTTTGTTATTTGCATCGATGCCACTGTGAGAACTTTGAGAACTTAGCGAGTGGTTTCATTGGCTGTTTCAATGAACGGCTGCCTAGTGGAAACCAAAAGTTGGCTAAACATGCCCACTCCAGGCTGGGTGGTGGGTTGCTGGAACATGGTGCATGCATACCTGTGAAACTGAAGACAAATGTCTCTCACCTGCATATTCAGAAGCCTAGGAGCATCTGGTGCCTCTGAATTATTCTTATTATTCTTATTATTATTAGCCTTAACTAATTATGACTAGGATGTGGGAGGCAGGACACTGGCTTGAAAACAATCCTGAATACACCTTTTCTGTATGCCCCTTAGAGGGGCTATTTTTAACAAGTGGTATAAAATGTTGTAATATATAAGCCATGCAATGCAAGGAAACCTGTGAGCTAAATGAATAGACCTGCAGTTATTTTCAATCTCCTCTTGCTCTCATGTCTGGAAGCTGTTAAAATATGCCCTTCTCAACAGCAAAGTGTCTGGATGTTTGTGGTTCTCCTCTTTTGTCACGAGTTGCTTCACATAGAAGGAGAAGTGGGATGCACATTGCTTTTTTTTTAAAAAAAAAGTACCAAGACTGTCCATACCCCATGAACAAGCCCCATCAAAGTCTGAGAATTGCACAGGCCGATGGTTCCCATCCATTTCATCTGGACTTGTGCTGAAGATGTTCCTAGTTGAGTAGGCATGCCTTGTCTCCCTGGTTTTGACCTCTGATGCTCCCAGGTAGGACCTCGGTCACACATTCCTAAACGTGACTATCTTGCCATGGTTATGGACGGTACTTTCCTATGGTGGAAAGGTCCTCAGAAATCTGGCTTTCTGTGTGTGTTGAGGAAGATGCTTCCAAAGAACACCCGAGATGTGCAGGATCTTATGTGTCACCAAGCACCCTGTAATGTGAAATGGAATATCGCCTTAATTCCAGGAGAACAAAGCTGAAACTGATGTGTCTGCTGTGAAACTGAAACTGTGTGTCTGCTGGAAGGGCACATAGCCATAGCTGCCTTTGCACTTGGGTGGCAGTCACAAGCCAGTTAGTTATGCCATGGGATTGGACTGGTGCAGCATATTGAAGAGATAGTTTGCCCCCAGTGGTGGCTGATCCAGTGTATACTCACAACTCCTTATGTTGCTTGAAAAGGAAGCTGTGGGTAAATGTAATTTTAAAAAAGGAAATGGAGCATCAAAATACATTAAGGCATCATTAAGGGCTTGAGCTAAACAAACAGGAGAAGGGGAAAGCTCAGTCTTGCATGCTGTGTGTGTGTGTGTGTGTGTGTGTGTGTGTGTGTGTAATCCCTTGCCTTTGTAGTACCTTCCTCCTTCCTTTGTTATGTAACACTAAGGGGAAGGCAGACAGGCACAGCTGAATTTTTAAGCCCCAGGAGAAGTAATGCAGAGTTAAGTCATAATTAATGGAACACAGATATTTATAATGTCTACATGCATGTTTATAAAAATATATACCCAGGGAAGCTGCTGTAACCTCTGTTTGTTGTTCATAACCAAGAGAATTCCCTGTGCTCAATTATGTTTAACAAAAAAGCAAAAAAAGGAAAGAAATAGAGGGAGGAAGGAGGCTAGCCATATGTGGGTACCTCGTGCTTTAATAATCTGTTTGCTTCTGGTGAGTGCAAATATTAATTGCAATAGTATGCAGTGAAGTGATTAACATCAATATAATTTATCATCTGGAGATTTCTGAACATAAATAAATGAGTTGTTTTGTTCAGCGAGGTGTTGACCCTTTCAGAATATGTGATTTAAAGGGGTTTTATATTATTATTACTATTATTGTAAATATGAAAGGCACTACGATCAGCCGAGTGTTCAGTTATTTGATTTTCTGGAGCATTAGCCACTCTTGTTTGTGACATTTCCCAGTTGGGTGCTCGTTTGCGAGCTCATTAATAAGGCTTTCTCTGAGGAATGTTGCTGCAAATGAAGAACAGTATAGCAGAGTCTGGCCCTGTGAGCATAACTCCCAGTCACAGCGAGTGTGCTGTTAAAGGGTTTAAAATGGGAAATAATTACACCCTGGCCTAAACCCAGAGGCCCCTGTTCTTTGCTGTGAATAAAAAGGGAAGCTTTTGTGCTTTGGAACAAAAAGAAAGAAAGAAAAAAGAAAGAAACCTAATATTTTGGTGCAATCCTTTTTCGGTACCAAAATGGATTCTTTCATGATTTGGGCCTCTCCCTTTGTTGGCTGGGCTTGGTTTCCCCCCACCCCCTTCTCTCAGCTGTGTTACACCAAACTGTAATGCAAAGTATAATTGGTAGCAAAAGGCTGTAAGATTTATAGTTCCTAACAGACTGTTTTAACAAGAACATCCAAACAAAAAGAGAGAACATGAAAACTCATTCTGTACATAGCAATTCAGGGTTTACTCTTTTTTCATCTTGAAACATGTATCACTGTGCGAGTGAATAAGAAAACAGTGCAATTGTGTAAGAGGAATGTGGTGCTTCCTAGCCTTTACGTTTCATACCTGAATAGTAATGCCAAGTTAGATTATTTTTACTTCCTTTCTCACCCACCCACCTACCCGCTGCAGCCTGTTGTTCATTCTAGGTCTGAATTGGAAGTGGCACTAGCCCAAAGCATACCTCTGCATCAAGTGGTTTCAGGGAGTAATCCCTGGCCAGCCACAGAGGACTTATCTCATGGCTCAAGTGACTACTTGAGTTGCTTGTGTAGTCTGGCTGTCCTTCCTTGGGAGGTTCCATCCCAAGTTGGCGCAGCTTCCTTGGCCACTGAGGAAATGGTGCAACTCAGGAAAAGGACTGTAGCTCAGGGGCAGAACATCTTGCATGCGGAAGGTCTCAAGTTTAATCCCTGGCTTTCCCAAGTAGGACTGGGTCTGTCCCCATCTGAAATCCTGGAGAGCCACTGCCAGTCTATTTGGGTCATCAGGTATCTGTTGCAAGCACCACATGGCACTTGAACCTCAGAATAATCAATCCAGCTGCCCGCATAGGATGAGAGGTCAGCCATGGTTCTATTTCCTGAGCAACTGCAGCATTGTAGTCCTTGCTTCCAAATGAACTTGTTACCTCTCATTGCTAAGTGACTTGCTGTGAGTGTCATGGAGTGTTGGACATAGCATCCTGAGACAAGCAAGTTGCCTCGGGAACCCATAGATTACTCTGAGATCCCATAGGTTGCTAACATTCCATAAAAATCCACGAGATCCACAGATGAGTCTTTAGGTTCCACTGATTTCAGGGGGGCATTTGCGAGCCTGTCTTCTCTGGGTTGTTCCACTTCCCAATGCTGTGTGCATTAGAAATTGTGCCGTTTCAGAAAAGCAGGCAGGCAACTTGCTCACAACAGTGAAAGAAATGTCCTTAACAGGGTTCCAAGGGCAGCCAGAACTGCAAGACTGCCCACCGTCCGACACGCCTCCCCAGGTGTCATCGGATCCCACGCATGCCTGCTAATTGAATAGGCTGCCATATTTCCTTACGGTATTGTACAGGTCTATGCAGCTGCATGGACATTGAAAAAAAGGCTGCACTGAGGCAGAGGCAAGAGAGAGACACAGAGAAAGCCATGAATGAATGAATTTATTAATACGGTCACAGACCAGCGCCAACACACACAGCATCACAGATCATAAAAAATAATAATATCAAAAATACAGAGGACAATATGAGTATAACAAGCATTTAAATATAAAAAATTAAAATTAATTATTAGCATGCCCCCTGCAATTAACATTTGGGGTTTGGTCACCATGGGATACCACTTGCTTCCTGTGACTAATTGCAGCCGCACAGAATTTGGCTACATTTAATGTAGTCTTGGGATTCTTGTCCTCTAGCAGTGGTTCCAAACCATGGTGTTCCGACTCTTTCCTGGACTTCCGCAAAACAGGTGCAATAAAAGTCAAACGTATATCCTCATAAAGGCAACAACGTAACAGTACATGTGAAGCAGTCTCAACCTCCAACGAGCCACAGGGGCAGACCCGCGCTGTATATGGTTTACCCTCAAATCTGCCCTGAAGTAAGGCAGAAGGGAGAACGTTGAATCTGGCGAGGGTAAAAGACCGTCTGTATTTGGGTACCTGAAGACCTGACAGATAGTTAGCTGGAGAAAAACCTCTCCCATTGTCCCTTATTGCAGGATGTTTGATCATTTCACTCATGTGGCATTGTAATTCTACGTCCCAGATACGCTCAGAGAAAGCCATGATGGGAGATAGAGGCTTAGAGGACTGTGGTGCATTCCTCTGGCCATCTATTGGAAGATGTGTTTCTGCAGCTTAGCCCACAGCAATACAGTCAGCTGCCCCCTAGGCAGTACATGGGTTATTCACCGTGTCCCCTGTCCCACCCAAACAAAGCCTCTGGGGAGGAGAATATCCACTGAGGCAATTTTGATGTAGTGACATGTGCCATGGGTTGTTCAATAATATGGGTCAAGGACTAAAGCCAGGAAATCACAGTGACTTCACCCCCTTTCTGTAAATAAACTTTTAAGGTGCAATTCAAACTCCCTTTACGTGGGAGTAAGCCCCATTTAATTCAATAAGACTTGCTTCTTGGCGGGATTGTGTTGTAATTCACTAAAACCAATTTTCTCTGCCTAAAAAGCAGTAGCGAAATTCAGTTTTCCTGATGTATCCTCATAGGAAAAACATCGGAAGTGCCCTTCTATTGAGTCAGACCGTTGGTTCACCTAGTCCAGTAATGGGGGTCTGGGAAAATATTTTCTCTGTGGCCTTCCGTAATTGTTGAATGCCCTCCCCATAGAGCTGTGTCTAGCTAGACTCTACCACTGCCATTATTCAGCTTCCATTGTATGCTGAAGATGATCCTTTTTACCCTGGCATTGGACATTTAACGTATTTTTGTGGGACCAATCTCTTCTGTTCTGGTTGACCTGCACTGCGCTGCTTTTGTTTGGAATTGTTTGGCTTGGTTTTAATTGCATGAATATATTTGTTGCAATCCACTCTAGGACCTTATGTTGAAAGGTAAGAGATCTTATAAATAAACAATATTGCCTGCGCTGACTGGCAGCCACTGTCCTCTGCTTTAGACAGGATCTCTCCTAACCCTACCTGGAGATGCTGGGCACTGAACCTGGGACCTTTTGCAGGTGCTGTACCTCTGATCTATGGTGTTTCTGCTTTCGATTCCATTTATCACTCTTTCCCCTTGCCTTCCCCCATTGGTCTTGGTTTTCTTAGTACTGTTCTTCCTTGGTTTCCCTCTTATTTTTTGAACTGTAGTTACCTTGTACTGGTTAATGGTTCTTTCCCCAACTGGGGTTCCACGAGTTTCAGCGTTGGACCCTTTGCTTCTCATTCCCATTCCTTTATGGTCTCTTATTCACTCCTTTGGTATGTTGCCATGTCTATGCTGATGATATTCAGTTATTCTTTACTATCTCTGATCTGTCGTCTTGTTTAAATCTTTGATCTTGTCTTGCTATTTCTTCACAGCTGTCTGCTTGTTCTTTAAAGCTAAATCTTTCAAGGACAAAATTTCTTATTTTTTTTTTCCTCTGGACTTTTCCCTTCCCGTCTGTTTTTGTCAATGATGCAACTATTTTTCTTTCCTTTCAAATCAAAGATATTGCTCCTCTTTTTTTCCCTTCTGCGATTCCATCTTTAGCCAAGCCTTTTCAAGCCTTTTTCAGTTGTCTAATATTGATAAGATCCTTTCCCCCCCCCCCCCCGTTATTTCTGCCCATTGTTCCATCCTGTGTTCTCATTTTGCCCAGATTGGGTGATTGTAAGACTCCTTAGGTAGTCTTTCCCATTTTAAGCTTCTTGTTTCTTAATTTGATTTTTTTCTTCCCCTGCCCCATCTTATTTATTTTTTTCGACATGCAAATACGATCATGCATCTCTGCTTATGATGTTGCCTTTTTTTCCCTTTTCACATTCAATTTAAGATTATGTTACTTCCCTCTAGCGCCTTTCATTTCTGATTTCTCTGTAGTCTCTTTTGGGGTCTTTGTTGCTTCTTACATCACATCTCTTCCTTTGATTCATGCTTTGGTTCTTCTTTTCCTTATCTACGAAACTCCTTACCAGCTGATATGTGATTAATTTATTCTCTTCTTTTTTTAGCAAATGCCTTAGGACTCGCTTATTTTTGCATTTGGCCTGCTCCGGTTTTTTAGTACTAGTGCCTCTGTGTGTGTATGTGTGTGTGTTGTTTTGGGCGCGCCAGTTGAGCACTTCACAATTAATCAATATTATTTTCTCTCCTCTTCCTTTATTTGTGGTTGGTAGCTGTGCAGGAGTAAAGGGCATCAGGACCAGCATGACATTCCTGTTGAAGGGGAAAGAGGGAGGGTTTGACTTTCATTTGCTCATGAAATTCAAATACGGGTTATAAGGCTGTGAGGTACAGGGACGGAAAAAACCATTCCTCATCTAATATTCTGACATGAAACATGAAAAGTTTTATGTGGTCAAGCCAGCACAGGCTGATATTGACTTATCTCCCAAGAATGTGAAGAGAGCAGGCATTCTATGCCTCCGGAAATGTGTGCTGCACAGTCTTAGCTTGTACTGAAAATATGTGCAATTTTATTTTGTGCTAAAAAGAGAGAGGGAGTGTTCATCAAGCCCCCAGTGGGCTCTACCCTAACTCCTCCCCCCCAAAAAACCTGGTTGTTGCTATTTTATATTGTGTATGTCACTCTTTCTAGACCATATGAGAAAATAAAGGTATTTTATTAAACTATGTCAGATTGTGCAGTTAACTATCTGGATATATGGATTTGTGTTTTCTCTTAACGTGTGTGGCTGACCCAAGACTCACGGGCATCCAAGGCAGAAAATCCAGATAGCATTCGTCTATGTCAGTAACCAACGTGTTGTTATTTCTTATCTGTGGGGATTGCATAATGATTGGCCCTATTGAACTCCCACTGCTTTATAAGAAGGCAAATAAATTTTGTTTTCTGAAAGCTGCTATGAATTTTGTTTTCTGAAGGCAGCCCTGTATAGGGAAGTTTTAAATGTTTGATGTCTTACTGTGTTTTTATATTTTGTTGGAAGCCACCAAGAGTGGCTGGGGCAACCCAATCAGATGGGCAGGTTGTTGTTGTTGTTGTTGTTGTTGTTGTTGTTGTTGTTGTTGTTATCATTATTATTTTCTAGTCTGTTCCCTCCGTCTTAATAATAAAATAATCAGTCAATCCTTATTGTAAAATGATTCTAAACATTATAAAATAAACATTATAAGCATTATAAAATAATAATTGTTGAGTATGTAGTAATTAGTGCACATGTCTTCTTAACCTTGTTTATATCCCAGGATGAGAAGCAATGGTAATATCACTAGCAGAATAGATAAATTAATAAATAATATAAAAATGTATTCTAAGCTGTTCTTTATTTCAGATTTTTGAGGGGGGGGGGTTTCCCCGCCGTTAGATGTAACTAACTTCTCTTCCCTGCCACCACCTTCAGATATTACAGTCTTGCATTCAGTTCTTTCATTTAGTGCAGATTTGCTGCCAATTCCAGGAATTGGATGTGGGATTGCGTGTAAATAAAAATGGATAAAGCGGCGCTCAATTGGCTGCCTTGAGCTGATAGCATTCTGGTTAGATTGTTTGTTGCTCCGCATGTGCCGTTGTTGAAGGCAATGGACTTTGTAACTGCGGACTTGGGCTCTTGTTCCTACAGGGTCTTTCCAAAGGATTTCTGAGCTGCCTCCCTGAGTGCAAAATGCCTTTAATCCCTCGGTGTGTTTGTGTTTGGGGATTTGTGAGATTCATCGGCACGAGCAGAAGTCTCCGCTTTGTTCCAACAAAAGGCAGCGGCCTGGCATTTCTTCCCTTAAGCTTTTCCTAGCACAAATGCACCCATCGGAGCCTCGGCGTATTAATATGCCACGGCACAAAGTATTGTCAGCCCATAAAATATGATACATGATAAAATGTATCAATTCTGAGCGCCACAAATCTGCCGTTTCACCTCAGCATGAAGGCAAATGAGTTTCCTTTAGCTCGAGTGAGTTCAGAGATAAACTTCAATTTAACAAAATTTCATTTTGCAAGAACCAGTGGGGCTGCTGCCCTTGGTGTGCGGATTCCTTATCAGTGCGTTAGGCTTTGGAGGCTATTAGTCAACTTAATTTGGGGAAATGCCAGGATAATTTGCTGATTAGACGGGTGCAGTGGAGAGGGGCAGGAGGGTGAAGCTGTGTCAGTACAAAGTTTTTGTTTCACGATCTGTTTAAATGCGCGGTTGCTTGATATTATTCGTATGTTGTTTTGTACGCAGACGTATAAATTGATGTTTGTATTGTGTGTTTGATGTGCAGATAAGCCTGAAGTGCAAGTCCTGCAGAACTCCCCTGCACAGCCTCTAACGAGAGAAGGAGACCTCCTCGACCTTCTGTGCCAAGTGAAGGGCAAACCAGAGTAAGTGGAGGACCTGAGACTCCGTCAGAACGTGCCCATCCACCTAACTGGGCTGCTCGAGGAGAATGCTTGCCTCCTTCTGGTCTTTTTCTTGAGCATGTTCAGCACCCGGTCCTGTTCTCCTGCATTGGTATGACGTTGCATGTCTGAAGCACAAGGCCATGAGAAAGCACCTGCAGCCATGGGCAACCCCATGGGGAACCTGGGGTGGTGGGAACCTGTGGCTCTTTAGGCATTGTTCGACTCTCTCCAACTCCCATCAGCCCCAGCCCATGTGTCCAGTGGTCAGTGGTGATGCGAGCTGGCATCCAGCCACACCCAGAGGGCTGCAGATCCCCCAGCCTTGGTCCACGTCCACTCTTCGACTAGCAGATAGGTTTGTGTGGCTGCAGAAACTTGGAAGTGCCCAAAGGAAACATTGGCCGCAGTCAGACTGCAGATAAAATGCTAAGGAAAGTTATCTATTTGAAAATGCTAGGGGTGAGATTCTAGAAAATATAGGTCTCCCCCCACCAATACTAAATAAGAAGGGCTTTGCCCTTACATTTTCCCTCTCCTATGATTTTGTTTTCCACGGTGAACGCAGCTTAGATTTCGTTCAGTTTTAAGTTGACCTTCCCCTCCAGTATTTTCCTTCTTTGCTCCTGAGCCTGCCCTTTTTTCAGTGTCTGTTTTAACACGTGAACCCTAACAGAGACATCTCTGATCAATATGCTCCTGTTTTGAAATTTTTAGCTTCAGAAGACTGATCCTTTCCTCTCACCCCAGGCTCAGTCACTTTTTATCCATCATCTTTTACTATGAATTCAGATCTAGGGCTGAAATCCTAATGTATGCTTATGTGAGAGTAACTCCCGTTGAACTTAGTAGAGCTGACTTCCAAGTAAATGCATAGGATTGAACTGTGCGCTGCTTTCCCTCAGCTTTTCTTTTTTCTGTTTAACTGTTGTATCTTGCAGAGCCCTTTTATTCCTGCGTGTGGTATATTATCCTTCACTTGGTATGTGTAAAGCTTTGCATATTGTGGCTTTAAACTTGTTTTTCCAAATCCTGTGTGAGAAGAGGAAGAGAGAGGGGATGATTGCTCACTTGGAAATTATGTCTCTGGTGTTCTTTGCAATTCAGAAAGCCAAAGGAAACCGAGGACATTATGGACTGATTTACCTTAGTTATGTCTCTCTCCAACAAACGTTTTGTGTTGCTTCCAGAAGATGCTAAGACTTTGATGGAAAAGAATTTCAGAGCTGAGAAATAATACCCAAGGATCCTCCTGTGTGTGCCCCCACAAAGAAAATGCTGAGCCTCCCTGCTTTTCCAATTGCATATTCTCTCTCTCACTCTCTTTCTCCCTGCCCATTAAAGTTGGATATTTGTTACTGAACTCAACTATATCACAGGAAGAAAGAAATGCTACTTATGGCAGTGACTTAACATGCAAGTAAAAGGGTTAGTAATGCATTTGGGGTTATTGTTTTGTTTTGTCTTCTCCTTGCTTAGGCCTACAGATGTGTCATGGTTAAGAGTAGACGACGAGATGCCTCAACACGTTATAGTGTCAGGTTCAAACCTCCACATTAACAGCCTAAACAAAAGCGATAACGGCACATACCGCTGCAAGGCTTCCAATGAAGTGGGGATGTCCTTTTCCGATTACACACTTTATGTATACGGTACGTGAGACAAACACACCCTTCTTCCAGATGTCTTTATGCTGAATTGCTGTCAAATATTCTGGGCAGGGGGTTGTGGGGAGGGGGTGGAATAAGAAAGCAGTTTGATGGAGAAAGCAGCCTCTGATAACTGTTCAAACTCGGCACGTTAAGTGAGTGGGTTGTTTAAAACACACACAGAAAACCCCAAACCAAGCCTGTTTACTTCTGTCTTCTTTCCCCCATCTGATTCAGACTGTGTTTTCTTCCCATGTCAAGTAAGCAACTACTGCCTGCACTGTCATTAAGTGCTGGCTTGGAGAAGGGGAGTTGCCAGATGCAAAGAGGGGCAGGGCAATAAACATCTTGGAGTCATCCTGTTTCATTTCACAATCCAGGACGGCTTCAGCCATATTCCCATTTGTATTCCAGTGAAGTCTTTTCAGAAGCATCTGAAAAAATGAGCACGGGAGTTTTTATTTTTTTTTATTTTAAGCCAGGCCTTCTTTAGCAAGTTAAATAACTGAAGATGTGTGCAGATAATGTAACCCAGCACACAATCTGGAAAGGCAAGTCTCATTCTGCCTGTCTTCAGCTGCCAAAGAGGCACTAAAACATTTGCTAAGGCATTTTCTTAAAAGTGCCGTTTATGTACCTGCTTTAATTCTGGTTTCCTGGGTTTCTTTTTACCATTCCTTAAAATGTTGTGGCATAAATAGCAGTAATCCTAGCCTGCGAAAAGAAAAATTAAATAATTTCTCACCCACCCCGGAGCTACCTTTCAGAATGCGGTCCTTTCAGCCTTGGGAAGACTGGTGTGTTCTGTGTGACATGAACACATTGCTGCTCTGTAGGCTGTGGTGCAGGCAGTGTGGACAGATAAATCAAGGCGTCTAATAATGAGAGCCAGTTGTTTTCAGATCATTGTGTTCCTGAATCCCCTTGGTTCCAGAAGACTCTTTTTAGGAAAACTTTAGGGGGTGATTGTTGGTTGCAGTCCCATTCCATGAAATGTCACTTCACATGTGTAGGGCATTCAATTTATATAGCAGGCTCTGTCGTAAATGTTGCAGCTTCAGAATGTTTAATGGGTAAGTTGCCTTCAGTCATTCCTTTCCCATGCATCCTCTCTAACCTCCCTGCAGCCCCCCCCCCCCCCCCCGGCCTCCAAGTCTGCCCTCTCCAGCAGCTTAGTGTTGCTCTGCATATTGATGCTTGCGATGCAGCAGCTCATTCTGGGCTTCTGACCCTGTGCACTGTTCCAAGTTGTTATAATCTGCCAACCGTCATGGGCCTCCATCCTTGACATTAGTTTGCAAGTGCAGAGTTGGAGCAGAGCAGTAGATTTGTTTGCTCGGGGCACAAAGCATGAAACCCACCAATTGCAATCTTCACCCAGGGAGAGGCATTGTGAGATTCCCTTCTGTACTTGTATAGGTCAGCTAACTGCATAGTTTATTCTTCCCTTGCCCATCCATCAAAATTATGTGTACATATACAGGTAGGAACCATTTAATGGTGTAGAGTAGGAGAGTGCCCTCCTGATGGTGTTACCTTTGTGTGGTTGCTCCAGAGAAGGTGTTTTGACTTCCTTGTGTGATTATATAGGCCATAGCTGCCCCTAAGTCTGGTGTAAGAGAAGTGAAACTTGTGTGAATGAAAGTTAATTGGGCTGGAAAGATTAGGAGGACAGTGCGTATCAGATGATGTGTACAAGTCTTAGGAAATATTGGTGGGGAAAAATTCTTTTTAAAGTTAGGATTTAGAAAAGTAGCATTTCCAAACAATCTAATCCTTCCTACAGAACAGCTTCTCATGGGTGAGTTGAACAGACGGTTGTCCTTGCCATTGTTACGCTGAAAAATGTTTAAATAGTAGGATTATCACTGAAAACAACCAAAAGCTATCAAAGAGAACAGGAGAGATAAAATTAATAATGGAATAATGCCCATATCCCTCAAATTCAAATGCACCGTTCCACATACGTGCCACAATTTCCTTGTATCTGAAAAACTTTGGACTGATACTTTCTCCCCTCAACCAAAAACCAAGGCTTTCAATCAAAACTGAAATATGTTACCGCCTGTACCCATTTTCAGTGGGAACACCTCGGGGGAGACTGACATGCCTGCCAAATCTTGCAAGTTTAGTTGATGAAAAAAGTGGTGAAGCTAAAAATTGAGAAGGCTCAGGAGACAACACTACGACCCCACGTTGGTCACCAGATCACTCAAAACCTGTTAGGTGTTTGCTATTGTTAATCTGGTTTTCTGTTGCATGAGCCACTTGGAGGACCATGGATCTGAAGATGTTGTACCATGGAAATGCATCAAATCAAAGTCTCTTTCAGTATCTGCCTAATATAGTCAAATGCACTGGCAGTGGAAGCTGGATATCTGTACTGTGTACAGTGTACTATGCATTCTTTCTCTGACCTGGAATCTCCTCTCCTGTGGAAAGTTGCAGCAGAGGTCAGCTTTGCTGACATTATCTGAGGGAAGGAGCAGCCCTCATTTTCTTGATGATCTCCTGACCTGAATTGTGTATCAGTCTTGGCTAAGTTCCTGGTCTCAGGCTGAGGCCCATCAAACCTCTGCTTAAAAATTAACACGCAAATATATTTAAGCAACAAAGGATCTAAGAAATTATCAGCAGCGGAGCCAACCTTCGGCACCAAACTTGCAAAGCCCAGCTAACAGCTACTCCTCTGATGGCATCTTATGTTGGCATCTGATTGCATATGGGAGAATGCCGTCTATAAACACTCACCAGGCAAAACTGGTTTCCGGCTTCTTCGCCTGCTTGGAATCACCCATTTCAACACAGTCTGGCAGCAGGAAAAATAGATAGTAAACCAACCACACATTGTTCCTAGTCAAGCATGACTATGTTTGTAGAGTAGCCCCTGCCATGTACAGCTGAGTGGGAGACATAGAATCTTATGTACCAGGCACAATCGACCAATAGATTCTTCTGCATCCACCTCAGTTGAATAAGTAGGATCTGCAGGTAGCACTCATAGAATTGGAAGGGACCCAGGGGTCATCCAGTCCAACCCTCTGCAATGCAGGCATCTCAGCTAAAGCATCCATGACAGATGGCATCTAACCTCTGCTTAAAAACCTCCAAGTAACCCCAGCCCAAGTAAAGTTTGTGTGAAAGGGAACTGCATCCTTCATAAATGTGTTAGCAACAGGATTGTGGAGGCACCAGACAGGTTGCTGTACATAAGTGTAAATTCCTTGATGACATTTTGAAGCAGATTCATGGGGGAAGGGGGAGAGAGATTTACCTCAAAATGGCACCTCTGTGACGAGAGACAGCCTGACTCTGAGTATCAGGCCCTGGACACAGAGTGGGCATCACCTTCAGCATCTGACTTGCCCCATTTGAAGGGTGAATGCAGGATTAGATCAGTTGTTGTTGGGTTGTTGTTTTTTTTAAAAGATAACTAGATAAAAATAAATTGTACTGGCCTGCTAGGAGGCTACGTACCTTATGTTTTTCATGCTGGCAAGAGAGGAGAGGAAGCTTAAGCATGCGGCTTCTATTAAGTTTCGCATACTAGTTTTACTGGCAGACAAGGCTTGGGGCGGACCTTTCTACCCCTCCTCTGCTGGCCTGCTGTGTTTCTGTGCTGCTTTCAAAGGAGATAGCTCAGAAACCAAGTGGTCTGGTAGAGGATCCTTCCTTTCTCTGCTAGCTAGCTCACTCTCCTGTGTGTAATCCCTGGCCACATTTGGCTTTCAGGGAAATAGTTAAATACTTGACTGGACTAGATGAACCTCCAGTCCGATCAAGCAAGGCGATTCTTATCAAGTGTCAGATGTTGTAGGCAAAGTTCTTGTGCCAGTTCCCCTAGTTAGCTTCCAAGTCTTCCAACCTGAACCTGCATTGGGGGACCCATTTCTTTTTCTGTTTTACCATATATGTGTGCACTGGTGGTGGTGCTACTGTTGCCGCTCATCTCAGATCAGGCTGCGACTCAGGAGCAGGTACTAACCCACCAGATGAAGACCAGTGCCATAGGGAGCACCCAACCCTTCTGCTTCCTTATTCCTAGACCAGGGGTCAGCAAACTTTTTCAGTCCACTGTCCCTCAGACCTTATGGGGAGCCGGACTATATTTTGGGGGGAAATGAATGAATTCCTATGCCCCACAAATAACACAGAGATGCATTTTAAATAAAAGGACACATTCTACTCATGTGAAAACATGTGATTCCCGGACCGTCCGTGGGCTGGAATTAGAAGGTGATTGGGCTGGATTTGGCCCCCGGGCCTTAGTTTGCCCATCCATGTCTAGACCATCAGCTCCTTTAATTTCACCACTTAAGTGAGTGCTGAATTGATTGCCTGAAGGCTTTCCCAAACGGAGGCCTTGACCCCTTGGTATTGCAGTTGCTCCAGACATCTTGGTGGTTGCAAACATTCACTCAGTGACGCCGCACCCAAGTGATGTTTCCTATCTCCTGAGGAAGTTGTGCCAAACACAATAAAGGTGAAGCACATAATTAAAGTTTGGATGTATTAATTAGAAAATCTGAGAGCTCACTCGGAGATGAAAGAGTAGCAGATGTGTCAATGATGAGAAGTTTGACATGCTCGAGATAAAATTTAAAATCAAAAGCCTCCGAACTGTTTCATGCTCCATTATTGTGGATTCATTCCTGAGTTCAAAGTCTGGTGCTCTACTTAACACATTCAGTTTGATCATTTGGGCACAGATATGTGGTGGGTTCCCCCCTCCCTTTTTCTTCCCTCCACCCAGTAACTTTTTATGAAGTCGTGATGCTGTCTCTTCTGGATAAATATTTGATGCTTCTTAAGATTGTTTGCTGTTGGCTTTTGCAGGTCAAGCGTCTTCTATACATGGTGCTCCCCCACCTACCTCTTTTTTTTTTTTTTTTAATGGCGGAGGGAGAAATCCCCTTCATCTTTATCTGTTGGGACCATTAAGGGATGTGATATATTAAACAGGAGGAAAATCTGTGAGCCCAGACAGAGCATTAATATTTATAAGTCACAAAGACATTGACTTTATTTTAAAAGAAATCTCACTAAAATCTTCCATGCATCCAACTTGATATTTAGTCGTGACATTCTCGTTCCCTTTTGTATTTATTACTGGCTTAGAAGTAGTTTTATATCCTGCTGGGATGTATTGATGGAGGGAGAATAATGAAGTTAACTGCTCTGGAGAAAGGCAGAGGGAGAGACGTACTCATCTGCTGTTGATATTTAGTCTGTTAAGCGCAGCAGGGTCTCTCTCGCCTGCCCCACTCCTAGCCCCTAATTTTTAGATTATTTTTTTTTTAAGACAGAATAAAGACAAAGCATTATTGTTCTTAATGCATTGCAAACCGTCCTCTTAGCCATAGAAAACATGCAACTTTTTTACTTGCTTTGTGTTGTTGTTGTTTTTCATTTGTATTGGTTTTCCCCCCACAGGCTTTTCCCATACCATGTCACTCACGTATCAATGACTAATTTTGTGTTGTGTGTTGCTTCTCCCCACCCCACTGCCACCAATTTGTCCTAATGTTTGAGGGCAGGGAAATGTGTTGCTTTGCTTCAGTCATCCTAATCCAGAGCTTCTCCACCAAATGAATGGAGTCCCATCCTCACATTTTAGCCTGCCCTCTTCTCCTGATACTTAAGACCTACTTCATAAGGGTGGGCAAGAGGGTATAACCGCCATCCTTTATTTTGCTTCTTTGTTAATTTATTGACCAGTTTTATGTTCTGCTCATATTTTTTAATTTGCTTTTTTTCTGTTTCCCTTTTTATGTTTTATCTAGATCCCCCCACAACTCTCCCTCCACCCACAACAACCACAACCACTACCATCCCTGCCACCACCACAGGTACGGTACCTTCATAAACCATGGATAAAAACAGAAATGTGTGTTACTTTCTATGAATAGCAGATGGGCAGAGGTTGGGGGAGGAGATAGAGGAGAGAAGGGGAGCTGTCACCACATTTTTTACACTTATTGTTAATTTATTTTGTTTTGCTTTGCTAGCACTGGAAAGTGGGGCCCACCAGTAAATGATCCTCTAATAATGGAGCTCCCTGAAGTCTCAAACATCCTGCTCAGGGAGTCCATAAATTAGCATTGCCCAGCCACCCCACCCCAGTTCAGTTTGAGTTATTCATGCTTTAAAACATAAAGCACTGATTCTCACTTTGAACTTTGGCTTCGATAGTATATTTGCAAGCATCTTTCCTTATACTAGGCAATTAATTTCGTTTTGATTTTCAGTTATCATAATCTGCTTCAGTATCCTGCAGCACAGCCATCAGCACAGCGTACACAAACAGAGCTTCTTCCTGACGCTTTCTAAACTAGTTCCCTCTGAATTTTAAATCCCTGCCCTGCCTTCCCACCCATCACTTTGAGCCAAGATACATTCTACACAGTCAACCGCCATCAAACATCATTTGTACCACCCACCCCTTCCTGTGAGCTGTTCTCTCCCTCTTCTGATAACTGGGCATGGTTGCCAAACCCATCTTCCATTGTCATCACCACCCCCTGGATGCTTCTGTTGCAGATTTTTTATTTTTCTTTCAATACGAAGAGATGCCAGACAGAGTCCTGTACGGAAGGTGAGACTGCACTACTCTCTTCACAGGCAGCCTTTGATCTTGTTACAATCTCCCCTTTGCTTAACACAAAGTTTGCCATTCACCTTGCAGGCAGTTGTTGTGCCTTCACTCTCTTTATGTCCCTGTCTTCCGCTTTGCTTTCCCAGAGATTCAGAATTAATGGATCTGTACAAATAACAAAAACCTTTCCTTCCAGTGTGCCTTAGCTATCATTTTCTGTTGTCTTGTCTAGCCTTTTGCCTCATTACATTTTTCTCCTTCCAGGATCTTAAGAAACCAAAGCTCCTATAGGTTTCTGTGTGTTCTCAGAGTGCCTGAGTGGTTTGTTTTGTCTGCAGCATTATGGAGTGGGTCTGCCCACACACTGACCCACCATTTACCTTCTAGCACTTTGTGGTGGTGGTCCACAGGTTAATCTCAACATGTGCCTTATAAACCTGTGCAAGGAGCAGACTTGAAGACTCCAGATAAATGCAATTTGAAGGGTGGAGGGTCTCAGCAGGCTACCTGGTGAAGAGAAGAGCTCATTTTCATGTGAAATGACTTCCTGAGTTTAAACCGTCATGGTGTGAGGTGTCTTTCATGGGAGGCAAGTTAAGTTGTGGCAACTGTATTGCTTTTATAATCCCTAATAGATGTTCAGACTCGACTAACTTTCCCCCGCTCACTCCTTAAGACTCTGCGTTCATAGGAGGTCTTGCCACGACCTCAGGGTAGAATATCGACTTCTGGGGGTTTGTAATATGAGGTCTTTTTTTCTGCATGGCTAGGGGTTTGCATCTGATGTTTCGGACCAGAAGACATTCATCCTGCTTTGTTTTGTCACCACCTAAAAGTGAAAATCTGACTTCGATGGGAGAGGACATCTTAGGGCGACTGGGTATCAAGCTAAACTCTCCTTCAGGAATAAGTGCTCAAAGCAAAATATGTGTGCATTAAAAACTGCACCCAAGTTGGTGCTGGACAGCGAAGCAGAGTGCTTTTTAAAACTCAGAGTAAAAATAATGTAAGTTGGAATGATAGGGAAGGATTCTCTTGCTCACATGGGGAAAGACAGTAATAAAGCTCTGGCCAGCAGTATTTGGATGGGTGGGGGAATTGACTGTAAATTAGCTCTCTCTGCAGCACCATCCAACCTCTGAGGGACACCGGGAAGTAGGAGGAAGATGACTAGTCACTGACAGCTTCTTATCCATCATTTTGTTGTTCCTCTTTGTTAGGCTCTGGCTCTTCAGTTTTTCTTTAAAACCAGCTGAAACCAATGGGATTCCAAAGTCCATGTTTCCATATAGGTGGACCATTGCACCCACTATTCTTTTAAAGAACTGACTTATCCCTCTTCTTCACCCATCTGTTTGCTTCTGGGTTGCTTTCATCTATGAATATAATAAGACTACTTCTTTATGCCATTTCCATTCCGATTCTGTGGATTTTAATTTCACATCGTTTCCCTCTGGGTGCTGCTAATTTTGTTTGCAATTTTTTGTTTGTAATTTTTTTAAGAAGAATTTTCCCCTTCTTTTTAAGCTTTAACAGTCTAATTCCACATAAGCTGGTAATATGGCTCAGTTTCATTGCAGGAAATGTTGCAGACAAGATGCAGTCTTCTTCGTGATTGGCTGTGTGGCGTGTCCTTCTCTTCCTCCTTTTTCCACATCACTCTTTATATTACCTTCAGCCACAATCAGGAACCCAACAGACCCTTTCCCCTGTAAGACTCTTCTGATGAATTGGAATCTTCCATCTCTTCCCAGAATCCACAGGCTCCTTGTGTGTGTGTGTTAATTTGTGTGTGTGTGTGTGTGTGTGTGTGTGTGTTTGTGTGTGAGAGAGAAATTAATTGATTACTCCTATGAGTTGTCCATTGATTAATGTTTCATAAACTCACATATGGGTGAAAACTATATTTATGAAGCAAAAATCTCTTTCTTCCTAGATAACAAGTGTGTGTGTCACAGCACGCATTTCCTCCTATATGTCCAAGAGAATGGACATTGCCTCTTTTCAGCTGGTGTAATTTCCCTCTGCAGTTTTTATAAGCACTTACATTAAATATATTTGGTTCTTCTTCTTTTTTAGCTGATGGCATTTTGGGCAATTAAAGGTGTTAAATACCAATTAATAAAAATGTTGCAGTCCTTCTATACAAATGAGTTGGAGGGCTTCGGATCATTTGTGCACTTCAAAGTAGATACAATGGTGCTAGCTCAGGGCCTGTCAGCATAATGGGTCCCAAAACTCAGGTAAGTAGTAGACATCTTTGTTGAAATGTGGGTTTTGGTATCTTATGCTTTGCTCTTTCAGCAGAAGATTAAAACAGTGAATGGGACCAATTGGGGCTCCTGATTGTGGCCACAGGTAATCCCTGGCTTTTAGTTGGATTTAAGCAACTGTTTCCCCGCACCCCCCTCTTCTTTAAGCCATCGTCTGGCCTCCTCAGAGGGTAATTCTGGACCCTTTGCTTTAACTCAAGGCGTTTCATCCACGCACCAGCCATCTTATATCTTCTGCATACAGTTTCTCAAGAGCTACATCTTCCCTAGGCACAAAGTGCCCTTGTGGTGGTAACAAATGATCTGGCACTGAGGCATAGTTAAGCTGAGATTGCCACTAGGACAACTTTGTCAAATCCCTTCTTTCATTCCCCCCCCCCCCTTTTCCGTGATGGATGGGATCTTGCAGAGTTGCTGTGTCTTAGCAGACAAGCTGCGTACGTATTTATCTTATCCTGAAGGCTTGATATCTTCCTGCATGGAATTTAACTTGGGCTCTCTCTCTTCAAACAGATGAAAGGTTAGAGAACCGAATGCCCCCCTCCTTCTCCTTTTCCGCAAGAGAGTAGGCTGCCTGCTTAAATTTGCCTTGTATATTATTGCCTGACAAATGGGTACAGAAATGAATTTCCGTTCTCTCGCTGCATTCTGTAGTACTTTAGAGCCACCCATTAGCCTTAAAAGCTTCAGCAGCCAAACACCAATGATTAAATGTCGGTATAAAACTCCAGGAATGTATTTTCTTCCTTCCGTGCTAAAGGTTTGTGTAACCGAAAACCATTCTCCAAATGAAATTAGCATAATTACCAACATTTTATGCAGTAGTCACAGGGAAAAATGCTTTCCTAAAAGCCTCAAGGGGCAACAGATCATTTCTGCTGTTGCTCTTACCCCTTCCCACATTGCCACCTGCTTAAAACCTATATATACAAACACATAGAGGCTTGCAAAGTCCAGTGGGTGTAAATTACCTCAGATTCAAGTTTGGGTGCTATGGGTGACCTTCATAAAGCCCCAAGCTCTTCAAATTAAAATGGGCAGGTGATAATGAGCCCACTGTTCTTGGCAGCCCCTTGTCATAGTCCCTGGAGTGGGGGCAATTTAACAGTATAGTTGCAATGTCATTTGTTTTATGCTAGAAGCCTGCAGTTATCAGTCCCAAATGCCTTCTTTCAAGCCTGACCCCAGTTAGTTGTGCCTGCAAAGGAACTCCAGCACTGCTGATGAAGCACAGTAAATTATTTTATTTCTTGCCCACATTGTAATTAAGAATGATTTTTCCATTGGCCTTTGATGGCTAGTCTCTGGATGCTTCATGCTCTCCCCACCAAACTTCCCCTAAGTAGAGATCCGTTTCCCAGCATGTCATGTGATAATTTGACTGGGTAACCCTTTGTCTATCATGGGTTCCATTCGTTTTGTGTTTGGCCCTCTCCCTGGCAAGCAGCACCGCTTCCCCCCAGCCCCATATAAAACCCACCACCCTTTTATATCACTTCAAAAATGTCCTTGTGGCTTTATTCATTAAGACATGCAATATGATATGGCAGAGCAAGCTGCATAATTTAAATTGCCCCTGGAGTCTTCCCTTGAAATGTTCCATTTGGACAGCTGTTATTTTCTGCGAGATAATTAAAAAGTTCTTAATATTTGTTTAAAAATAAACCCTTCTTTTCTTTGGGGCAAAGCACATTGTGTGTGTGTGTGTTCAGTTTATCTTTCCTCCTCATCCTCTTATAGACCAATTGTTCTTCCACCCAAGTACATTGGTGCTTGTGCATGTGTTGCAACTGCAGGTATGGGCTTGCAGCCTCCCCTGTTTGTCTCTTGGTTTCTGTGCTAATAGAACAAAAGGCATCTTCCCATGGAGTCCCTAGTGCTGGAACTGGCATGTTGGATCATGCCTAGGATGGAGATTCCATTATGTCTTCAGCAGGGGCACCAGCACAATCACAAGCAACTTCGTGATTCCTCCAAAACTCACTCTCACTCACAGCCTGAACATGTTATCTGTTTTCCTTCCTGTAAAACAACATTATGGCTTTAAAAAAAAACAAACCAGACTGAGATGGCGTGGTGTTAAGACAGCAAGAAGGTTACAAAAATGTTCATGTACTAGTCTTCCTCCCCCCACTTTAAACAACAGATGCAGTGGAATTAATGGGCAATAGATTCAGACAATGCATCATTAATTTGTGGAGTCTGCTGTTGCAAGATGAGCTTTAAAGGGAGAATTAGACAAATTCCTGGAGGACATTTGGTCTTTCATTGGGTATTGGGCATGGTGGCAGAGGAGCACCAGTGGCAGAGAGTTATTGCTTTCATGAACTTCTTGCAGGCTTTGGGGGAACTTCAGGTCTTCCACTGTGGGTAGCTGCCAGATGCTGGAATAGATGGGCCCACCTGGGTTTCGTCTTGCAGGCTTTCCCTATGTTTTTAGAGATGTACTTGAGTGAAGGACTTGAGGTACTTCACCTGAGGATCTAAAATAAGTATTTGAATGTCTTGTAAATCAAATTAGTGCCAGACTGTCTAAAATGGTATATTTGACCCAACACAACCCCACATTTGACTCATTGGAGGCCCAAACCTGCTCACATCACCTTTTAATTTGGTGCTTACTGTCACAATATACAAGGGAGGAATCACATTAGCTTTATCAAAACCTTGCTCCAGAGTTTGACTCAAGCTTCTTCTTTTTTTGTTGTGAGACGTGGATAAATTTGTTTGAGAGTTTTTTGTGCCTATTTGCACTACAAATATTTAATGGATGTAAATGTTTGGAATCACTCCTTCCCATTTTTCAGAAATTCAGAAGAAGCAACCACTGTTCTTCTACCAGACTGAATTTTGCGGTGTGGCGCATGTTTCCTTCTCCACAGCAGGTTGGCCAAGCTTGTTTCCTCCAGATGGTTTGGTTTGCGGCTGCCATCAGCCCCGAAGTCATCTTACACCCCTGCTGGCTGGGACTGATGGCTGTTGTAGTCTGAAACATCTGGAGGGCACCAGCTTGGTGAAGGCTGCAAAGGTGGCCTTTGTACATCCCCCGAGACAGGCGTTTGGTTCCCAGGAGCATTTTGCAGACTGGCATAACCTTCAGTTCCCGCAAATTATTTATTGTATCATCTTGGCTTTCTGTGGAGGCTTCCTTGTGTCTCTGGTAAAATGTCAAGTTAATTTAGAGTTGATGTTGCGATCTCCTGACATTTTCATCCACTGTGTGACCACATTAAAAGGGAAGAGAGGAGGAGGTAGAGCCCCCTACACCTGGGAAGAAATAAGTAGGAGAAGCTGTTTCTGCTGCCAGTGCACAGCCAAGAACCAGCAAGAGCATTTTCCCCTCTTTTTTATGGAATCAAACCCTTGCTCTGAAGAAACCAGTTTCACTTATGCATTGAAAGAAAACTTCTCGAATTGAAGGGGGAAAGGCAGCTTGAATAATATTAAGCTTCCATGTATTCTGATGGACTCTCATTTCATTCCTAGCATACCTGGAAGCTCCTGGAGTTGTAAAAGAAATGTACAGTTTACCTTGGCTGATGCTACCCCACTTCTGGGCAGTCAGCTGTGTTGACAGGATTGGTCCCACCTGTCCTCTTGGATCAGCTGCTAAGGCAGCAAATGTTGGGTACACTGAACTGGCTTCCTCGTACCCCTCTCCCCTGCAAAAAGAGGGGGGGCAATTCTTCTAGGTTCATTGTGCAACTCCTATTTGCTGCGTTGGGACTTGCACAGGAGACATTCCAGCTGGGATTGGGTGACCTTTGATTAAATTTGCTTTTTGTTTCCCCCAACGCCAGCGCTAAGGTGCTTTTGCATGTTCACTCAAGGATGCTTCACTTCACTAGGCTGGAGGCCTGGATGGAGAGCTGTGTGGAATGAAGCGTTAAATCTCTGCCCAATATGCAGTTCCATGCTTCAAAAAATAATTTTCTATGCTACACAAAACTACTAAACGGATCCTGATTATTTTTGTGAAACATCTGGTCCGCAAATGAAGCTATCTCGTGGGTGTAGTACAAGCAGGACGCTGTACAAAACGCCGCTTCCAACGCTCTCGCTTGGAAGTGCTGTTTTGCATAGTGTGCTCTTGTTCCGGCAGCAGCGTGAGACGGGGCATCTCCTGCCCCCTTCCTTTCAGGGTGGTTCCGCTCGCTCTGTTTAGGCCTGTTACATCCCTGCTTCTGTGTTCTTTCTGCCCTGCAAATCCTGCAGTTGTCTAGTTTAACTGAAACATAGTGCAGATCGAAGGAGCTGAGGCAGATGAGAATAAATGGAAGATTTTGACTGTGTCCTGCTTTTTACAATCACCTATAGATCTGTTTCCATCATGCATTCTTCTAAGCATCCCAGGGGCAAATGCCTGTCCAGCCATAGGGTGCTTGAGCTCAATAATCCTGACCCAGAATGGCAGCTCTTTCAGCTCTGTGGGCAAATTCTATGTCAAATTACCCTCTTTTTCTTCTTTTTAAAAAACAAATAAATGCAAGATTATGTCTTAATAGCATGCTTTGATTGCAGCATGGCATCTCAGGTAGGTGATAATTATGCAGTTACTACTCTGGGGAAAGCATAGTTTCTCAAAGCAGGAGCAGTTAAGTTGCCTGGATTCTATAGGCTGGCAACAGATTTAGGACTTTTTAAAAAAAACTGTCCTTGGATTTTCATTTACGGAACCCATTCTGTTAGAGACTGTGGACTAATTTTATGGATTAGTTTTTAAACCCCCCAGTCTGTCACATTCAGTGAACAATTTTAAGTTGGAGAGAAGCCATCTGAATGGATTAGAATGTGCCACCGAGGAGTTTGAATGCCACTGTTTCAACTTAATATTGCCCAGCTGTCTCAGAGGCTGGCTTGTTAGGGGGGTGGGTAGTTCTTTTACACTGACCATGTTAAATGACTGATATCCAAAGGGATAGACAATGCCACCTTCCCCCGCCCCCGCTCCCACTTTGTAAGATAACATCATCCATGACAAAATATTTAATGTCTTTGGTATCTGGTTATGTTTATTTTTATTATCAAGAGTTTCTAACACTTGAGATAAAAAGCAACTTGATACTTAGAATGCAGTTTTCCTGCAGCTGGGCCACTCTTTCCCCAGTTACAATGTTTGGATTATATTTGAAAAGCAAACACATGGTTGGTACACACATAGATGGGGTGGTGGGAGGGAAAGAAGGGAGATGCTGAGAAATGGGGGACATGCTTCTATTACTCCACATCCTCAGTAAATTTTAAGTTTGTCACTGCTCTTTAAGACTGGACAGATAATTGATTCACTCTTGTGTTGTTGTTTTACATGAACTAGTGGCTTTGTGAACAGGATATGCCATAGTATTGTTAGCAAATAGACTCCTTTTGTCCCCTCTGTCACTTGTGGGACCTACAGAATTTCTGGCAGATTATTTTTGATCTGTTCCTTAGTGTTTTTACCCCAAAGAGACAAAGCAGGTGGTAATTCCTCCTCCTTTCAAAGTGGGGTGGGGTGGAGTGGGGGAACCATTGTTCTTCTTCTATGTGTTGCTTTCTGCTTTTGAAAATGAAGCCATTTGTTCCTGGACATCACTGTAAAGTGCCTTAAGAAAGTTATACACACACATATATATATCAGCATGAATGCCATTGCTAAACCAGGAGCTCATTTGGGAAGATGGCCTAGACTGAGTTGGACTTCGAGGCAGTGCACCTTTTAATCATTAACTGCTTTATTTCCCGCTGTGATCACCCAGCCCATCTGCTAATCATAACTTTGCCATTCCAGCTGCAGCCAACATGATGTTGTTTGACTTTGAATATTTGTTCGCCTTTTAACTGCTTGAGAACTTTGTGTTTCATTTTTGTTTGTTTGTTACCTGCTGATCTCTGTCCCTGGATGGGAAAAGCGAGCTGCACTGTCCACACGGAACACTGTTCCTTGACTAATAATCTTTTTCCAGCATATGAGCAGAAGTTCTGATTTCAGCACGGTTTAATTTTGAACCGGAAGTTCACATAATTTCCCACATACATAAACAGACACACAGAGGAAACAGGTTAGTCAATTATTCTGGGGAGAGCATGAAATTTCAGGCGTTAACACACAGCTCATCCAATTTAATCCTAGCATCCCCTCTGACCTTTCCTTTACACCTTTGAATCCCCCACCAGTTTAAATGAGACATTGTAGGCTATGCAATTGAGGATGAAAGGGGCAGGCCTCAAACTTCTGTTTCATTAACTGTCAAGCATTTTGATGCTTTAATTTTGCCAAAGCTCCCAATGTGAGATCAGGAGCTTGGTGGTCCTGAACTGTGTGTTAGATTGGATTGCAAAGTGAAAAACTATCTGTGTTAGAATGGAGAATAAGATGTGCCATAGGTGAATTGCTGTCATATAAATCTTGATAAAACACCTATTTCAATTGTGCAAGGGGGTGTTGCTTTTCCTTCAATATTTTAAAATGTGCCAGCCTGTAAGTATCATGTATTTCCCCCCCATGTGGATTATGTACCTGTATTATTATTATTATTATTATTATTATTATTATTATTGTCTAACCTTTGCTCTGGAAAGTTAAGTATGCATTGTCCTCTGTTTGATTGCAAAGGGAAAGTGGCCCCTGCTTTCTATTAAGTGGAAAGTCTGGCCGTCTCTGGATTCTGAGGGTGGCATGTCAACTGTGGAGAAACACCTCCATGGGCTTGTCTTCTGTAATAATAAAAAAGCTCAAGTTCTAGGGTAGTTTATGAGCTCAATTACATGTTGTGGAGCCTTGCAGAAAGCTATTCTTTTGTTCATTTAAACATTGCCTGTGCTGAACTAAAGAGGAACCTCCCAAACCTTCTTTTGAGGTAAATGGCCTTGTTTGTGCTGCGCTGCAGAAACTCTGAACACTTAGCACTTTTCGAGCTGCTCCCAGAACAGCCGCCTCACCAATCCTATGGCCCCAACCCACATGTGTGGAGCTAAAGGTATATCAGTTTGTTGCTGAAATGGAAAGGGGGACAGGACCCTTTATGTCCAACTCCTCCAGCACAGATGGCAAAGCGCTAGCTCACAAGCTGGATCTGGCCCACAAGTCTTTCCTCCACAGCCCCCTGCCCACTCTTCTGACCTTTAGGGAAGGGGCTGCATGTCCAGCACTGATCCTATGGCCAGCGTGGCATAACATTCTTCATCCTGCTCATCATGGAAGCCAAGCAAGCTGCCTGGAGAGGGACGGAGCAATCTGTCCATCCTCAGGCAGCACACTTCGTTTCCTTGCTAGCTGTGTGCATAACCATATTTTCTGCACAGTGATGGAAGTTGGGAGAGTAGAAAAGAAGTTGAGAGCCTTTGCTCGAATCGACTTCAAGCATTTTTCTTCCAGTGAATTAACTTTCCTTCCAGGGTCTTTCCCTGTTGAAGGCAAGCCCCAGCCCCCCAGAGAGAGAATAGGGGGTGGGTCCACTCATGGGTGCTGGTTTACCCATGGAGGAAGGCAACCTTAGTCCCCCAACCCCCCCCAAAAAGAAATGTTCTCTTCTCCCGCCCTCCTTAGGATTCTAATGTTGCTGAACAAGTGAAGGCTTAGCTGATTTATGTTGTAATTTTTGTTGTCATGGCTGAACCGTGGGCAAAACTAGGCAAAAGCAATATGTCTAACGTATGTTTTGACATATACAAATAGTCTTTGAATAAGAATTCTTTACACCCTTTGGGGATGCTTCAGAAGGTCCAGAAGCCCAAGGCTTGGGAAGGTAGGGAAGACCTTTTCCAGCGAGGTACATGGAGAATACATAGCATCCTCTACACCCAAAGAGACACCTGAGACCGGGACTGGGCTCCCTCAGTAAAGCTTCAGAGGGCAAGGCTGCCAGAGGACGTCCCATCTAGGAATGTTCCTCTCTTTGGTTCATTCACAGCCCTAAGGTAGGAGTACGTTTGACAACCCACTTAGTTCCACAAGCACTGGAGTCTGTCATGCTTGTAGCCTACATGCTGTTAAAATGAACTGAGAACGGCACACTCTGCTAGAACTGGGGTGCCCTTTCATTTCTCTAGTTACATCCCAAGCAACAGGAAACTTGTGGAAACGTTCACAGTTCTTCTCAGTATCTGGTCCACAGAGCACTCTCTAGAGATTGAGATCTTTGCAGAAAGCTTTTCTTCAGTTTGCAAAGATGGAATCTGTTCTGTCGTCTTTATATATGTATCTCTTTATCTAAACTATGCATGACTTGCTAGAGGCAAGGCTACCTCCTCAATGATGACCTGTTTTGCAGCGTGAATGCAATGGCGTTGTATGCATTCATTCTTGGGAGACTTCCTATCATTGGTATTCCCCGGGATCAGGTGGATGCAGAATGTTGCATAGCATCCACAGGTATTATGTGCATGACAAAAGGGAAAGGAGACCCCGGCAGCCAGGTAATGCACTGACTCCTCTGGCATTCCCACATAGAGGGGAATGTCTTTTGCAAAGGCAATGTTTGAATGTATGAAAGCTTCTTCAAGACTTGCCTCTGCTTGCCCTGGAGCCCTTTGATGTCCCTGTGCTCACTTCCCCACGGAGCAGGTGGCTCTGGTGTTTCTCCCCACTTTGCATGTCTCCCTAACTCTTGACCACCAGAAAGCATCCCGGCTGGCAAATCTCCAGAACCAAAGCAAACAAGGGTTCCCCCCCACCCCCCCTCAGGCTCACAGCTTTTAAGCTCAAGGCATGTCTCTTTAAAACAGTGCAACTCACTTCAAATGCTTTTTGCCTTTCATTTTATTATTGCTTGTCACGCAATGTTCTTTGAAAGCTTGCTCATATATTATCTGTTCCATTTTTTCCATTTCCCTTTTTTTGCATGCTGTTCCTCCTGTTTCTTCCCTTCCTCCAAACCTCTGTTCCCGTGTGTAGACACAACGGCGACGACAGAACCGGCAGTTCACGGTTGGTATTGCATTCCTGTTTATCTTTTCTCTCAGCAGCGCTGTGCTGAGTGGCAAGGCAAGCCTGGGAGGAAAGGCAGGGGGCGGAGGGGGCGGGCAGAGAAATGAGGGAGCCAGAGATAAAGTTTTTTTTTTAGGGGGTTGGAGGACTAATGCTTCAAGTGGACTGATCTCATAAATATGCCATGATTTTTAAGACTCGAAGGGATGTCTAGCCTTGTCATTTCTGCTGCGAATTTAGCATTCAATTGTTGCAGGCCTGGGCATCCAGCTATTCCCCAAACCCAGCAAAAACAGCAGGCATATCAGAGCAGAACAAGAGGAACGGCTGCATTTCAGCAACCAGTATTTCCGACAGTCAGAACGAAACATTCCAGAGGAATCTGGCTTTGGAAATTGTGGCCCAAATGTTGTTTTAATTGTAATGCCTGCCATTCCCAGGGAATCTCTCAGGTATGCAAGAGAGGCATAAGACATTTAGTATGCTGAGGCAGTTCCACGGAGTAATCTGTCGTGTCATAGGTCACCAGGAAGCCTTTCATTAGCAAGCTTCCAAACACATGCTTCACTGCAACGGGCTCTCCCTGGCCATGGTCAGAACAGATGAGCAAGCTCACCCCACTCACCTGTTTTGCGTCTCTTCCTTCAAACAGCTTGACAGCTTTCACGTCCCCCAGATTTTAAAGTAGGATCCAGTATCACAGACTAGTAACTGAGTTGATAAAATAACTTTAATATACAAATTCCATTTACCTGACTAAATTTTAACCCATAACCTTATTGCTAAAAGTGCACCCTGTCTTTTCTTAAGAAGCACAAGACTTGGTGAAACTTATTGGAATGATTGCCCTGAGTGAAAGAGCCGACATGGTGTCCTCTAGATGTTGTTGGACTACAGCTCCCATCAACCCTGGCCATTTGCTTGGCTGGCGGGGGCTGACGGGAGTGGTAGTTCAGTAACTTACAGAAGGCCGTACATTGGCTTTGCTTGGTCTACAACTGTGAGCAGCTCTGAGTTTGAGACTGGGGTCTTCCCCAGCCTTTGTCACCCAATATTCTTTCAAAGTTCACTCACTCCCAATCTATTTTATCAGCCTTGAGGGAGACCTCTGTACCAAACATCACATTATGGTTATTGTGCAGTTCGTAATCGCCTATCCATACATAATCCAAAGGTTCACAAGGGGTCTACTAGGTCAAATTATTCATGACACTATAACATTGGAATGCCCTCCCCAAGGAGGCTCACTTAGCACCTTTGTTACATTTCTTTAGGTGCCAGGCGAAAGCATTCCTCTTCTCCCAGGCCTTTGGCTAATTCAACAATCTTTGGCCTTTTAAATGGGGAGGGTAATTGTTTTTGCTTGTAATTACCGTATTTATCATTGTGTTTTTATATTGTGAACTGCCCTGTGATCTTTGGATGAAGGGTGGTATAGAAATCTAATAAATAACAATATTAGTTTAATGTGGGATGCTGGTGGCGCTGTGGGTTAAACCACAGAGCCTAGGACTTGCCAATCAGAAGGTCGGCAGTTCAGATCCCCACGACGTGTTGAGCTCCCGTTACTCAGTCCCTGCTCCTGCCAACCTAGCAGTTCAAAAGCACGTCGAAGTGCAAGTAGATAAATAGGTACCGCTCCGGCGGGAAGGTAAACGGCATTTCCGTGCGCTGCCAGAAGCGGCTTAGTCATGCTGGCCACATGACCCGGAAGCTATACGCCGGCTCCCTCGGCCAATAAAGCGAGATGAGCGCCGCAACCCCAGAGCTGGCCACGACTGGACCTAATGGTCAGGGGTCCCTTTACCTTTACCTTAGTTTAATGTAAAACAGATTTCCTTGTTGCGTAGGGTGCCAGGTCTTCCTTTGCAGTTGCCATTTGGGAATTACTTGAGCACGCCCAGTGTCTTCACTCTGCATGCTCCTAATAGAGATGGACATAATTTATTGAGGGCCTGTCATTGCAGAGACATGGAACTGGTATCTGCCTGCCTGAACATTTTTCAGGATAGCAGCCACTGTTATCAGACATGGCTGCCACCGTGTTGGAAGTCCCCAGTCATGTGCAGTTGGGGCACAGTGCATGCATCAAAGGAGTTAGAAGCATGGACGTGAAACATTCCTGCACATGGTCCTGCTGTCCTATTTCTCTGTATTCTACATGTGTGGGAAGGAAGTCTTCAAAATTCCCAAGTCAACCTTCTCAAATCCTCAGTTTTCGGCAAATGCTGAAGGAAGAGATGACAAAGCATATTAGACAAATACACATCTTGGATGTCTGTTTGGCCTATGAGAGTCTGCATGTTGTATTTTCATATTCAGCAGTTGAGTTGCAGACTGGAGAGCCCACTATAAATTGATAAAATCCCACTGGAATTAGCTTGATTCTGTTTGCCTCTACATTTCTAATTATCATACTATTAGGAATTTTGGCTCAACGAGTAGACATTTTAACTGAAACCTTTTGACTATCACTGAAGTGTTAAAGCTCTGTGTCTGCCGCTTCAGGCCCATAGTAGCAGCTAAAGCTACCTTCTGCTAATAAACAATTATTAGTGATGGGTTTATAATTGAGCATTAGTCCTGACTCACTTGCTACTGAAATAAATGTTGAAGTCTGGAGAATTGGCTAATCCGCCCCCATCCCATTGTCCACTCTTATGTCAGCAACATTTCAGTCACAGAAGCCACAAGCTAGATTGGATTTGAGGGTGGAGAGTAACAGCCTAAATGAACCAAGGGTCTCAGTTGTACTCAAGACTCATTAGGATTGACAGCACCAGCATAGATGAACCATTATGAAGCACCTTGTATCCACTTGCCACGATTTCTAGCACTGTGTAAACAAAAATATATTTAAGACTTACCGAGGTCCTATTGGTTGTGTGGTTCCATTGAGACCACCATTAATGACAGAAGCATCTGAAAACTTGTAAAGAAAACATTATGGTAATGGGCAAAGAATTCCAGAACAAGAGTTTTACAAAAGTAAAAGCTGGGTCAAAACAAAACAAAACAATGAATTAGATGTTCACTTGTTGCTGCCCAAAGAGGAAAATGTAGCTTTTGTTTTAAGGAAACAGAGGCATGAATGTTGCATGGGTATCCCTAACCTTTAAAATAAATAAAACTAATATTTTGAGGTCATTGCACTTGAAGTCACCTCAGGTTGCATAAGTTAATTTCACTAAATAATTTCAGTGAAATTACTAATATGTACACTTGAACACTATTCGGCCCATTAGATAGCTGATACTCATTAGAAAGATAGTTGGAAAATATTTTAGAAAGTGGACTATTAATGATGCAAGAACACACACATACATGCACACATTTTAGAGGTATATAAGACCCCACAAATCATGTCAACGTTAGCCTTAATATAGCCCAAAGTAAACTGGGGAACAGATCAGATATTTAGCCAGAAATGCCTTGTACATTGAAAATGGTCAGCATATTGACTGCAAGCGCCCCATAACTTCCAAGCTGGAGATGAGAAAGTTGTTGAACAAATAAATTACTAGGCATGTCAGGCAAATTGACCTATGATATGCTTTCTGCCTTAAAGTAATAATAAAAGATCCTGGTTCGTTTGGCGTCCCTTCTTTGTCAAGGTTGCCCTTCCCCCATTGAAGCTTCTTTGTGGTTTCCTTCCAAGCTTGCATTGCCAGCGTGTGTATGAAGTTGACCAGATATTTCTTGTGTGTTGGCCATTTTGTTCTGAACAATGTCCAAATGAAAGTGAGCATGTCTGTGGATGGTGAGAAATGCATGATGGGCATGATGGGTAACCTGTCAAACCAGATGGATTGCCTCCAAAAATAAAAATAAAAATTTCAAATTAAAACACTAGTGGAAGGCCAAATACCCAAAGTCTCATTTGAGGACACAGGCTGTTTTTCAACATGAGGGAGGTGCTTGATCACTCCATGAATTTTTTGGAGTGTATCCGAAAGGACTGGAGGTGGGGGAAGGAGTTTGTCTGCATGCAAAACTATAGCAACCTCCGGCCATCTCTCTTCTCATAATGCAGGACTTAACAGCAGCTATGCATGGGCAAGTTTAAAGCACGAGCATTTAACTCTTCCAACTGCATATAAAGCTGAGATCTTTAACTTGCGGGTTTCCAGGTGTGCTTCCCCCCTCCCCCCACTCTTCTGCATTCATTGTCAGAATTCTAATAACAGCATGCTGTTCATGGCTGATGCTGGGGCTCTGGCTTTGGCTGCACTTCAGTGCCTTTTTTCAAGAATCCTATTTCCCTTTTAACTTTCACCTTGCAGTGCAGATGCCTTTTGGAAAGTTTCTGTTCTCTAAATCAGTAGAACAAAGCAGGACAGCTGCACGTGCTGGAGAGGTGGACCAAATGATTCCTACAAGCCAACCCCTTGCTATTTTTGGAGATTTGATTTTTTTTTATCCTTTCTATCCTAAAAAAAAGTCATTCCAAGAATTTGTCCTACAAAGCTTGACTTGAGAGTACACCTACCCTATTTTGGCTAATGATGCTAACAATGCCCTTTATTCCCCAGTGAACCACTTACCAGAGAAAGGAAGAGCAGAAGAGTGTCGTTTTTAAATCAGATATGCATTTCAATAATGCAGTTCAGACAGAGCTAAGATGTTAAATGCTGCTCTCAAATATTTCCGAGTGCGATGCTAATTCCCCAGGACAAGTGCTTCTGAACAACTTCACAATAAGTTCTCTAGTGGGTTGTACCCCCCCCCCCCAGTTATGGTGAAAATACAGTGCCATATTACACTTCCTCCTTTTTTTTCAATGAAGTGAATGTGTATTTACTAGCACAGGGATAACCAACATAGTGCCCTGCAGAAGTTGCACCCCAGCTTCCTTCAGCCCCAGCCAGCATAGCCAGTGGTCAGCGGTGATACAAGCTGTATTCCAACAGTACCTGGAGTGCGCCACTGGCTATGTTGACCCCAATGCTAACATCTCCAGCAGAACACTTTGAACCCTCAGTTTCCTCCTCCTTCCTGGTTCATCTGAAACAGAAACCATATGGCAGTTGTTAAATGTATGCATTGCATTGAAGTTCAGACATTGTGCAGCTTTGCAATGCACACACATGTGCTGTTACAAAAAAGAGAGAGAGAGAGAATTATAGTGGCCTTCAGGTTATAGATGCTGTTGACCAGCTGTAGGGACATCTCAAATGGAGCATCTTTTCAACAGCAATTCAGTCTGGAGATTGGGTTTCAGCAGTCATATCATTTAAACTGGGAGCAACATATCCCAAGGGAGATATGGGCAACCCATGTCATTTTCAAAGTTGATAAAGCAGACCTATGAGCACAGGATATGAGTGGGATGCAGGATCCACGTGGTGAGTTAGACTGTACACCCACACAAACACAACCTAAAGTAGCGCTCTGTGGCTCCTCTGAAGTAAGCATGCTACCCAACCATTCAAATGGAACAGAAAGCTATGTAGAACAGCCTGCCCACATCTGAAGACATGCTAAAATATATATAACTGTTATCATTGAAATAGAAGAGAGAGAAAAACCACAGCAGTATCAAAGGGGAACAGCATCGGCAGTCACTAAAGAGCCTGAAAACTATTATTTTTTGGAAGCAGCAATTATACCTTTGTCTTAGCCCAGAAGTCTGTGCTGTCTTTGCCCTCTTCTCACGTGGTCCAGGATTGGCTCAATAAGAAGATATTCACCAAGCAAAAATATTGGCTAGCTACGTTTGAAATCACAAGTGTGACAGCAGTAGAATAAGAAATAAATAACTGGCAATTTAAGATGGCAGGATGATGGGTGTAATTTTTCTGCAGCATTTTTTTTATATATAAAAAATTAAACATCTGTATGCTACTTTTCAGCCTGCAGTATGACTCACAACAACAAATGACAAATGACAAAAATGACAAATGATAAAACAAAAAAATACTACTGAAAGAGTCATCAGATTAAAGAGAGGCAGCAGCAGCAGCAAAACATTAAGCAGCAATATCATGTGAACAAATTCTGGGGCTGAACCAGCTTTTGGCACCCTGGTGGATGACCTATATCAAGAGTGGGACAGGCAGAGTACGACTGCTTCTGCTTCTTGATCTCAGCAAATTTTGATACCATTGACTATGGTATTCTCAGGGACCGACTTGGGCTCTGTGGGATGGGTCTTATGGGCACTGTTATATAGTGGTTCAGTTCCTACCTCCAGGGTCATGTGCAGAGATTAGGACTGGGAGATTGTTTTGGCCCCATGGTCTTTGTGTTGTGATGTACAGCTGGGTACAATTTTGTCCTCAGTTCTGTATTTAACTTCTGTATGAAGACACTGGATGCAGATGTTCAGGGATGGAGGGCAAGTTGTCGTGAGTACGCTCAGTGCTTTTTTTCTGACTGTACTCACACAGTACTGGCACCTCCCCCCCCCAAAAAAAAACTTGGCTTCTAAAGTGCACGTGTGAACACGGCACAGGGTCTTATTTTGCAAGTCTTAAAGATTGTGTAGATTCATCTGGGAGAGCAATCACTCATCCTCTGAGAGACACAAAACCCCTGCAAATTTTACTAGAAATACCCTTGCATACAAAAATTAGCAGTAAAAAACCATATTTCAAGCACAATAATAAAAGAGAGGGGTGTGAAATTAAACAACCTAGTGCCTCCAAGCAATACCTTCCATTGCCACAGACCAAGACAAACCGGCTTCTAAATGACATAGTATGGTTCAATATACATTGCAAAACAGAGGAGAAATGAATTTGTTTATTGTTATTTCTCTAGTTTGTAGACAGCCCTTCATCATGTCAATGTGATCTCAAGGCAGTTTCCAACAATGCACAAAATATAATACATAAAAGAAAACAATTGTTAAAACAACCCAATTAATAAAAAGAAGCAGGGGAGCAACAGCCTGGTGACAATGTAATCAAAGGGAGGTTACTAATTTACTCCCAATTCCTTGGAGAATAGGATTGTTTTAAGGCAAATGCTCTTAAAAAATAAAGTTGTAAAATTATTTTATATTTGCATCTTACTTACATTGCTCCTTTTTTTGGGTAGGCACTGAGTAGGGGTGGCGCTGTGGATTAAACCACAGAGCCTAGGACTTGCCGATCAGAAGGTCGGCGGTTCGAAACCCCATGACGGGGTGAGCTCCCGTTGCTCGGTCCCTGCTCCTGCCAACCTAGCAGTTCAAAAGCACATCAAAGTGCAAGTAGATAAATAAGTACCGCTCCGGCGGGAAGGTAAACGGTGTTTCCACGCGCTGCTCTGGTTCGCCAGAAGAGGCTTAGTCATGCTGGCCACATTATTCGGAAGCTGTACGCCAGCTCCCTCGGCCAATAAAGCGAGATGAGCGCTGCAACCCCAGAGTCAGTCACGACTGGACCTAATGGTCAGGGGTCCCTTTACCTTTACCTTTAGGGGATCTTATCAGCCATAATGTAGATTGAACTCGCTATATAATTAGGGGGAATATTGTGCAGGACTCCTCTAACCAGCATCTGACAGGGTGGAGGGTATCTGAGTGAAACTTGCTATGATTAAGGTGCCCAAGCAGTAATTATACATATATTGGAATATAAATTAAAACAGTTTTACTCGTGAGCTTAGACTATATAACCATTCATCTTATTTGAGCCCCTCGGTTATAAAATGTGGCAGTAGAATATCCATCTGCCTTCAGAGAAAATGTGTCCACTGTCCTACCCTGTAATCCTTCTGGAACCATCTTGAGTAACGCAAGAAATGTGTTGTGAAAGACCTGACTAATCAAGGCTTCTCTGTACAAGGGAACAGAATTTGTCTTAGGTAAATGCCCTCCTCTCCTTAATATTCATATTGTAAATAAAGTAGGGGTATTGCTACTCACAGCATTTATAGCAAATTTTAATGGACATAAACAACTGTGGATCAGTGTCTGATTATTGTTTACAATTCCATTTGGTCAACACTTAGGTAACACTGGGCAACAATTTTTTACTTTTTGAATGTTGTCTAGATTTCTACAACTGATTTAGGGTATTTTTGCACTGCTGAATCAGGAAATGGCATCCATTTCTCTCCATCAGGTCAGGTTTACTGTAAACTGAATGGTGGGCATTGATAAAGGTAAGTACACGTAAATTGCATGTCGCTTCACCATTTTTCAAACTTCAGGGCTTGAACTTCCATTTCTTGGAACTCCTGGAATGCTCAGCGGCAGGGAGGTCTCTTTTCAGAGTCCAACAGTAGTCAGCCATCATGACTGCGTCCCAGCGACCCTGATACCTGGTCTCCATCTCTTTCATGTCCTGATGGAATCTCTCCCCTGCTCGTCACTCATTGAACCCAGGTTCTCAGGAAACCGGTCCATATGTGAAAATAGGTAGTGCATCTTGACGCTCATGTTGCAGTCCAGGTTTCTGAAAGCAGTCAGCATGTTGTTGACAAGTTCTGCGTAGTTTCTGGCCTTATTGTTGCCAAGAAAGTTCTTCACTACCAGAACAAATGCCTTCCACGCTTCCAGTTCCACTTCCTTCATTGAGTTTCCGAACTCTGGATCTCTGATGAGCTGACGGATCTGAGGACCGTCAAGGATGCCAGCTTTCAACTTCTCCATGGTCAATCCTGGAAAAGCCTGGCACAAGTAAGTGAAGCAGTCACCATCCTTGTCCAGAGCCTTGGTGAACTGCTTGATTAAGCCGAGCTTGATGTGCAGCGGTGGGAAGAGTATTCTGTCTCTGTCCACCAGAGGGTCGTTGATGACGTTCCTTTCTTTGCAAGGCACCAATTCCTCCCGCACAGGCCAGTCCTTCTTCGTGTAATGCTGAACACGGTCCCTACTATCCCACATGCACAGAAAACATGGGTACTTGGTGAAGCCAGACTGTTGTCCCAACAAAAAGTTCACCATCTTCAGGTCAACACAAATAAACCACGTATGCTAATCATAACCAATTTTCTCCAGCACATACTTCACCGCTTCATAGTTCTCCTTCAGTGTACTCGAGTGAGCCAGGGGTATAGAGGCAAACTGGTTGCCGTTGTGTAGCAGAACACATTTCAGTGATCGCTTGCTGCTGTCAGTGAACAGTCTCCAATCTTTGGGTTTGTACTGTGGCACTCCAAGCCCCATTAACTTAGTTTTGATCCCCCAACTTTATGCTTTGCCGCACTAATTTATGGAAGATTTCGAGGTTTTATGACTTCAGACTGATCCCTTTTCGACATTATCACCCAGAACTATCGGACCTGAATACTTCTTGTCATTCAAATAATCATTTCCAATCAAAACAATTATTCGACATGGCATTTTACCCCCACCAACTTCTTCTAAAATGCTCCACACAAGCGTACATGTGAACAAAAATGTAAAAAAAATGACATGTGGCCATAGCTCAAAAACTTGACCTGATTGAGCAAAACTAATGTGATTTTTTGATTCAGCGCATCTGATTCGTCCTAAATCAACTGAAAAAATGCAGACAACAAATTTGTTGTTGACCAGTGTAATAGCAAGGATTTCCAAAATGCCCCTCTGTCAATTTCATTTTATTCAGATTTATATCCTGCCTTTTGACAGTATTCTTCCAAATGACACTGTTATCCAGACATGATTCAGCACCTTAGACTCCCCTCTGGACTAAGTTTGTAGTGCATAACTGTTCTCCAGACCTATCCATGAGACGACCTTTTGAGTAGTATTTCTAAGCTTATTTTATTTATTTATTTTTAAAAATGTGTTTGCTGCTCTGGAAATCAATTTAGGAAGCAGTGTGCAGTTGTGTTGTGCAAATACAAGTCTAGGAAAGGAAAGCAGAGTGCCCGTTAGACACAAGTACGTATTTAGACAGTTGCTGTACATATGCAACAGATTCCAGCTTCTTTAATTCCAAGTGACTGAACAATTGCATGCAGTCGGAAAGTTAACTCTCATTTTTCACACACGCACACACACACACAGAGAGAGAGAGAGAGAGAGAGAGAATTTGCAGGAAAATGGGAATGCTTCCTAATCAAAAATGAAGAATAAAATATTTTAAAAGCCAAATGGGAAGTATAATGAGAAGAAACCAAGACATAATTGTTCTCATGTTTCTTGACTACTAAGAATGCCATTCGGTGACATTTTTAAGTCTACCGGGATTCTGATATAAATGGACTAGTTGAACTGATCAGTTTCCTTTGTGGAGTGGGCGGGGGAAATAAAAGACCATTTGCTTCATAAAAAATTCAGCATTGCCCTTTTTACTTTTCAGAAAACAAGGTTTTCTTTAAGTGAAAGAGAAGAAAATCCTCTGAAAAGAAACAGATTGGAGGAGATAAAAATAGCTTTCTAAATGATGCTTTTGAGGAGTCAGCTTGCATTCTTGTACTACAAGTGTGACCTTAGGGCCCAGAGATGCAGTCTTCTGAATTCCAGTAGTGGCTTCAAAGGCATGTTTGTTGTCACTAATCAGTAATATTTCTTCCTTCAGCATATAATTTTATCAGTAGTGTCCACTTGACTTGGTGATTATCAGCCAGCTGCAGTCTCTACACACAAATGCACAATCTAGTTACTATCCAGACCCAATTATTTGGTTGGGTGCGGGGCGGGTTAGAAGCACCTAATTCACATCAGATTGCTGCCGACACACTGCATTAGTGCAAATATTTTCTCGAGCCAAACTCCCCCCAACCTGGACAAAAACAGTGGCAACCTTTGAACACTGACACACCTCGACTCCACAATGGGCGCAATTCACTGCGTCAGCTTGATTGGAAAGAGGTGTTGCAAACATGCATTCAATGGCACACTTGTGTTGTTAGCAAAATCCCATTTCTTTCACTGAGCTTGCACCCGAGACATTTCCAGTGGACCATGTCCGTTGACCTTTATATTTGGATATTTATAATTGACTCCCTATGCATCTCTAATGTGGGACTTTCCAGGGTTATGGCTGCCTTCGTGAATACATCTCAACATAATTCTATTCCAGTCAAGCTAAAGCAAACGTTTCTGCAAATATACTAACCAAATACACTAATATGCCAATTCTGGGTCCCCTTTATCTTTGTGCAGTGAGCTAAGCCTCCTTAGGGAAGTTCACAGCCTCGAGCTGCGATGTCTCCCTAAGAGATCGCAGTTATTCATTCCCACCTAAAAACTGCAAAGAGATTAAGTTGCAAAGGTATCCCCACAAGCCCCAGAGCTGCAGTGTGTGACAGTTTCATTAATGTGGCCGGCAGAAGGCATAGCTTAGTCAGGGCCACTCGTAGCTCAGGCATACAGGTAAATGTGTGCCTGAACACTTTTCACCTTACAGCTAGACAAGGAAAACCTACCGTGATTTACAATAAATATACCTCCCGGAATTTTGCATCCTGGGTGGGGAGGGGGCGGGACCAAAACAAAACTTACTCAGAGAAGGCAGTTTAGTACACGCCTTTCTTTTACTTGCAAATGACATTCTCCATCAAAGTTTGCAAAGCCAGCAGCTCTTCCTTTGCTATGAGAGTGTGCACAGTTTAGCTATTAACAGAAGCACCTGCAAGCTATTGTTTACAAGCTAAAGCAGCTGACACAATTGATAGTGGCCCCTTCACAGTAAAATGTCAGTGTGTTTTTTCCAGCATCACAGAAGCTGCTTTCCCAACTACCCACAGAGCCTTAACTATTTCAGATTAGCATTTAGACTCCTGTTCAATCTTAGCAGGGCAATTCAGCAACTGCAGCCCAGATATTTATTTTTTTGGGGGGGGGGGGGAAGGTACCAGCTCAAATCTGGGCAAGTAGTAGCTTGGCACTCTGCATCTTAAAAATTAATTTTTTGACTGTGCTGTGTTGTATAACGTGGTTTTGGAAGCCGGTTTTACATTGGCAATCAGTCATTGGGTAGCAAGTATTCTTTAGAACAGCCTTTGCCAAACTGGTGCCTTCCAATCGTTTTGGACTATGACACTCGTGCTGACTGGGGCTGATGGAAGTTGTAGTCCGAAACACCTGGAGGGCACTAGGTTGGCAAAAGCTGTTTTAGAGCCAAGCTAGACATTACACAGAGGAAAAAGTGTTTTCCTTCACATTTTTTTAAAAAACCACAATTATCTTTTGCAGCCTGTCAGCCTGAGCAGTGTAAGGAGAGCATGCATCTACTACCCTCTGGCCATTTCCCAGTTCAAAAACAGCCTCTCTAAATCTATGTTTCATACACTCCTTCCTCATGGTAGGAAAGAAATCGGGGGGCTGCCGTTGGAAGGAGCCAGCAAGTAGGAATAGGGTCAAGCAGTCTCTTTCCACATTGTTGTTGTTGCTGCTGCTGCTTCTCTTCTCTCTCCAGTGCAGTTTTTTGGTATAAAAAGCACACCATCAGTAGCAAAAGACAATGGAAGACAATGGGACTTCATGTGACACCCAGCTTTTCTCTTAATTAAACAGGCTTCCATCAACTGCCATCTCCTTGCAGCCTTTGGCTGAGAAGCACCCAAACTTTCCCGCAAATGAATCATTTTTTTTTTTAAAAAAAACAAATTGAAAAGTGGCAGCTGTAAAAACCAAACGTCATGTTTTGCCAACAGATTTCGCCAAGAAGAAAGATCCAGGCAGGGGTTTCTGCCTCACTGCATTGTCAACTTTGAGATGGCTTTCCATAAAACAGATCACGCCAGAATATTTTAAAATGAAAATGCAACAACTCTCAATCTCCATGTGCTGCTGCTGTAGTTTTGAAAAGAGCACTTCAAGATAGTCCTGAATCTGACTCCCCAACCTGGTGCCCTTCAGATTTTGAATTTTAATTTTGGGCTGCAACTCCCAATGGCTCCAGCCAGTATGACTGTTTAGGTGATAATGGGATTGATGGGAGCACAACCATGCTGGTTGAGCCTGATGAGAGCTGTCATCTAAAATATTTGGAGAGCACCAGTTTGGGGCAGGCTGCTGTACATTGACAATAGACTGTCTTAGCCAGCATTGCCAAAATGTGCACCGAAAGCTGGAAAAATGTTTGCATTTTAAGTGTGTGTATAATCAAAGCAAGAATTGTAAACTAAAGTGATACAGAAAATTTAACAATTAATGTTTGGTGGGGGAGGGACTTGTTTTTGCATGCAGTTATGAATGAGTGGTTTCTGAATGTTTTGTACATGTTTCATGTGTTTTCAGTGGTGCAGACCTAGACATCTTTCTGACAGTCTATTGGTTGTTTGGTTTAAAAGAGGCAAAAAAAACAAAAAACAACCACCCCAAAATATATTAACTGATTGGTGAGCCTCGTTTGCAAGCTAATCTGAGCAAAAAGCTTTTGTCAGATGCCGAGGGATTGACTTCTTTCGTTATTCTTTTCCCTGAGAAATTCATCCTCTGTTCTTAAGTGTTTTGTTTTCTCATCCCTTGAGGAACACAAAGAAAAATGAGTTTGTTTTTACTTGTAAGGCTTTACTCAGTTGCCAAATTCCGCCGAAGAGCTGGACTATGGGGATCTCTCAGGTAAGGGCTAGTTCTTAGGTTAAGCCAATGTGGTTGTTCAGTCTGTGGGTTTGTTTGCTTTCCACCTTGTTTGCATCCTGGCTGCTTTAAAACAAAACGAAACAAAAATCCATTGTGCAATTGCTGTGCGGCAGAATCGCAGCTAATCAGATGCAGAGGCCCATTATTCAGAATGGCTGCTCCTCTCCTCCCCCCTCTTGCCGTTGGGCTTTTCCTCCTCCCAATCGCTTGATAAGGACAAGAATTTACCAACGTGTATAGCAGCACTCGAGAGGGGGGGAGGTGATGGGAGCATAGAGCGCCGCGAGTTATATTACAGGTTGTCTAGTAGCTGCTGTGAGCTCAGTTGCTGGAAATAATTTTTTTGAATCCTAATTAGAGAACGGTTCGGTTGAAATTTTGTTGCATTTGTAAAACACTTAAGGATGCCAGGTTTGTGTGGGGAAAGGGGTGAGGGGTGTGTGTCTCCAATACAACCTTGCTTGGAGTCTGGGTTGCCTGTTCTGTCATGTGCTGCTGTTAAATGGATGTGGCAGGATTCTCTTAAGTGCAGAGAGAAGAGGGAAATTATTTCATTGCATACCAGACTCTAAATGAATTATATGCCAACCTTACTTATTTTTTTCACAGCAGATTGAATATCTTTGCCAGGAAAAGATGTAGTCCTTCCTATTTTACTATCCTATGTTGTATCCTGTCCCTCCCGACGCCCCATTAGACTCAAGGCAGTATACATGGGGGTTATCCTATTCTTACCTTCTCAACAGCCCTTTGAGTTTGACTGGTGCTTTGTCCAAGAGCCCACAGCTGAGTGGAGATTTGCTCTCCACATTCCCACAGTGGAGATGTAATGGAGATTTAACTAATCCAAGTTAAGACTCGGCCCTTTTTTCCAATTGAGGAGTTAGGGTTCAGGCAACCGTAGTGTTTGTTTGGATATGCCATCTTCTACAGGGAGTATACAGGGCTGGTGTTTATATGGCCTATATTTTATAATGGATAAAATGTGTTTCCATTTTGACATAAGAGATGTATACTGTACTAAGACGGAAATTACACTGTTGACTGGAGACATGGAGAGGAGTTTGTGCTATTAAAAAAAATCCATAGCTGTGTATTCCACTGATACTCACAGCATGAAATGAATCCTGTGTTGGCAGATCTCCTTTTTGTTTTTTAAGATAATCTTTAAAAATACCTATAGAACCAAAAGGGGGGGAAGGGATTGACTGAACTATATTCTAATAAAAGCACATAAGTGGCAGAAATAAAAAAAGATCAAGAGTTACAGTACAAATTATAAAGGTGAATAATATAAGAAATGTTAGATTTTACCTGTGTAGGAACCAATTATTAGATGTTTTGATTGTTTTATCACACGTGTGTTTTCCATCCTGGTCTCCTTTGGGAGAATGGGCAGGAAATAAATGTAATAGCAATGGTAGTAGTAGTAGTAGTAATAATAATAGTAGTAGTTGAAAGAAGCATGTAGTTGGCTGTATAAAATGAGAACAGAACCAATAATTGCATTCGAACGAAAATACAAAACTGTATTTTACCTTGACATTTTTTGTTCAAATTATATCAACAGAGACCATTTTTTATCAAATCTTCCAGCAGCAAATAAATTAAATAACAGTTCTAAAGCAGCAGTTTCAAGCCATCCTCTTAAATATCCCTAAAGAATTATCTTTGGATTTAGCAAGGTGCTATAAACTGCATTTTATTTCATTCTGTCTAGAACTGTGCTCTGAAATTTTAGTTGGTACAGGCAGTAACAAAAAATATGCATAAAATCTGCCTTAACAGAGCTCTCAACAGTTGTTAACACTGGACAGGTTTTAAATAACCTCTTTGGTTTCTCTGATAAGGTATCTTGAAATAATTTTCTTTCATGTCGCCTCTTACCAATCTGATAATGACACGGTCCCAAAAGGTTCAATCTTTCCCCCATTATTTATTGTTGTTTTTATTGTTGCTGTCTTTTGTATACAACTTTTTTTGGGGGGGGATACCACAGCTGTTCACATATTACAACCCTCAAATACAGCAATAACAGCAGATAGGATGAAACTCACTCATAGCTGAAATAGGCTTGCCATACGTCCGGAAAATTACTGACATGTCCTGGTTTTTGAGTGTAAAAATGGCGTTGGGGGAATTTTGCTGAACTGGCTGTACTGTACATCAATGTGATAGGAAAAGCAATGGAAACAGCTCAAAAAATTTAAAATCAGTATTTTTGGGTTAGGTTTCCCCAAGAAGCCCAACAATCTGGGTTTGTTCCCCCCCAAAAAAGAGCTTAATTTTGGAGTCGGGGGTTTTGCTTTTTGAAATATGGCAACCCTAGTTGAAATATATGTTGAGAGTGGGGTCTGTTTTGGCTGCATAAAATTGCAGATTGGGTCACGTACAATGCCAAACATGAGGGACCTTCCTGTTCATTGTTTGACACCAGGCTACAAATCCAGATTGGCTTGGCTTGATGGTTTGCTCATGAAATTCTTTCATGGCCCAGCGAAGCACTTTATAAGACTCATGAACTGATTTCTCCTCTCCCCCAAGCAGTCAGAGGCCCAGAGTTCTTCCAAATTGAGGCCTTCTGTCGCTTGTTTTAACCTCTCTTTCTACAACACTGAACTGCTCTAACCAAGTGGGATGGGAGGGGTGCAATCCAAGGGTTCATTCTGCGTCCATGAAACAGATTGTGATTGTGTAAAAGCATGATGGCATTCTAGCATAATTCCCATTCCAAGGTTCCTCTTGGATTCTGACCAGTGTTTCTACTGCTAAGTCTGTTTTGAACTCCTCTTTATAGCGTTAGGTTGAATGAGTAGGAAGAGAATTAAAACTACATCCCATTTCTTGCTCCTTGCCTGTGTTTATTTGGTAATGTGACAAACCCATACATTTGTGCACAAGTGAAGCAATCTCTTTGCATTTATTCACCATGTTCCAGCCGATCACATCCCATTTTTAAGATTGTGCTCCTGCTAACATGTGTTGTAGAACACGGCACAATCAAAAAGGACCTGTGTAGCCCTTCCATGTAGTTTGATTAACTAATCAAAAACTGATTAGCACCTTTGTTCATGGGGGATGCTGATTAATCAATTACTATTGATTGTAAGCATGGCTTTGTTCTCTGGCAAAGGGATGCCTAGAGAAGCAGCCAATAAAAATTGAGCACCTGTCATAGCGATTAAATTTATTAAAACAAAATACATTATTTTTTATGAAGCTATCTTGAAATGGGTCACTGAAGGGGAACATATTGATTGAGGAAGGATGAACTTCTTGAATTTCGCTCACTTAAATTAGAGACCAAATTCAATTATAATGCAAGACAAACAGGTTAACACCAGCTTTAAATAGCCCATCAATAAATTAGAATAGGTGCAGTACACTTAACGCTAAACTAGGGCAATGAATAATATTGTCTGTCCCTGGCTCTTCCAGGCCTTGGTTTTAACCTATCTGGGTTATTATGGGCATAAACATGGCCTGCAATTCGCAGACAGAGACACCAGCCCTTCTGCCACTTTGCGTGGCATGTCCTTACACAGTGAATCCGATTCACTTGACTGGACCTGGGTGCCGTTTGAAGCTCTCACATGCCTGCTCAATATCACAGCCTCCTATGTCAGTGTAAGGCAGCCTTTCTCTGTGTGTCCCCAGATGTTGTTGAACTACAACTCCCATCACCCCTAGCTAGCAAGACCAGAGCTCAGGGATGATTGGAGTTGTAGTCCAACAACTACCCACAGGTTGAGAACTGCAGGAGGCCTTCTCCAAATTTAATGGATTGGGCTGTGATTTAATGTGCATGTTTCCATAACTGTTAGTGCTGGATAAACAAAAGCTTACTCCACACGCCCTTTCTCTTTGTAGCTTGTGCTGATCTCCACCCAAAACCCAGCTCCTTGTTGTGCACCTCCCATTCCTTTCAAAGGCGATTTGTGTTCTTGCAAAAAGCAAGTTGTGTTGCTCTGCTTGCAAATTAGCCAGTGATAGCTTTGCTATGTGGCTATTTGCGCTGAGCAATGAGGTTGAATAGCTAAATGCTGTGCCCTTTAGATATTGTGGGGGGGGGGCGGGTAATTATCTAGGGATTTTGGCAGGGTGGGCTCAGGATTATCATAGAATTACAGAGTTGGAAGGAGCCTCAAGGATCATCTAGTCCAACTCCCTGCAACGCAAGAATATGCAGCATTCCCATATGGGGATCGAACTTCCAACCTTGGAGTTCTTAATTTATGATGTCCAAAGTGGGCTTTCGAATAGGAGTTCCCAGGGGAGACAAGTCCTCATAGGACATTTGGTCCAGCGTATCAGCCCTTATGGTCTGTGGTTTCACAGGTAAATTCAGTTCCAATATAGGCCAAAGCTGATGCCAAGGTCCTTGAACCAAAGCTTGATTTCCATGGCTTCCCTTACAAATTTTGAAACGAAACACCTTCTCCACGGTGATGTCTAAAGATAAATCACCTGGCAGCATTAAGCAAAGCATTTATAGATGCACACGGGTACGTGTACGTATGTGGTGGAATCATCATAGTATTAAAAATTCATTCCCCTTTAGAAACGGTGGAGCTGTTAAAACTTATGTAGGAGGGAGCCTTAAATCGAAATGTGCCGAAATTAACAGTCATGCTGAGCCCACACAGAAGAGATCTATCAGCCCTTTGGTTTTATAGCAAAAATGTGCACAGCAGAAAATTCAGGCTTGCTAGTATAGCATTGCCCCCCCCCCTTTTGCAAATAGAGTGTTTTATTACCTTTGTCTACATAACTTAGTCACACACACACAAAAGTTAAACAAGGAGCAAGAAAACAAGACCCCGTGGAGCAAATGTGTTAAATCATAGCAATAAAGCATCCTGTGTCTGGAGTTCCTTAAGTACTTTTCTTATATTGTGCCCCAGGTATTAAAAAAACAGAAGCTTCAATGTATTGAGTACCCTGCTGCCAGAGCTATAGCAGCCCACAAAGAAGGAAGTTGAAAATGATTGAAAAGTTAAGAGTTCAGAGGAAGGCTTTGACCCAGCTGCTGAGCTCAACAGCTGCCTGCCCATCTAGCCTGTGTTTTCTAACTTGTGCATGAATGATCTAGATTTGGGGTGAGCAGGGAGGTAGCCAAGTTTTGCTAGTGATTGTTCAGGGGGGCAAAAACAAAAAGGGATTTTGAGGAGATCCTAAAAGATCTCTCCGAAGCAGGTCAATGGGCAGTAAAATAGCAATTGCTCTTCAGTTCAAGTAAGTCTAAAGTGAGGCAAAAAATACCCTAATTTCACACATATGCTCACGGGCTCTGAATTGGCCCTGACTGACTAGGAATGAGACATTGGGGTCATAGTTGATAGCTGTTGGCTGCTGTGAAAAGGGTGACTTCCATGTTAGGGATCATTAGGAAAGGAATTGAAAATAAAACTGCTGGTATCATAATGCTATTCTACAAATCTGTGGTGCACCCATGCTTGGAATACTATGTACAGTTCTGGTTGCCACTCCTGAGAAAGGATATTGAAGAGCTGGAAGAGGCTCAGGAAAGGACAGCAAAAATGATAACTGGAATGAAGCAACTCCCCTTTGAGGAAAGCTTACAACATTTGGGGCTTTTTAGTGTAGAGAAAAGGCAAGCAAGAGGTGTGTATGATGATGATGCAGGGCATGGCAAAATTGGATTTCATGATACTTTATCCAATGAAACTGGATGGTGGAAGATCCTGGACAGACATTAGAAAGTACTTATTTAGACAGCACATCGTTAAAATATAGAATTAGCTTCAACCAGATATAGTGGCAGCTTTAAAAGAAGACATTGAGGATAGAACTATCAATGGCTATTAGCCACAGTGGCTAAGTTCTCTGTCCACTGTTGGCTGCAATGGGCTTCTGAATACCACTTGGTGAGAATCACAGATGAGACGAGTGATGCTGCACTCAGGTCCTGCTCTGTGGGCTTCCCACAAATATGTGGTTGGCTGTTGTGAGAATAGGATGCTGCACTAGATAGATGCGGTCCAACAGGGCTCTTGTATGCTTATCCCACCACAATAAATACCCATTTCAGAAAGCGCTGTCTGTCTGAGGCCCATGTTCGATCTGCATGTCTTCGACTCCAGAGGGAACACGAGCATTGAAACTTCATGTTGCATGACCCCTGCCAAGCCTGAAGCTTCCTTGGGAAGCACTTTGCGTAATGGCTACTCTAGTCCTGTTCCTGAGGAAGATGCAAGTGTGAGGTTGTTCTCCATAATAGGCCATTAAAGCCCGCCCCAAAGCTTCATTCGCTCTCTATTTTTTTGTATGTTATGTAATATTTTTATTTAGGTCAAGTCCCAGTCAGGCAGATTTGATGTGTATCTTAACAAAGTTGACATATAATCTGTTAGGATGTCTGCATCATTTGGAGCGTGCATAGGTAACTTCAAAACAGTTTGTTCTAAGCATCAAGTGTCTCTTTTACGCAGGGTAATTGCCAGAATTTTATTTGCTAAAATATTGGGAAACCAAGTAAAATTGCATGGCTAAATAAGATTAGGAACAGCTAATTTTCATTTAACTGCTTTTCAAATATCAACACTTACATCAGACCTGGAGATCTGATTTTACACATCACACATGAATAAACTGTCAATGTCCCAAGTCAAATCAATGCGCTATGAATTTATGGCGAATGTTGCTTCCTTCTGTAGATATTTGGGGAAGTGGATGTATGAATTCTCTTTTTTAATTGAAGTGCCATTTAGTTTTAATGTTTTTTCCCTCTCTCTCTCTGAAAGCCTAACATCCTGTCAATCCACATTTTTTGAGAATGCCAGGCTTGTGTTGGGCTCTTATTGGCAGGAGATGAATTCACTTATTTGAAACTTTTCTAGGGCAAATATAAAAGCAGTAGATAGGGTGCAAGTGTTTAAGGCAGGAATTTGCAAACTTGGTTGCAGTGAGTCAGACTCAAAGCACTCCTCTCATAGAAGCCAATCAGGCCCACAAGCAGGACACGAGCACAGCAAGACTTTCCCCACTTGTGATTTCCAGGAACTGGTTTTCAGAGGTGCAGGTTGTGCTATTGCAATGGGGGGGAAATCCTCTTTTGAGGAGCAGCAGTGCTGAGTCTTGTTGCCAACACAGTACAGGCACTTCTGCTGGTATCATGACCTCTTGCAGTACTGGCCAGTGTTCGGTGTTCAGACTGCAGCAGCAAAGGTTGGGGGGTTTCAGTGAAATCTACATTTCCCCCCCCAACCAAACTTGCCCATTCACTCTAGCCAAATCATTCCCAGCCTAGTAGGTCTTTTTAAAAAAAACAAAACAGTGCAGTTACAGGATCTTCAGAACAGTTATGGGGCGAGTGAGCCTGCTCTGCCCCCTGTAATTTGAGCACCTGTACTACTTGACCCTATGCATTTGGGAGCCAGCCTGCTTCCGCAGTTCCATTTCTCCTTCGCCCACCTTTCCGGAGGCTCCTTGGAGGAAAGGCCGGCGTGCCCCAATGTATATTAACATCTTAATGGAAAAGCTGTACATGTATATACGTTTACTGCTCTCTCTGACAAGAGGGAATTACATGTCAGAAGGATTTGTAGCATCTGTAATTGAATTGCTGCTGAGAAAAGCAAATCTTAAGGAAGAATAACACATTAGGATTAGCAAATAATGTGGCGTTTTGTCAGAGCCTGCCATCTAGCTTGTCCCTCTTCAGTACTGTACCGGTGACTCCCCACCCCCACCCCCCCGCTTCACTCTTTAACTAAAGAGACAATGTTAACTGGGGCAACCATTTCAGCTGACACTTACTTTTAAGGTCAATATTTGTTTGCAAAGCAAATCCGTCACACCCCCACCACTGGTTCTGGCACAGGTCGATAGTCAATGACACACACACACATATTGCATACGCACACACAAACACATGATGGGCTGAGTTGGGGCATGCTATAACATCTAATGGTCACTTTGTGTTTGTTTTTACAATTAGCCGTTAACTTTGCACGCAGAATTTCTGCAAAGCAAAAAGATTATCTCCGCCAGCAGAAAACTCCACTATGCCGTCCTTTGCGTGACTCTTAATTTCATGTCCTGCTTCACACGTGTCGTTTCTGCAGGGCTGCTGTACGTCTGGGTTTGTAGATTGCAACTTTTTAAATTGCCAGCTCGATAAGCAGATAAATCTCTATTTCAGCTGGGGATACTTTTTTTTTCTTTTTTGCACTTGGAAGACTTCAAAGGAAAAGTGTTACATAAAGAAGTGAAAACGCCTGATCTAATATCTTGTGACACTTTGAAATAAAAAAAAAAATTGATTTGCTTCCAGAAGCATCTAAAAATAGCAAGGCTCATTCCAGTATTGCACCCCAGCCAGCAGAGACCACCAGCTGGTAGCACAGTGTTTTTTTTGTGGGGTTTTTTTTAACTTTTCAGAAATCACTCGGGTATACAAAGTCAAATCTAATCTTTGCATTTTCCTTCTTTCTTTTTTTAAAAAAATCTAAATCGCAAACATAAAATGTCCCTGAGGCTTTTGCTTTTCTCCTAAAAATGGATAACCAACCAAAATGTGCTTAGAGACTGCAGAGAAGTAGAAGTCTAAGAAGAGATGCAAGGTGGGTGCTTTTCTGCAGATGTGGCATCTCTTCTCCAGTTTCCAGCGCCCAAGAGAGGTGGTTTGCGGAAGAGGATGTGGGAGCGTCACTAAAGAATCAGACAACTGGACAACTTCTGTTTGCAACCAAGTTTTTCTGCAGTATGAATCTCCCACCATTAAGGTCAACAAGCCATAGACCACCACCTCTGCTATATACGTAGATTGAGTTTCCCTGCTCTCCTTTAATTACAGGAGATCTAAGAGTGCCTTTGAACAGTCTTAGAAAAGCAAGCAAATGACTTGTGGCCTGTGGATGAGACCAGAGTTGGAATTGGTATCAGACCCTTGTGCCCTTCAAAGAGTGAAGAAGTCTTCTGTCTTCAGGGCAGAGACTGTTGTAAAGGCACAAGTAAGGGGTTGATGTTCAGGGATCCTTCCCTAGGATGCAGTTCAGAAGTGGGGGCATTCGGACTGAAATGAAACTGAAATATTGATCATGTTAGCAAGCTTTCCGTAGAATAACATCTGCAAACTGACTTGAAAAGGAGCGGCTCCCCTCGTTTGATGATCTAATAGGGGAAGCATGGGCTTGTTATCCTTTAAGGTGAGGAAGGCACTCTTGACTGTCTTCCACAGGTGCAATGCTCATTGGCTTGCAAGCACCGAGCATTCTCTACACACTGTAGTTAATTTTTAATTAACATGTACCCTCAAAGACGGGATACTTAGCCATGCACAAAATAAAATAAACTCGGAGCGTGCACTCTGCAAAGCTTCTGTTTTCGTAGAAATAATTAAGAAAAATGTGAGTGCAGATCCCAGCGGAAGGAATCGCATTTAATAAACTCGGCTGGCCAAAAGCGTGTGGTAAGCGGCACACGGGCTTCTTTGGGGAAGAACAGGCTAGATGAGGAGCTACTGCTGTTGACTTAATTGCAAATTGAACAGCAGCCACGAGAGCTTGGCAAGTGAGTGACATTGACACAATATTTCAGTTGGTCTGTTGCGGGACAGATGCTCAACTGGCGTAAATCAACCGAATGCCAGAAACTGTCACTTCAGCTGCGCCGGGTGTATATCAGCTGCAGTGCCCGTAGTTTTGTTGTTCTTTCCCCCCATGTGTGTCCCATCTGCAGTGGACAACCTTGGCAGAAAAGGATGTATTCTCTCCAGGCACTGTGCAAAGAGCCTTGTCTTGTTTCCCCTAACATCACTCAAGATCATCCTAATGTCAGAAGGGTCTCTAAACAATGCTTCTATGTATTCTGTAGAGGGCTTTGGAATTGGTGGGAGCAACCACAGAAATAAAAGCCCTTTAAGGTTGGGGACATAGACCTATTGAGAGACCTGCTACTTCCCAGCTGGCAGGTCAGGGGTTGAATTTCTGCCTGTGTGCTCCTCCCTCTGCCCTGCTTGTACCATTACCCAGGAAATTTTGGTGAATCCACCTGAAAATCCATGGGGACAGGACAGGTGGAACCAGATCTTACCAGAATGTGATAGCATCTTAGACGGACTTAGACCTTCCCATGGTAGCTCAGTAGCATAAAACAGCTATGACAAGATGCTGCCAACTGAGTCAAGCTGTGATCACAGAGACACTGGGAATGTGATTGTTGATCAAGCAACACGATAAGCCCGTTAATTGTGGGAAGCATTAAAATATCTTTCTCATTTAAATATTCATGCGCAAATTTTTAAAATAAATGTTTCCTTACTCCGGATCCTGGTATTATGGAAAAACTGCATTTTCCCTTGTGATCTGAAGCTATTTGCCCATTTGGGATTTGTTCATTCTCCTCCTTGAAAAACTTGTTCTTAAGATCTGTCTTACTGAGGCAAATTTTTGTCGCTCTGCCTCTGGGCCACATTTCGACCCTGCATAAACACTGCTCCCCCGGAAACGAGAGATAATCTGGAGCATACTCTTCTTACTGTATATTAAGAGATGCCTTTGCAGGAGATGGTCATGCAAACTAGTTTGCATCCTCTCCATGATTTGCCTTTTGGGCTTCCCTGGGGAATGGAGTCTTGGGACCTTAGTTAAACATCCGGCAGGCAAGTAACACAAGAACTGTCCCCAAAGCATGTCTGCTTAGCTGTGGGAGAAACTCGTAATGCAGAGCTGAACTCATGGGGTGCGTTGCCAAAGAGCACTTTTACCTTGCTCCCAGCAGAGCAGTGGTTGTGGTCCTGTTTTGTGCGGACTTGCAAGCTTGCCAGATGCTGCTGGTGCTCATCCTCAGTCGACAGTGCACAGGGCCCTTGAGTTGCACAGTAACCGTGTGTGGTGGACTGCTGCTGACCTTAGCCCACTTCTCGATGCCCCGATGTGAACCTCGGTTTTTCCTCTTTGCGGTTTGAAAGGTGGCGGCGGAGGCGGCAGCAGCGAGGACCGCTCTGAAGGACCCTTCTCCTAATTGAAACTGTTTTTAATTAAACCGTTTTACAGCGCTCTCAGTCACGAGTTATTTACTTACATCCTTTGGTGCTTAATCTTGGAGCAGAATTGGAAATATCAATGGGAAGCATAAATTCCCAGCCCCTGCTGCAAGCATTGTATCAGGTCTCGCCTCCAAAGAGCACCATTACCTTTAGCTGTCACGGATCTGTACACTTGATCGATAAACTTCAAATATTATTAGAGGTGGAGGCTTCAGAGATTGACTCTGTTCTTTGGAGAGAGGCTGAGATAAATCTTTCTTAAAAAATTGACTGGAATTTGCACACTCGCTCTTCCTGGTGAAACGCATTTCTCTTAGGTGCCTGGGCAGCTGCAGGGGGTGGAGGGGCAGATTTATTGGCTGTATGCTTCTTGTAGTGAAAGATTTAAATGGTAAATCCTTCACATATGACTTCACAAATCATGTAAAGTTAAAAGAATTTTACCATTTCTGTTGCTGCTGCTGTGCTTAAATTGTAAGGGATGGCCAGTAAATCATTTTAATGGAGGTGTCACAGTTGAACTCAATAAAAAAAGGGGGGGCGGCGACAATGGTTTTAGCTTCCATTCCAAAATGTTAATGTATTAATCAACGAGAGAATAATTGTTTTTTACTACATTATAAATCTCGGTTGCCATTGGAATTGCAGCCAGGGCTGTTGTAGCTGCATTCTTAAATTAAAATTGTTTACATTGCTATACATTAATTTTACACAGCCATCGCTCATTCTGGGTTCGTTGTGGGATTTCTCCCCAGCCGCGCAAGTCCTTCCTCTCCAGGTGGAGGGAGGGAGCAGCAGCTTATAAAAACAAATTAATTGTGTGGCAAGTTATTAAATAAATAAAATAAAGAAGCATGTCGTGATTGCTTGCTATCTTCATTTCAGAGAAATCTTGCGGCGGGGATCAACATCCACAGAATTTGAAATTATCAGGCTAGGTTTTGGAAGTGCTTTCTCCTTGAGTCAGACAGCAATTTGAGAACAGGGTCCCTTTTTTTCTTTCTGTCCTTTTTTTTTTTTTTTTTTTTGCATGCACAGTTTGGCTGTGTAAATGGTTATTTGAGATGACATCATCTGGGTTAAGTGCTGGGGACATCAGCGTGGAAGTTTTTGCAACAACAACAAAAACGATTCAGGGCTCCATGTGCTTCCTTCCTCTCCCCTTGCCCCAGCTTTGCCCATCTTGACTTGCCCACTGCATTTGGAAATGTCTCTTATTGCTGCTCTTGGTGAGCCGACTAGGCTGGGTTGCTTGTTCTTCTGCCTGAGCTGACTTGCCTGGGTACTCCTATTTTTCCCCCTTGTTAAAAAACAAAAAGCCACACACACTCACATAAATACTCACATAAAGTGGAGGAGGGTTGTCCTGATTTGCAAGTGGCAATTATTACGGATATTAATACTTACTGTTTTCTAATTGTGGCAGATTCTCGAGCAGGTGAGGAAAGTGCCATCACCGCTGTGGACCATGCCGTGATTGGTGGAGTCGTGGCCGTGGTGGTCTTTGCGATGCTCTGTCTCCTTATCATTCTGGGACGATACTTTGCAAGACACAAAGGTAAATCGGCAAGAGTAGGGCTTAACTGAACTCCCCACCACCACCACCCTACAAAAATGGAGAGGAGGAGTCTATATGCATCTCACAGCCATCACCTGTTTAGAGTTTTGCATGCGAGAGAATGAGCCGCTTGGTGCCTGTTTGCAGCTCCTGCTTTCCCTAATTTGTCACTTGGCTGCCATTTTTTAAAAGGTGGCTCTTCCTGAGAAAGTCCAGCCATACAGGAATCGCACAAGTTCAAATCAGAGTGAGGAACCAGGAACCAGTGCTCTCATTCTCTGTATGGGATTGTCAGGAAGCCCAGGCAGATGACTTCACAAAGTTCAGAAGAAGGAGGCAGTGCCCTCACTCTGATTTGAACATGTTGTGCATTTGTTCCTTAGGAGTTCCTATGAATGTTCATGGGTGTTCGTTTCATGTGGACTGATTTTTTTTTGGCAAGATGTATCCTTGTTTTAGCTCGACAGGGGCTGTCTGCAACAGGAATGGGACCCAGGTTCCAATTATGATCCACGCCATTCTTTTTTAAATACAAGAAATACATAGAGTTACCAAACTGGACATGCAAGTGTTACTTCTCTAGCAAAATGAAAATTTGAGAGCATTTGGAGGGCTACTGGATATGGAGAGGAGAGGACAACCCTCCGCCTATGGCAACCATGCACCTTTCAAAGGCACAAAGGACCCTTTGCAATTGATGGGATTTGCAAGTATCCAATTCCATAACCTGTTTTGCTTTGATGCTTATTGCAGTTATCCCAGTTTGCCATCCTTCAGCGGCAGGGTGCATGGATACAGAGGGCTCTTAAAACAGCGGCAGGGCACATGCTCTGCATGCAAGAGATTCTGGATTCAATGCTCAGCATTTAAAGGGAACAGGCAGCAGTTTGGGGAAGAGACCTCTGCCTGGTGCTCTGCTGCCTACAAGTATATGCAATGCAGATAGTTGGTGCCACCACCATGGAACCCCTGTCTCAGCCCCTGCGGTTGCTCCTCTCTTTGCAGGTACATACTTCACTCACGAAGCCAAAGGAGCTGACGATGCGGCCGACGCAGACACAGCTATAATCAATGCAGAGGGAGGACAGAACAACTCTGAAGAGAAGAAAGAGTACTTCATCTAGATCCGTCTTGATTTCCATGAGGTGTCCAACTGCGGACAGTTACTGGCCCTGTGTAGAAGATACAGACTGTGATGTTGGAAGTTGCTACCAGCTTATGGTTTTGGGGTTTTTTTTTAACTTTGTCTCTTTTCTGTCTTTTTCTTTCTTTTCCCTTCCAGTGCTGTTTATTTTTATTTCTTATTTTTTTTATTGAATGGTTGGCAAAGTGTGTGGGGAGCATCGAGGATTCCCTGTGTAATAGAGTTCTTTGTAAAGTACATTCTGCTGTTTGGCACCTCAGTTCCTTTGGGTTTTTAATTCTCGGGCCGAGTCCAACTTGGATTTAGTTTAGTTCCATCATTTGCAGAAAATTCTGTGCCTTGTTTTATTTCTTGTTTTGTTGGAAGGGGAGGGGTGGAGAGCAGATGGTTTCATGTTCTTTTTTTCTTCCTAGCTTCTCTTGGAATTGCCTGCTGGGATCCCTTGAAAGTAGACTTGGTTTCTTTCTTTTCTTTTAAGTGTTTTACCTTCATTTTTTTAAACTCCTGGGTTGTTTTTGGTTGTTGTTGTTGTTGTTTGAAACTGTGTCATCAAAGGAGAACCGGCACACCTTAGATTCCATCGTTTGAAATTCAGTGTATTCATCATCCACCCTACTCCCTTGTCATGAGAGCTTGGAAGGACACACTTTTTAGGAGAATGGTTTGCAGCTGCCCAGGTTTCCAACGCAGCGAAGACTAGCCGAAATAGGCTGAAACATCTGGAATATGCTCTGCTTTTCATTGAGACCCAGAACCATGCTGAGTTACCTGCAAGCAAAGTGGACCCTGGGAGAGAGCGGAGTCTGTTCTTTATTCAAGGTCTATAGACTGACTCCTCTTTGCTGGACATGCCCATATTGTCTGTACAGGAACAGGGTATTGAGTGCATTCCCCCGGTTCTTGCCCTAAACAGCCGTGACAGATGAGGGCTGCTCCTTTCGTGCAAGTAGGCAAATTTGAGTTGTCGCAGAAGGGAAAGCGGGGAGGGAAGAAATGCGAAGTTCTGCTCTAATTATTTTCTGTTGCAAATGATCCCCACGCTGGCTCCCCATTGGCCTCGCATCGCTGTAATTTACAGGAAACAGGAAAAAGAAAAAACTTTGTGATGTGAAAGGAATACGAATCGGCCGACTTCTTTTTCTTTTTCTTCATTATTATGTTATCTGTCTTGGTTTGCCCCCTTCTTCTTCCTCTCTTCTTCTCTTTTGTATCTTGCTAAAGAGGGCACAGAGGGTGAGGCGCTATGATTGCGGCCTGCAGGTACTGTACATTACAGGTATTGGTCATGCTGAGGTATCCGTCCACAGACTGTGTGGAACTTTTCATTCCTTCAGATTTGACTTCACAAAAGGCAGGAGGGAAGAGAAGAAAAGACGCCTTGTTTTCATGCTGGACTACCCTGCATCTCTGTTCCAGAAAGGTCAGAGCAGAGGTGGAGAAATCAGCATGGAAGGTTTTTTTCCCCCCTTCCAGTTACTCAATCCAAACTCTTAAACGCTGAGTTTGTATGAGGAAATCAAGAATACATATATATATATTCTTTATTTCCTTTTCCCTGACTCTGTACCTTCCAAACGCAGCCCCTGGCCTCCTTCCTCAGCCTTAAGAGCCATCTGCCAATAAATTACTGATCCTTGCATGATGGTAGTCATGGTGAAGAGATAACTAAAAATAAGTTTACCTTGTGAGTGTTGGAGATCTGAAGCCTCGGGAGGAAGAGAGCCAAGTCTGTGTGTCTGCCACTTCCTTTCCTTTTCTGGGGAGGGGGAAGCATGGTACCCCACCCCCCTTGGGGATAATGTGCTGCTTCTAAACCCTTTTACCAAAAGGAGAAAGCGACGTGTGATGTGAATCAGGATTTTTTTTTAAAAAAAATGAGGCACCAGATAAAGGGTTGGCATTAAGAAGAGGCTAGCTCATGAGGGAACCCCTCAGTTCATTACGGAATTGAGGAATTTGAAGGATTAATTTTAGCGTCAGTCATGTTACGTACATGCCAAGTTTTATTAGGGGAGAATATCATCTCTAGATGTATTTTAAAGGCTTTAAAAAAATAGTTACGTTTGTGGGTTTTAGGTTTGTTTAATTGTTGGCAGAGCCATTCAGATGCTACCTTTCAACACAAAATGAAACCCCTTTCCCCTCTTCTTTTTCGTACAGTATTTTCCTTCCCCGCCCCCCCTCTCCTTTAGAACCATGAAAACGCAATTGACCTCTTGCAAAGTTTTGCAACGTGCCCCTCTTGTTTCTCTGCCTTCTGTACTGCTTGAGACAACAGGTCAACCCCATGGAAGGGCAAAGACAGTGATTGAAAAATTGTGGGGGTGGGTTTTGGGGAGGGGGCTTTTTTCTACCCATTGATCACAGAACTGGCATACCGTTCCCTGAGCAGCTCATCTTTGTTTTGAAAAGTGTACAGTCGTGCAAGTGTTCCCAATGTAACTTTGACTTAATAATGTTGACATGTCTCAGGTTCATGTGTTTTGATTGGTGTTTTCCGTCTCAGGTAGATCGCGAAAAGTTTTTGGCCCCACACGTTGGAAGAGAACACAACGAGCAACCACAACAGGAACTGATGGGTTTTAGTTGTATATCAAGTTTTAAAGGGTTTTTACTTTTCTTTCTCCCTGCCCCCCTGCAAGTATACAGTGCACTGTTTGAAATGTATTGTTAAGTATTGATTTGTACAGGGTTAGATTACAAGGATTTTGTTAAGAGTGGAGAAAGAACAAACTTGTTTCCCGGGGGTTTGCAGCTTGAAGATTTTTCTTGGGCTTTGTGGTTGGGGAGTTTATTTTTTATAACATCAGCAACAGCAAAATAGGAATGTTGCCAAGAAAAATATGGGATGCATAACTGATGCCAAATAAGCTTGTTCTTTACTCACCGCCAGTGACATTTCGTTACTTCTGCCCCCTTAGGCCGATTCTGTTTTAAGGTGTCCATGGACAATGTTGCAGTGTAAGAAAACGCATATTCATATCTTCCCATTCACATTTTGTATTGGTTCATGTATACCATTTTTACAAAGAAAAAGAAGTACTATAAAGTATCTGTCTTCTTAATAAAAACAAATTAATGTTACAAAACTACTTTTCTGTCTCGTTTTGCACTCTTTTGCGGCAGCATCTACAAGGGATGCTCCTAAGTAGGAGGCAGGCTGCCTGCCGTGTCCTCAGCCCTGTTTTGGGAGCCCCACCAGACAACATGTTTGTGTGCTCAACCAGTTCTCCATCCCAAAACACACAACTTGGCGTCTCAGCTTTTCTTAAGCTATCTGTGCCAGTCGCAAGTGCTTCTCTGAGGTCTGCCATGGCTCCCATTCATAAGCTGCTTACTGTGTGATGCAATGTGGCACCCTCCAAATGTGGACTACAACTCCCATCATCCACAGCCAGCATAACCAATGGAAGATGGGAGTTGTAGTCCACCAACAGCTGCAGGGCCCCAGGTTGGCTAACCTTGGTGTGGGTTCACAAGCCCATCCCAAACACCACAGGGAGCTGGCCTTTCACAAATTAAACATACCTGGTCTGTGCCCGTCTCTTGGTGAGACTGTGGGTTGTGTTCTTAATTTCTGGCCTCCCCAAAATCCAAGCACTGCTTACCTTCTTTTTCACCTTTCCTAATTGTAACAATCGCTTAAGGGCTAACTATGCAGCTTCTTGCCAGAAAGGAAGCACTTATCCCTCCACCTGCCTGGTGGCTGTCACATTCTTGAGCACACCCTGGCAGGTAGGGAAATGTCTCTGTATTCTAGGCTGGCAGAATGGTGTTTGCTTTTTCTTGCTCGGCCTCATAGTATTTTTAGAGTTTCCTCTCCCGCGAAATTATTTGTGCAGAAATGCCCTCTGATGTAGCTGTTAGGGGAGGCTTTCCCCTGAAGCCCCAGTGGTTTCCTTCCCTTATTTGGAAAGAAAATAAAGGAAATCTGTTTCCTGAAGGGCAGGCGATGTAGTTTTTCCACTATTGTTGTTGGCTGATGGCATCTCCCGGTACATTGGCGGGTGGCCCTAAGGTGGTGTGTGGGCTCTAATTGGTGCCATCGTTCACCATCCTGCACAAGCAAGGAAAGGGAAACCTTGCTCAATAGAAGAGGCTGTTTTCCTTGGAGAAATATTGTGCTTATGCTTTCTTCTGGAACACTAAAAACACAGCACCGTTGCTCTTCTCAACAGCTTTTATTTTATTTTTTAAAATTCTTGCTCTTCAGGCTGAAGAGGAGGGGAGCCGGCCATGGACTTGCCTAGCTCTCAGGAATTGGTCCTCTGCTCTGCCAACCTTGACTGAGGCACAGCTGATGCTTTTTGGGTCTCTCTTTCCTTCTTGATTCCAGCCTCCCAGCCACTTCTGGGAAAGACGACAGGAAGAGGTTGCTAGCAGCCTGCTGAGCAGTGCTTATTTTACCCAGGGTGGCCTGACAAGCCTGCTTTTTGACCCAAATTTCTACTACCCCCTTTTCCTCAGCGAGCCATTATCCTGAGCCTTACTGTTGTGGCTGTGTGTGTGTGTGTGTTGGGTTATATCCTGTCTTGCTTTTGACCCGCATCTGATTACACCCTAGAACAGATTTTACTCCATCTTACCTTTCCAACCCACATTTAAAAATGTTGCTTATGTTCTGGCTAACCCTACTGCTGCAGCAGTAATAGCTTCATTTGACAATGGGGAGAGGCACAGAAACAGCCTTCCAGGGTCCCTCCAACCCTGCTAATGGCCAGTTCGGTGAAATAGTCATGTGGTTTCCAATTGGTGGTTTGCAGACCCTAGGGGGTCTGTGGCACCATTCACATAACAAAAACTAACCCAGAGATATCAACATTTTCAAAAGTAAGAGGTCCATATCTTAGCTTTTGGAAAACAAGGTTTACGGTGTTTAGCTAACTGGGAACCACTGGTATAGTCTATTGTAATACTTCAGCCCCTACCCATTGCCTCCAGGGTTTGAGGGAGGCACTTTTAAGGATGATAAACTTCTGCAGCTCAGCAGTAGAGTATCTGGTTTGCATGCAGAGGGTCTGAGGTTCAATGACTGGGAAAAACTCCTACATGAAACCCTTGAGAGCCAGTACCAGTCAGAACAGGCAGTACCAAGGAAGATGAACCAATGGTCTGACTCTGTATAAAACAGCTTCCTATATTTGGAGTGGAACCCCAGAAGCAGAATGCTAAATAATTTTCTTGGCGATCAGACAGCAATGTATTTCCACTGGCAGTTAAAAACACTTTTGTTCACCCAGGCATTCGTGAATTGCTCTTGGTAGCTTGTTTGCTCCATTTATCGTGTGATTTTAGTCTTTAGATTTTTATTTGTTTGGATGAAAGTTGTGGTATGATTCTGTGGTGTTGTCTGGCATTTGCTGTACACTGCTTTTGATCTAGAAATTGCCAGTGAAAGAAAAAAGACAGGGATTGTTTGTGCAGATTGAGGTAGCCCTTTGTCTCTGGTTTGTGTCCAAACCGATAACCCTAGAATCATAGAATTATAGAGTTGGAAAGACCCCCAAAGCAACGCAGAATCCTCTGCAATCCAGGAAGCACAGCTGAAAAATCCCTGGTAGATGGCCATCCAAACCTCTGTTTAAAAACTTCCAATGAAGGGGAGGCCACCATCTTCTGTGGTATAGCCCGTTCCATTGTTGTCCGAGCGTTCTTCCTAATGTTAAGTTGGAATCTCCTTCCTTGTAATTTGTATCCATTGGTTTGGGTCCTACCCTCTGGAGCAGCAGAAGACAGGCTTGCTCCATCTTCCATGTGACATCCCTTTAGATATTTGAAGGTGGCTATCATATCACCATAGGGACACGGGTGGCGCTGTGGTCTAAACCACTGAGCCTCTTGGGCTTGCCGATCGGAAAGTCTGCAGTTCGAATCCCCGCAACGGGGTGAGCTCCTGTTGCTCTGTCCCAACTCCTGCCCACCTAGCAGTTCAAAAGCACATCAAAGTGCAAGTAGATAAAAATTTTACACATCACTTGGGAAGTGTACTGGAAGAAGCAAAGATCACCAGTGCTGAAGCAATGATTCTTCATCATCAACTTTGCTGGACTGGTCATGTTGTGTGGATGCCTGATGATCGTCTTCCAAAGCAACTACTCTATTCTGAACTTAAAAATGGAAAGCATAATGCTGGGGGTCAACATAAGAGGTTTAAAAACTGTCTCAAGGCAAATCTAAAAAAATGTGTAAACACTGACAACTTGGAAACACTGGCCTGCGAGCGCTCCAGTTGAAGAACAGCAGTTACCAAAGGCTTTGAAGACACTTGAACTCAAGACGCAAGGGAGAAACATGCTAAGAGGAAGGCAGGCTTGGCAAAACCACACCGTGATCAACTCCCGCCTGGAAACCAATGTCCCCACTGTGGAAGGACGTGTGGATCCAGAATTGGCCTCCATAGTCACTTACAGATTCATTGTTAAAACTGTGTTTATGGAAGACAGTTTTACTCGGCTACGAGGGATCGCCAAAGAAGAAGAAGATAAATAGGTACCACTCCAGCAGGAAGGTAAACAGTGTTTCCGTGCGCTGCTCTGGTTTCGGTGTTTGGTTTCGCCAGAAGTGGCTTAGTCATGCTGGCCACATGACCCGGAAAAACTGTGTGGACAAACGCCTGCTCCCTTGGCCTGTAAAGCGAGATGAGCGCCACAACCCCAGACTTAACTGTCAGGGTCCTTTACCTTTACCTTTTTATCATATCTCCTCTCAGTCTTCTCCAGGCTATGTGCAAAGTGTGTGTAGGCTCCCTGGTTACTACTCCAAAGAACCTGAAGGTGAGCCTCTCATTTCCGTGCGTTTCGGCTAAGCAGAATTTAGGATGTTTCAAAAGAACGCCCCCAGTTTCCATGCAACAGCAGCTGAACAATGAAAGTAAGCCAGAGGTCAAGAATGTCAGTCAGACTGAGGAGCCGTGATGATTTCCCTGAGAAGAGCTGTGTTATGTTTCCATCTCTCTCTGAAAGCAACCAGAGGTGGGTGGTGGGTTGCTCATCCTTTTCGCTAGCTGTTGGCTCCACAATCTGTTTGTCAGTGAGCGGAACAGCATGTTTTGGTATTGACCAAGAAGGAGAAAAACAATGGAACATGGGAGTCTGTTGCACAGTGCAGCCTTCCCTTCTCTTGGGCAGCTCCCGAGAGGATATCTAGCCGTCATTATTCCCACATGGACTCCAAATTCATGTTGGTTTTCTCAATTTTTTTGATTTACTGCATTTATATACCACTTTCCAGATAATTTGCCAACCCAAACCAGTTTGCAACAAGAATTAATATGTTGAATACAGTGCAAAACATGGTGCCCAGTTAGCATCACAGTTGGGATTAATTCCTGGCCAGAGTTGAGCCCCTGCAGGAAAAACATTTGTTGATCAAGCTTTGGGCCCTCCCTGTGGGAAGCACACTCCCTAACCCTCCCATCACATGTCCAGGAGATGAAGAACTACACAGCTTTTAGAAGACATCAGAAGGCAGCCCTGTATCAGGAAACCTAGCCAGATGGGCATGGTATAAATAATAAAAAATACTATTATTAGTATTAGTATTATTAAAATTGGAGTCAATCCCCATTTAGAATATATCTATCTGTTTTAGTAGCCTAAATCCACATCACCTAAAGGTTCCTTGGCCAAGCTGAAGGTTGGAAACAGGTGTGGGGAGATGAAATGACTGAAGTCCTAGCAAATGGAAGACCCCACAACTCATTTTAGTCAAGAAGTGGTCTGCATCAAATGGTGTCATGGTGTGGAAGCTTTTGAGGTTCCCACAACGATTCTAATCATGGACTAGAATTACTTTGGTGGCCTGTGGTTTTACAGTGGCTTAGCTATAAAAAGAGAATTCGCCCAGTTTCTGAACCTAATCCTTAAAGCCATGTCGAATCGGTGCTGGGGAAAACAAGAACCTTAACCGTGGGGGGCGGGAAGGGAATCAAAGCTCGCTGCTCCTTTCTAGAACTGCCTGCCTCCTCCTTAACATGCACGGCGCCTCGTTGCCTCATATTCCCAACCTGATAGCCTTAAATCTTCCTTAAGTGATATCTTCTCAGGTTAATTAATCTCCAGGCTTAAACTTGCTGTGAGCAGCAGGCAGTCTG